ATGATGCGCAGAAGGCAGGTTGCACAATGTCGGGGCCATTCTGGCCCACAGTCTTGCCCTCTGGGATTCCTGCACATGGTGGTTCCCTGACTTTTGTGCTAAAATAGTTCTCCTGGCACTAAGGAATTAAACCATTACTGGCAGTAAGCGCTTTAAGCCAAAATAGCGATTTTTAGCATTCTGCTGTATCCTGCCTGCCTCTGGCCCAGCGCACTCCCGGAATGAGACTCCTGAGAGCTTCTTTGAAATGGAACTTGGCCCTCTGATTGAATGAGGTTCAATATCTTTGCCGTAGGTTTGGAAGAGCATGAAAATGATGCTCATCTCTTCCATCTTTCCTGAGACTGCAGAATATAAAAAGTCCCTTGATGAGGAGTAGGAGGATGGAGTGGCTGCACAGCACGATAGCTGTTTGACAGGAGGAGCAGATTGTCCTAAGCAAAGCCCTCTATACAGGGTCTCATAAGGAAATGTGGACAGTCCTTCTGGCATTGGTTAGAAATTCTTACCAGGCAGGGACCCTGTGAGTTACTCAATCCAGAATACAAAATACTGTCCTGCCCTACAAGAAGTGTTATGCCATTTCAGGGCATGGCTGAGTGACGAGAACACTAAAAAAGAAGCATTCCGTGCTGTGACTTTTGTGGCAGCCCCAGTATGATATCACTAGTTGCTTGTGATAGTCTGCCCCAGACATCAGCTGTAACTTGAGTTATACTTCAGGTTCTGGATATAAACTAGAAATCCATAAGACCCTAATATTTGGTACTTGTAGTAGTTTCCAACATTTATCGGGTCATCTTGCAGCTCCTTTCTCCTTGTCCAGTGTCTCGCTTTCCCTTTATCTCAGCTTTTTCCTTTACTGGAACTTCTTTGCACACGTCATTTACAAGGCCTGTGAAGGTTATCATAGGATCATAGAATAGTAGAGTTGGAAAGGGCCATGAAGGACATCAGGTCCAACTCCTTGCCGTTGCAGGACCCCAAGTTACACCATCCCACTCAGATGGCTGTCCAGTTTCTTTCTGAATGTCTCCAGTGCGGGAGAGCCCACCACCTCTCTAGGCAGCTGGTTCCTCTGTTGTATTGCTCTGACAGTGAGGGAGCTTCCCCTGATGTTCAGCCTGAATCTGGGTTGTCACAATTTGAATTGATTATTCCATGTCCTACACGCTGATGCCAGGAAAAAGAGATATTGACCTTCCTCTTTGTGACACTCTTTGAAGTACTTATAGAGGGATATCATGCCCCCCTCAGTCTTCTCTTCTCAAGGCTGAACATGCCCAGTTCTCTCAGTCTCTCCTCAGAGGGCAGTGTTTCCAAACCCTGGATCATTGTTGTTGCCCTCCTCTGGACCCTTTCTAATTTTTCTTATCTTTCTTAAATCCTGCTGTCCAGAACTGGACACAGTATTCCAGGTAAGGTCTGACTAGTGAGGAGTATAGGTATATAGTAAGTAATCATCATAATTACTTCTCATGATTTGGAAGTAATACTTCTATTAATGCATCCCAGAATAGCATTTCCCCTTTTGGTGGCTGCATTGCATTGTTGGGTCATATTTAGCCTGTTGCCCTCAATAACTCCAAGGTCTTTTTCTTTTTCAGTCCTGTTGAGCCACGTATTCCCCATCTTATATCAATGCATTTGGTTTCTTTTTTCTAGGTGGAGGACTTGGCTTTTGTCCCTATTGAATCTACGGTTGCCTGCATCTCAGCATTCAAGTTTATCAAGTTGCCCTGGATCTTCATTCTTCCAGGGTGTTTGCTATTCCACCCAGTTTTGTACCATCTACAGATCTGATTATCTTTCCTTGTACTTCCTCATCTAAATCATTAATAAAAATGTTGAACAGCACTGGGCTAGGACTGAACCCTGGGGCACCTCAATAGTCACCTCCCTCCAGTTTAAGAATGTACCATTGATGAGCACTCCTTGTGTCTGATTTAGCAGCCAATTCTTGATCCACGTAGTAGTTTTTATCTAGTCCACTGTTTGCTAATTATGCACCGATTTAAATGAACAAGTAAAGACCTTGAACATCACTAATGTACAAGCATGTCCCAGGGAATCAGAAATCAGAATTTAAGGGAATATATAACTGCCATTTAACCGAGCATAATTTACAAAAGTGTCCAGTTAAGCACGGGTATGCGAGGAGTGAACTCTGTGATCTGGATAAATCCTTTCAGGATCTGTGCGCTCTCATGCAAAAACCAAACACAGGCCTCTCTCCCCACACATGCAAATACCCACATCCCAGCAGACAGGGCTGGGGGGTTTCAACTCCTTTGCATGCGGAAAGCTAGGAATGCTGTGGATAAGATGTTCCAACCTCTCCCAGCCCCCAGCAAATGCATGGGTGTGAAAGCTGGACAGTGAAGCAAGCTAACTGGAAGGAAAATGATGTATTTGAAAGACGGTGCTGGAGAAGAGCTTTGTGAATATCCAGGACTGACAAAAAGATGACGAACAAGCAGGTCCTAGATCTAATCAAGCCAGAACTTGCCCTGGAAGCAAAGATGATGCAACTGGGGCTGTCATGCTTCCGGCGTAGCATGAGAAGGCAGAATTCCTGGAGAAGAGCATCGTTCTAGGGAATCTTGAAGGAAGGAGAAGAGGGATGTGAGATGGATTGATTCCAGAGCCACAGCCCTGAGGGGGGCTGTGGTGGCAGGGCAGGGTTACAGTAGTCAGAGGCAGCCTAAGAGCAGATAACGGCAACCAGCACTGCTATTCGTGATGGGAAAACAGCACTCGGGCAGCCTGCGGCTTGAACGAGGCTTTCGAAGGGCACAAGCAAAATTGGCAGGCTGCTCCATTAACTCCCACAATCCCTCTTTAAACCAGTCTGATATGGTATCCGCTTTATAGGCTCTGGGCGCAAAGTTTCCACAGGATAACACCAGGGTCCATTGAGGAATGCTGAGTTTCAAGATCAGTGCCCAACGAACATTGGAAGCTGCCTGTCAGAGCATTGATCCCTCTGTCCCAGTACTGCCATCTCAGACGGCGGCCACTCTCTTGGGTTTCAGGCAGGCTCCTGTTCTAGCTCTGCTCTCTGAGCGGTCAGGGACTGGACTAAAGATCCTCTGCAGGCAGAACAGTTGCTCCCTCGCTGACCTGCAGACCCTTCTATACTGCCAACATGAGCAATCATTTTCAGAGCCCAGCTCAGGACTAGTCAGGTGCTGACCAGGAACAAGAGATAAAGCTTGAGCCCAAGAAAAAGCATCCTTCATAGCCAAGATCCTCTGCCACATGGAAGGGACCTCATTATGAAAATTAGACGAAAAAGCTTAAAGGATTCAGATACATATTTGCTTGAGAGAACATGCCTTAAACTCTCCCCTGTCCCTGCAGCCATGCGGGAAAATGGACACAGTGTGCTTCAGCACAGCATCAAAAGTGCCCCCGGGACAGTTTCCTATGCTGGTAGCCTTCAGTGTTGGCCAAGTCAACAGCATTTCTTCCTGCCACAGTTCTGGGGAGACAATGGTTGCATTCAGCTTCATAAATGTATGCTTGTCAGGTTTGCATATAGGTTGACTATAACTATAACTAGGTGGAATTACTAGGTGCATGGAATGTGCCACACTAGCCGTGGCCGCATCCTCTGGTTCCAGAGTGTTTGTGATGGTGGGAACCAGTGGGATCGCGAAGCCAGTACTTGCAGGGGTGCAGGGCCTGCTGTTTTGCATCAGCGGGGATTCTAACATCACCTGCCATCCCCACCCCAGAATTCCTTGTTTCTTCTGAACATGGCTGCATGAATTTACCCACCAACATTATATTGTGCTTCCTTGTAATGGAAGGTATTTGAGGGTCACTTGGTCATGAATGGGACATTCACTTTACAAAACAGCTTCTCCCAGTGGAGATAAAACTGCTAGAACTGGTTTGTTGATATGGATCAACACAGCTGCTTTCATGTCTGGATGCTTTTGTGAGCGGGTGGTTATCAGGACTGCCATGATGTGCAGCCAACTGGTGGGAATATGCCCAAGTCTTATTGCATGCCTAGCTAACTAGAGATACGTGAGAAATTCCTTAGATGCCCATTTTAATGAGGACTTACTAAGTTCACATTTCCTGAACCTGCATAGAAAGCTGAACATGATTATACAGCAATATTCAGGCTCCTTGGAATGTTACAAGCAGTTCTCATGTAGCATTTGTGTGTTTGGGAAACTGCATTAGAATGCATGCATGGACACAGAAACAAAAACAAATTTCAAGCAGAAAAATGTAAACTATCACGCAGACTTCTGAAAAATCAGAACCTGGTGCAGAAAAAGGATGGGGCAAACATAATGTTGGGAAATGGGAAACCGAGCGGAATCAGATTTGACAGAATTGTCCACTTCTGCTTGTCACAAACCCTAGAGAATTGCTGCCAGTCAGTGTTGGAAATACTGAGCTGCATATAGGTATAGTCTGACTCAGTGACTGCATTCAAACAACATGATAACCCACACTCAGGGATTGAGTATGGGCTGTCGCTGCACTGTGATCATGTTGTCTGACCCCAGCTGAAATAACAAGCCATGGTGAACAACCCACAGCTCATAACTAACCAACCATGGGTTGTTCATGGTTAATCAGTCATAGCTTATCGCTGCAACTGTTTCAGACAATACAATGCTTCACATTTCAACCACAACTATGGATCAGTGGCAACCTGCACTCAACACTCAACCCAACCAGCTGGCATAAGGCAGCATCCTGCGGTCCTATGACCTCAGCAGTGTGGCTGAATGAACTGTGGTGCAGCTCCTTCGTAGCAATGCTGCCCTGCTCTCAAGCGGTGTCTGAACAGGGGCAGAGAAATACAGTAACAAACAAACCGAGGGGAAATTTTCAGAACCATTACACAATCGCTGTTAAAAATGTGAGATTTCTTGTTTTCTTGTTTTGCTTCCTAAAGCTCTCTGCATAGCCTGCTGGTCAAATGGAAATTCTGCCTCTAGCTGAGGAGGTGGAATTCCAGGTCAGACACAATGGCAGGTGATCATATTTCCTATGGCTAGTTTGTCAAGAACATTTGACCCATTCTGCCCATCCGACTCCTTATAAAAGTCGACCAGCTTAGGTGGCTTTCATCGGACAAGCAGCAGAGATGGATTCCCAAGCTAACTGTAAGGTCAGCACAGCATCAGACCCTGCGGTAAGTGGAGTCCATTTGTTTGACTGGTTAAAATTATTTGGATGAAAATTGTCTTTGGAAGGTGCAAGGAAACCCATTTTGATAGAACCATAATAGCTGATCTTGAAAGGTGTGTTTACAGAAGAGGCTCTTGACAAAACCACATTTTACATCTCTCTCTCTCTCTCTTTCTATGCTGCCCATTAACCCAAATGATTCTCCGCTTTCAGTAAAGGCACAATGAAATATTCCATGCATTTGAAAGTATTAGCACACACATGTTTTTCAGATGGAAAAGCTTGCTTAGAGAGAGTTTGTTGTGTGTTTTAAGTGTATTTACTATGAGAAAAGATCCATTCACCTAGTTACTTTATGATGATTCTTTCATTGATGTCATTTGTGGGGAGAGGGATAGATGGCAAAAGAAGCTCAGGGTTTCCATAGACAGAGGGGGTTTGGCACTACCAGAAGGCATTTTCTGGCTATTTATTCTGCACTTAACATCTTGTCCATGGCTGGGGAGGGGGTCAGGGGCAAAACAGACGACACAGGACAGCTATGAGTTGAAGATGATGTCATCTGCATCGTATGTAAACATTCCATGAACGAGACTATGACAAACGTCTCGTGTGGAAACACCCACCATCTTGAACAAAAACATCAGTGTCATTACTGAAAAGGAGCCATGTAATGGCCCCTAACTAACTAAGAGGAGGCGGATAGAGTAAGACTTCAAAGCAGGGGGATCCTGCAGTGAAAATACTCACATTGCAGGAGGGCTCTGGCATGTTCTAGAGGGGGCACAGAACTTAAGGGCATCATGCCAGGCATGGTTAGATCGAAAAAAATCCTACAGATTCCTGTATAGCCCAGCTAGTAGTTGCGGCCGGCTGGAGAATGGAGTCATCCGGATATACAGTGCAGAGTGGGAGGAGAGTGCAGACAATCTCCACCTCCCAGGACATGCTGCTTTCGTTTTAGCTAGACGACGTCTGAGGACAGTAAGGCTGCCCTCTAGCTTTGTGCCAGATACTGGATTTGTAAGCGAGGAGAGCAGAATCTTATGCTTCCCTGCTGAGCCGCAGCTTTTCTCCCCAGATCTACAGGTTTATACCTCAAGTGCCTAAGGACAGGAAGCACATGATCCTTATCTCCACAGTGCTGGTGCTTCTGGCCACGGTCATCATCGGGGCCATTCTCATCGGTGTGTACATTACACAGGAGCACACCGAAAGGGTGAGTAGAACGGCGGCCCAGAGGAAGCTAGTGGCATTCATCCACTGAGGCAGCTCCAGATACAGGGCAGAAAGTACCGTCCTAAATCAGGGCTTGCCCGGCCACAGGCTCACCAGGGGTTTGCAGGGGCCACTTGCGGAACCACCATTTTCCATCTGCCACGGTGGCACCCGTGTAGCCTCACGCCTACGTCTCCTTGTGTTCCCCCACCCTATTTTAAACCACAACTCCCAACATTCCTAAAATCCGCCCATATATTTGCTCACACATGGGAGGTATTATCCCAAACTTCCAGGTTGGGGGAAGTTGCTCTGCGGCATTGTGGGAAATCGGAAACAGTGACTTGCACACCTGGCCACTCGCTGCAGGTGCGTGGAGGGACAGGACAGGTGCCGCTGTGCCCAGTGGGAACGTGAAGGTGCTGGCTGATGATTCTGGGCCTCAGTAAGAACCAGCCAGATGAATCCAAAGGTCCACCCACTCCAATATTCCAGCTCCAACCATGGACAGTTCAGTGTGCTGCTCGAGCTCATAAGCAGCCTCTGCCCTTGCTATTTGTCCCAGCGCCTGCCTCTGAATAGGGGTGGGGTTTCCCTGTAGCCACAGCGTTTATAAAGTGCTTCTGAAGGTTTGAAGTACTTCACCTACATGTTTGACAATTCTAGCAGCAAAACCTGTAAGACAAGACCCTGTTATCCAGGGCCAGTTCCAGGTTTTCAGGATGCCATGGGAAAGTCAGCCCCAATGCAGCCCCTCCCTTACAAGCCCACCTTTTTACCAGTGTTTCAATGCCCCTCTTCCTCCTTTTCCTCATCAGTGCTTCCACCTGCCTGCTAGTGAAACAGGCAGCACGGGCGAACAAGATCTATACATCTTCTCTGCTGTCATTATGCCGTCTCTTGTTTCGATGCTTCCCTTAATTCCCCTAAAGGACTGAGTCGAAGTCACTGCTCAGGTGGCTACAGCGGGACAAGGACACGCCCAATGCACCCCTCTTGTGCCTTGTCTCCTCTGCAGGTGATTAAAATGATCAGCCACGGAGACAGCGGTGCAGTGGTGGAGCAAACTGTGATGCTGAACAACCAGGGAGGGGTGGCTGCTTTTCGGGTCAAGAGCAACAGAACCTCAGCCACTGTTGTCTATGACTACAAGAACGTAAGTCCGCAAATGTTCAGGCGAGCCTCCGCCTTTGTTTGCAGTATCTTGTGAGCCTCAGTCTTCACTCCAAAACAAAAACCTAAAGCTCCCAGAGTATCTTATAAAGAGTAATAGTAGGACGATGCTTGTCCTGAGGCTTATGGTCTAAAAGATATGAGAGAAAAGCAAAGGAGATTGGGCAGGAGGAGCAGGCACAAGAAGCAGGCTCAGATGCCATATTTTAGCTTGCAAAGACATCTTACCCCTCAGGGGGCAGCACTGAGCATCCTTCGAATTCATCCCTGGAGGACCTTCTGCAACATAATGAGGACCTTGAGGCTGCTCCCCACCTTTTTCATGTCCGTTGGCACAAATCACATTCCATTAACCAGGCATGGGAGAGATTAGGCTCTCAAGTGCTCTTTTAGGCAGTTGAAATGTGTTCAGTGCGCACAGGAAACCTATGGGATTTGTGAGAGTTGTCCAGTGGTTGCAACACCATAAGTAGAATCACTGCAAGGCCACCATAAACAGTAGAAGAGGATTGACAGTAATTTCCCCTTGTTCACTCTTATTTCGAAATCAACTGACATTCCCAGAGTGCTTCCATACAAAGCTTGTATCAGGTATTTACCTGCCTTACCTACAGGATTTTATTCTGGGCTGGAGGCAAGGAGAGATGATGTTGTCTTCTCTTTCTGATCTTTCCACTGTTTTCCATCATCGCTTCTGCCTCTGCTCTTTCCACAAACAATCCGTTGAGGAGGAAAAGACAGAAGAGTTCTATAGTATTTTTGATCGGTTGTGCTAGGAAGAGCAATGCATCAACCAAAAGAAGAAGAACCACCAAACACTACTAATTTGTTCCAAAACCTTCTGTGCATCCCGCTTTGCTCCTAGCGTCTCATTGGCTTCCGAATTCATGGCAGAAGACAGTGTTTTGTGGTGGCAATGGATTCAGTGGAGGTGCCAAGCTTAAATGAGATCACCCAAGGAATTGAACACTTCGATCAACAGGTGAGAAAAGCTGGGAAGTGATTCAACATTAGCGGCTCTCCCAGCACCAGGCACTCAATGTCCGGGACCTCCCTCCAGGTGTACTCCAAGGGAAGTTCAGAGGGCTGCATGAAGGGAATGGGCCTTCTTAACACCAGCCGTCAACTATGATCTCTCCATCACGGCCTGGTGCCACCCTTTGGCACCTCTGTGCCAGAGCATTTCAAGCCATACAAGGATATTTACAGTCCTAAGTGAACTGTGCTCCCCAGGTGCTTTATAGGCTTGCCCTATATCACATCCTAGTCCCAGGAAATGCTCCTTTACACCCTTGGAATGGACTGAGCTTTGACTTCATGGGAGGTTAAAGGCCTGTGTGGAAAGCACTAGCACAGGACCAGGTTTGGGAAGAATCCCAGTATTGCTTTTGGGGGTGGGGGCAGAGTAAAGGTCTGTATGATGAATAAGCTGAGAATACACAAAGAGAGACAGCATGGTCAAGGCATGTTTGGAAGCAGCAAACCTGCAGGTACCTAACCTGAAAAGCTTTCCAGGACTCATAAAGGTGGTTCAGGAAATACCACCTTGCCTCAGGAAACCAAATGCATTTCCTGAGCAAACATTCCTTCTTGGCTTTCCCCTTCCAGGCATGGGATGGGTTGGAACCCAACTGCTACAGTTCACTTACAGTCCAGTTAAGGGCACAGTCCTATTATGCATGTGCAGATAGGGAAACGTTCTGGTAGTTGTCGGATATTTGCCATCTCAACATGCAAAAGTTTCTCCTTAAGGTCCCTCGGGTCCTCCTTACCCTTCACTGGAAAGAATGCAGCAGTGCCAAGGAAGAAAGACTCACAAAGTGCATGTTAAGATAGCTTTGTAAATAAGCCCATTTACAAGCCAGCAACTAAGATGAAGCCTGCTAAGAGGCTGGTAACCATATTTCCATACTGCATGAAGAGGAGGCTATAGATTGATGATGTGTCTGTAATGGAAATACAGAGTCTAGCCTCTTAGTAGGCTTGGAAGAGAACAGTTCTTCCAACCAGGCTGACGGAGAGGAGAGAGTTCCCTCTCCTGCAGTTATCCTAGTCATGGAGGGAGAGCCAAGGCAACATAGAAATCAGGCTGGGATGCAGAGGACGGACAGCGGGATCGGTCCCTCTTCCACCAGCCTGCTCACTCACCTGCACTGAACTGATATGGCTGCCAGGTACGTGGCTGAATACAAGGTGATGCTAAGAGGTAGTTCCACCTGGAGAATGAGCCAGCAGCAGTCAGCATACTAACTACTTGCTCCAACCTGGTCATCAAGTCAAGTGCTAAAGAGGGTTTCGGCCAATGGAAGATCCACTGGCAAAAAGCAATGCACAATAGAGAAATTCACCTGGAAGGAATAAGCCTGTTGACAGCATCCCATCTGGCTAAAAATGCTGCTATTTGCCTAACCTCATTTTTGTTGAGTGCTCTTTACTCGTTCGGGTGTTTATCTGCATAAGCAAAGCATGGTGTTGGTCTCAGGCGGCCATCCCACATTTTTTTTTTATTTGGGAGGAGATCGTGCCCTCTGTATCTGCAGACCTAATGACTGTTTCCTTGCCGGCATATCCTGCTCTCCTACAAAATGTTTCATTTTGTGAGCTTTGAACAATGGGGCAGCTGTCCCTCCCCACCTGGAATGCCCCCTTGTTGCTGTTCTCTTGTTTTTCTTACAAGTTATTCCGGGTGTTATGTAGCTGTTTGCTGACATTGGAATGAAATGCGGACTGCTTACAAAAACATCTTGATTTGGCTTCATAAAGATCTCAGGAGACGACAGCTTGGCCTACAGCTTCAAGCAGGGAGAACTGGCTGACGAGACCACACTAGGATTCACAGTGAATATCCTTTGTAGCAACCATCCTACATACTGGGCGGAGGTAAAATACTGCTACCTGCCTTTGAAGGCTACATTCGTGGGAATATGCGCCAAAGAACCTGTAGTTCTGGGGTAGGAAGAAGGTGGAATGAGACGTATTAGAGACCCAGTGTGGCGTATGGGTTAGAAGGAAGGACCTGGACTTGGGAGATCTAGATTCTAGCCCCTCCTTGCCCATGAAGCTCACTGGGCGACTTTGATGCTGCTGCTGGTACTGGGGAACAAGAACTGGTTCTGTGTGGAAGAACTTGTGCATTCAGTTCAGGTACTGATCACGAGTCCCCAGGCTGAAGATGTACACCGACGTATGCCATGAGCTAGTGTTTTATTCTTGGTTCCAGTGGGTGGGATGCAGGGTTCTAGGAAGAGCCCAACCCAAAGCAAAGCAGATCTCTGTGTTTGACATCTGCTCCTCTACTGGCATATATAGCGTGGTGGACTGGACTGGATTAACTGTGCCTTCACCTCTTAATCCCAGGATAGAATTAGCTTGGGTTATTTTGGTGCTTTATGGTCCAGCTCAGCTGGGCAGGCAGGGCATGCCAGGAACTGTGATCCAGCACATCTGGAAGGCAACAGATTGGGGAAGACTATTCTAGGAATAAGCGGCACGCCTTCTTTGAAGGTGCAGCTGCTTGTTGGTCCACCTGACAACCTCACACAACTGCCCTGGGGCTCTTTTGCCAGGTCTATGTACCCAGGCGTGCTCTAACCTTACATTTGGTCCATACAATAGGTTGTGTTTGTGAGAAGTGGAAAGCAAATCCTTGGTCCAGTAATTGTCCCCCACCCTTCTTCTTTTCCAGAAAAAGCACAAAGAGCAACGAGGAGGACTGCTCCCCTGTCTGGGGCTCTTGATTCTCAGAATCTGCTTCATGCTTTAATGCCACTCACATCTTATCAGTGCTGTTCCAACGCTCCTGCGATGAGATATATGTCTGGGGCTGCACTTTCTGTCACATTAATCCTTGCTGCAGAACATCACTGTCACCCTCAAAGAGTGTGGGTGATGAATAACAAGGGCTGTGTTTGCATGTTGCAGTAAGCCACAGTGGGTTGGTTGTTGCCTGAAGTCACACAGAGCCATTTCGGTCCTGAAGCAAACAATGCCATGAGCTAACACGACAACTCTGCTGCGCTTCCCATATGAGCCGCCTTCTTTATGAGCCAGTGTGCTGGACTGGGGCTTGAGTCCCCACACAGCCAGGAGGCACACTGCGTGACTTCAGGCCACTCACTGTCAGCCTAACCTACCTCACAGGGTTGTTGTTATGAGGACAAAATGGAACGGAGGAGGACTCTGTAAGCTGATTTGAGTTTCTTGCAGGAGATTTTAAGAAAGCAGGCTACAAATGCAACATAGTAATAATAATGTGAAAACATTTCTATGGAGGCCCTACTTTGGGTATCTCAGCCACCTGACTGAAAACCTGGAGAGCTGCTGCCAGCCTCCTTCCCCAAGCCAGTGTGTCCTCCAGATGTTTGGAACTCCAGTTCCCATCAGCACCAGCCAGCTGGCCAATGGTAGGGATTCTGGGAAGAGGAGTTTGAGCCATTGGAAAGGGACCAGTGGGAGGAGACACTTGGATCTAGATAGACCAGTGCCTCTGACTCTCCATCGGGCAGCTCCACCTCCAGAACAGCCTCCGCGGAGAGGTGCTGTTAGCTGCCATTCATGGTTGCCATCTGCCCAGACGGCTGAAGAAAGGCTTTTATTCTCCCAGCATGGTTTTAGCTCTTCTGCTTACTAAAGCAGGTTACAGCAATTTTAATTTGATCGCTCAACTGGAGATGGATATTTTCTTTCACAAGCAGGTGTTTGTGTCCCTTGTTTGTGTGTTTCCTTCCCTAAATAGAATGCAAGGCATAATAGCACCTGCACACGCCCCTGTGTTTCTTATGTGATCAAATTCTGTGTAGCCCTTCTGTTCTTCCATAAGAAATTGCTATAGTACTACTCAGGACAGAGCAAAGTGCAAGCATTAAGCCTTCCCAGAACTTAAGGGTAGCAGAAAAAAGAGGGATAGACAGACCCACTCATTCCTGGCTCTGGTTTGAAGAGCAAGGATTCACCATGCAGGTGGGCCTGGCATATCTCTCTGCAGCGAAATGGCCAAGTACGAGTGAGCTGGCATTTCCCTGTTCTGCATCAGCATTTCTCGATATTGGGCCCCCAGTGTTACTGAACCACCATTCCCATTATTGTCAGTCAGCACAGAGCATTGTCAGGGATGCTAGAAGCTACAGCCTGGGAAGCCAAGTTTGGGGAAGATTCCCCAAACAAACCCATTCATTTGCGCATGGCTAGCCAGCAGGAATCCTGAACACCTCTCTATGCTGAAACATTTTGTTGTGGATCCTTCTTATCCTTGTGCATGGAAGCATGATGATTTTGGACATTGTTAGTATACACCAAATTATTAATATTATTGTTGCTGCTGTTGCTGTTGTTGATGATGATGATGAAGAAGAAAATATTATTAATAATAATATATTTGTTTGCTCTGTGTAATTATTTGACTGTCAGTCTACACCTTGGTACCATGTGTATTACTGCAGTTGGGACCTAACTGTGATCATGTTTCACTAATAAAGATGTAGATTTAAGAAACACTTCTTAAGGCCTGATTTGCCACCTTTATTACAGGACCTAGGGCAGGGGTCGGCAACCTTTCACACTCAAAGAGCCTTTGGACCCATTTCCCACACAAAAGAAAACACCGGGAGCCGCAAAACCCCTTTGACATCTAAAATGAAGATAACACTGCATATATCATTTTTTACCTTAATGCTATGTATATCTTCATTATGAATGAGCTGCAGCTATTGTTCAGTCACTAAAAACTGTTCTTTTTAATCTTACATTATAAACTATTAGGACTCCTTTCATATATTTTGAATAGGAGAACAGCTTCCTGAAGAGTCAAAGTCAGTGCTAAAGGGCTGCATGCATTAAACAGCAAACCCCATAAGTTTGTCAGCAGTAAAAACAAATGAATCTACCCATGTACCATTAAATGTTCAGTTTTCCTTAGAAACTTTTCTTCTATTTATCCATGGTCGTGGGGGTTGGGGGGGAAGCTCAGTAAATTGGGGTGCTGGGTACAGATATAGGTGTGTTTAGTGACTGATTAGCAGATAGGGGGACAGTCAAGTGCTGTGAATTGTGACAGGTCCCAAGCTCAGCTTTTAACATTCAGATGAAGGAGATTACACTGGGACAAAGAGAATCCTTTCAGCAGCATTTCCTTTCCTGTAATGAGAGCCTGCAGGAAGCTTGTTTAGCAGAGACTTGAGACACCTTCCCTTAAATGGGTGTCCTTCCATTTTCACCATTCCTGACCGTTGGGCATGAGGGTTGATCTTAGGACCCGGCTAAGAAAAGCTGAACTAAGAAGTAAAATATGTGTGGTGTTTAGATTCTGACCGCACTCCAGCTGCCAGTCCACTTCCACTCCGAGGGAAGGGGGAGAAGCTTAAAACAAGGACCAGGGTGGCGAGCTGGCTGGATGATGGCGTGTCACTCTAAAGTTCCCTATCTCTCTACTCTTCTTATGTGATTTTTAGCTCTATGCTCCACAGAACTCAACATCCGCTTCCGCTCATCCAGAGAGAAGACAAGAAACTCGGAAGGAAAGGTAGCCATGGAGACAAGTCGCTCTAGCCCGACCCTTCGGTACCTTGGCGGAGCCAGCGGTGTTGCTTCCTGCCGGTCGCTTTGCTGCTGCGGCTGCCCGGGCTGATCGCATCGTCCCGCACGGTAAGAGCGCCTCGCCTCGCCCGCTGCGGGACCGTTCCCAGGCCGGCCCAAGGCCTGAGCAGGGCGCGAGGGAGCAGCGGGTCCGCGCAGGAGGCCAGGCTGCTGGCCGGGAAGCGGAGCCGGTCCCGCTGACGCGGAGCCTGCGGCTGCTTCCTGCGGGATCCGAGCAGAGGCTGGAGGTGCGCGGCAGAGCCCTCGCGTCCTTCGGGCGAGATCGCCGCCCCGCTGCCGGGTGCTGAGCTGCCGACTCGGCTCTCGCGCTGTTTGGGCTTGGAGGCGAGGCGCTGCCGGGGGACGCAGGACAGCCGGAGGCGAGCGGAGCGGACCGTCTGGCAGCAGGTCTACTCAGAAGGAAACCCCTTCAGCATCATCCCCATCGCTGCCTCCAGCAGCGTTGCTTCCAGTTAAGGCTGTTTAGGGTTGTCGTGTGAACTGGTCCAGATCGGAGCAATGAGACCTTAACTGTTTTGTAGGATGTTTCTAAGTGTATTTATGGATCTTTGGTACCCAAGTAAAGTGCCATTGCATCATAGCAAAATATTCGTCCTTACGAATGCATTTTTCAAAGTATGGCCTTGTTACTATTTTCCATAATAATTTCCTACAATTCCAATTCTTTTCCATAATAACTGCATCCTAAAACCTAGACACTCCTTAACTGTCAAGTGTTTGCATCTTGTAATGGTAAAAAATGTGTCTTCTGAGACCAACAGAGATGGATGGACCTAGGCTTGTAATTTGACACTTGCCTGGTGGGCTGTGGTGAGTCAAGGTCACCCCCAATTACCAGGCAGGACATCAGTGTGTAGTGCAGATTATTAATTTGGATTTGCATGAGTATAGGAGTTCTGTAACATTTGTGAACTCACTTACAAGGCAGGATGATCCCACCCCCCACCCCACATACAGCAAATAATCAAGCCCTCTGTCTGTCTGTCTGTCTGTCTATGAAATAAATGCTTAATGAAATTGCATAATATGCAAAGCAAAGAAACCGAGTGGAAATGGGGAAAAGAGTCTCTTTGGAATTACCGCTCACCATTTTCTCCTTTGTATCTATGCAGAAATTCACAGCCTTTCTAGGAAAGGGTTTTTCATTCATTCTTTTGCAGTGTCACCAAAGATGTCCTCCTGCCCTTTTCCAAGATGAAGCTTTCTGAACTGAACTAATGTTTGATTTCTCAGTGGCACAGGGAGCGGGGAAATTTTGTAATGAGAAGGAATTAGTCAGCATAAAGCAGATTTTTCTTGATCTGGAAAGAGATTGTTCAGGTTGATCCTGTATCTCATGGATCCTGTAAGTGTCCAGAGAGGTTTGGCTACATGTGGTATAGAAATGCAGTAAATAGTATCTTAGAAATTCCTCCCTTTTCTTTCTTGCATGGCAGTGGCTCGTCTTGGCACGTGGCCATGTCCTCCTTCCCAAAAGCAAAGTGAGAGGTGGTGCAGTGTGATGATTCAGAATGTGAGCTGGAAGCTGTCTGTCCAAAGTTTAGCTTGCTCAGTGCTAACCCACTCACCTGGGTATAAACCCTATCAAATTCAAGCTTCTGGAGCAGACTTTTATAGGATTGTGCTGTGAACAGCACACTGTTGTTACGTGCTGTCAAGTTGTTTCTGACTTTCCCTAGCACAATTGTCTTATCCAATGAGTCTTGTTTTCTCCTGACATGCTCCGAGTGTGACAGCCCCAGTTTCAGCATTGTTGCTTCCAGGGAAAGCTCTGGCCTGATATGATCTAGGACCCAGTCCTTGGTCTTTCTGTCAGTCCAGGGAATTCGCGAAGCTCTGCCCCAGCACCACGTTTCAGATACATCAGTTTCCCCCCCTTGTCAGCTTTCCTCACTGTCAGTGATCACACCCAGGATAGAAGGGGCATTACCAACTCTAACCGCTCCCTTCTGTAAGTTGGGGGAAATCATACTGGCCCCCCCATCTAGCAACCTTTTCAACTTGGTGCTCACTACTCGTACTGGGGGAACACATCTAGAAAGCACCATGCTGGGGACGGCTGCTGAATATTAAAGAAAACAAAGGCTCTTGTAGTACCTTAAAAATGAACACATTTATTCTGGCATAAGCTTCTTTGGATGCTAATTCATCCATGGTATGAAGTGTTAGCCTCCCAATTCCATCCCCACATCCTGGGGTGGATGGAAGAGACGTATAAATTGTGCTACCTAAGTAAGTCAAAGGAATTTGCATCTCTCTTGAACAAAGGAATTTCAAACACAGATGCTGAAGTGAAGTTACAGTTCGTCAAGAGGTTCAGCTTGTTTCCTGTGGTATGAAGAGGACAAACAGGTCTGTTATTATTGTTATTGCACCGCGTAGGTTAGTTGGCTGGTCCTTGCAATGGTGTTTGTGTTCTTCCCCAACAGTGTTTTGTGAATGACCATTGTTAAAGTAAACCTCACTGGCTGCACTTTGTGTCGTTCCCTTCTGGCAACACAGTTCGCTGTTTCCTCTCTCCGCCTGCCAGTACCTGACCTCCAACAGTGTGGGGACCGGTGAGGCAGAGAGAGGGATCTGAGGTGAACACGTCATGCCCCTTCTGCGTGGGTAAGGATCACTTTCTCAAGGGCATCTTTCTGCATTTGTGCAAGCTCCCTGAGTTTGCGAACTGGAAAATCATCCGGCAGAGTTTTGGCACACATGCACATTGTGTACCCTCACATTTGGGTACACAAACACACAGTCAAATTTGGAAGGGAAACTTTCCAGTTTTTTTCCTGCTCATGCAAATCTCTGGTTCACGAGCTGAACTTATGTACGAACTTGAAAGCCAAGCAGATTAATGGCCGAGGGCAACCTGGGGATAGAAGACAGAATGCTAAATTTGAACTGTAGGGACCTGGGTTCAGAACCCTGCTGAACCAGGAAGGACCATGGATGGTGGGGACTTCTAGACCGGGTCAAATTGTGACAAGTGGGAAAGGAAATAACCCTTGTGAAATAATTTCTTTATCAGACCTCAGCGCTGAAGCAAAAAAAAAGCATGTTGATAGCTTGGTCTTCATGGTGACTGTCAAGTCAGGGGAGAGTCCTCTAGTGGAGGAATAGCAGGGAAATCTTTTCATGGTGTTGTTTAATCCTGGTTTTATTTTTGATCTTGTTTCTTTTATTTTTTTTAATTGCATGACCACTGACTACAGAAAACCTGTTTGGTTTTCCATGGATCTGCCTTCCATGAGAAAGTGGGCTCCATCTTCTTAGATGGTGCCTCCAACACTTACCGTGGCTCATTTAGTTAGATCTGGGCTTGTGGAGGGAGAAACAAATGCGGGGTTCACATTCTGGGAGGTTTCAGCTGCCCAGCATTCCAGATGTGGATGTTATCATATGCAGTTCTTGGGTTGCTTAACAAAGTGGGAGTGAGCGGTTGGGAGTTGGGGGTGGGCAGGGTCAGTCCCTTGCGCTCATGAACCACCATGGTTCGCAACTGAGCGTCGTTTGATCGGCCAAACCAGATCTTGACGTAAGCAAGGCTGTGTAAGAATGGGGCAGGGAAGTCCGCCTTCCCCCACAGTTGGTCTGGTTCATGTCTGGATCCAGGCCCAGGCTCTTCATCCAAGGGGGCACAGTAGGTGGCAGAGCACTTGCAATAATTCGTGACTTGGTTGAGGAACGGTTCTTTCTCACGCAGTCTGCCACTCCTTTGCAGCTTCCCTGGAGAGCCTGTCCCTCCTGGAGCAGACGACCTGGAGACTTATGTTTCTTGACTTGACTTCAGAGTTAAGAACTTCTTAGCAGCAGTAATCCTTGGCCAATAATAGCCTGTCTTCTGGGTGGCCAGACGAAAAGGAGGACAGAAAGCCTGGCTCTTAGGACGCATGTGCAGAAGAGAGAATTTTGACTCATGCAGCTTCTCAAAGGCCTCATCTATACAGGTAGCAGAAGGAGGGTGTTTAATTCTGGAGAAGAATGGGCTGCTGTTGTTTCAGACTGCAAGGAAGAGGGATCACATCTTGGGATAGGGTAGAGAAATCTCTTTATGAGTAGGGAATGGGTACAGTGGGGATTTGGCTGTGCTAGAATCTTTCTCCCTGATGTGATTTTTTTAACAGATACTGGGCAGGACTTAAAATAATTGTTAATATTCAGGTCACTAAAGATACGATATCTTCCAGTCAACTGCTAGTCTTCCAGATGCTGCTATGCAGCCCAGAGCCTTCCTTGCATTTAAAGGAACAGTTCAGGCCTTCGCATTATCACTTAAAGCTGGCCCATCATTTCCTGCAGATAACCTTTGGATTATCTTTTGCATGATGTTGTAAGCAACCAAGGAGTGTCACTCTATTGCATGGCCTGCAGGTGAGGTGATGAGGGCAAATATTTGCTCTTCCTTGCCAAAGTTATCTTGGTAAATTTTACTCTTGCTCAAAGTGCATATATCTTAGTTTTCTCCTTGTAACTGTGCTTTTCTTTCTTTCGTTTGTTCGCTCTTTCTAGAAACTGCATGGCTTCTAATGAGAATCTGAATCTGGGTAAAGAAACACCATTGGAAGATGGAATGCCCCCTGTCAAAAAGCCTAGGTAAGCATGGGTACAAAGGTAAAAAAGACCAGTGTAGTGTAGTGGTTAGCGTATCGGAGTGAATCTGGGGGATCCAAGTTCTTGTCCCCACTTGGCCACAAAGCTTACTGGGTGACGTTGGGACAGTCACTGACACTCAGTCTAACCTACTTCACAGGGCTGTTGTGAAGATAAAATTGAGCAGAGGATTATGTAAGCTGCCTTGAGTTCCTTGAAGGAAAAAACACAGGATATAATCATAAGAAATTTTAAAACAATCCAGATTTACCATGCTAGGGAGAAAGAGTCCACAGCTCTCCTTACCTGCAGGGACTTTAATGTAGGGGAAACTTCAGAAGCAGGATTTTAGTTCTACTAGGCCCATTCCATGGCAAGAATAATCCAGACCTCTGACTTTTTCTAGCACAGGCTGATGCTATTTCAAGGGGAATTTAAGCTAGCTGTCTTCTGCTCTTAGTTCAGTTACATGTACCTTGCAAAAAGCCCAAAGCAGCTGTTTACCCATGTGCTGTAACAGTTAGTGTGGCAGAGTCTCTCACTCTGAGTTTCCACTTGGCCATAAAGCCAATTTCTCAGCCTACTCTACTTCACAGGGCTGTACATGCCACTGCCAGTCTCTTCATGCTGCTTCCCGGCTTTGCTTCTGCAGGAAGCTGTTGCCGAGCCTGAAGACCAAGAAGCCCCAGGAGCTGGTTCTGGTGATCGGGACGGGGATCAGTGCTGCGGTGGCTCCTCAAGTGCCAGCCCTGAAGTCTTGGAAAGGGCTAATCCAGGCCCTGCTGGATGCTGCTATTGACTTTGACCTCCTGGAAGACGAGGAAAGGAGAAAGTTTCAGAAGTGTCTCTGTGACGATAAGAACCTCATCCATGTCGCCCACGACCTTATCCAGAAGCTGTCACCAGTAAGTTGAGCATCCCAGTGCACATTTCTGGTGACGCTGAGCCCTGCTGTATCAGTTCTGTCATTCTCTGCTTTCAATTAAAGTTGTCCAGAGCTAGCTAAATAGATGCTCTTTTACCACCCCTGCCCCCACTGTGAAGGAGGCCGATGGTGAAAAAGCTGAAATGCCCCACGCCTTGCCCAGGGTGTGGTCTGAACGCACAGGTAGCATGCTGATGCTAAGCAGGCCTGGGGCTGGTCAGTGCATGGAAGGGCGAACACTAATTCCAGTTTCCTCTGTGCTGCAGGGTGGGTGAGAAACCAGTGGTTCTCCAGATATTCTTGGACTCCACCTCCCAGCATGGCCAAGGACAATGGGAATTGCTGTTCAACAACATCTAGGGCCCACTTTACTAGAGTTCAATAACCAGTTTGGAAAGCTGTTTATACTTCCCTGCCAAGCTCAGGTCTGCAGGAGTTGAATCAAAAGTGCCAGCTAAATTAACATTTAGAATAGACTCTGATCTGTATGTTTTTTTGTTTTTAATTTCCTTGGCAGCGCACAAGCAATGTCCGTTCTACCTTTTTCAAAGACTGCTTGTATGAGGTCTTTGATGACTTGGAATCTAAAATGGAAGACACTGGGAAACTGCTCCTTCAGTCGGTGCTTCATTTGATGGAGAACGGCGCCCTCGTCCTGACCACAAACTTTGACAACCTGCTGGAAATTTATGCAGCAGATCAAGGGAAGCAGCTTGAGTCTCTGGACCTTACAGATGAGAAGAAGGTAAGTGGGTGGCACGCCCATGTGCGTCAATAGCAGCGGTCCCAGTGCGTCAATCCATTTGTTTCCCAGCATCTTTCCCGGCGCAGGAAGCAAGAGACTGTTTAATGCTTAGCAGGGCACTAGAACTTGCTAGATTTGCACCATTCGCTGCATCCACAGTGGTGCATCCTCGCCAGCCATCCCAGGCTCCCTTAGGGCTCATGTGCAGAGGCATCAGATGTCTCTGAAGAAGAGTGCACAGATCCTCTTTCTGTACTCCTGGTCATGTTCAGACAACATGAGCATCTCCCCCACCCAGACGTTATCCCCAGGTGTCTTCTGGCGCATGTGTTTCCATAAAGGTAGATGCATGAACAAATTTTGCATCCTCTTTTTCAGCACTTCTGCTTAAAACTTTACATACATACATACAGAATATATATAGAGAGAGGATCTAAAGGTACTTCTTGTATAGCCGTCCTCCAGTGATGCCCTCCAGTTGCTTTGGATTACAGCTTCTATCATTCCTGGTTATGGACAGTGCTGGCTGGGCTGGTAAGAGTTGAAGCCCAAAACATGGGATCAGTCAAAAGGCTGACCTAAATGCTCAGATCTTGTTGAGCAGTTCTGTGCAAAGGACATAAGATCTCGCAGCATTTCTGTTTTCTTTTTCATGTCAACGTATAATTCCAGATACATTTGGGGGAAGGTTTCTTCTTCAATTTCTGCTGGTGATGCACATGTACTCTGACAAATTTAATAATAAATAATAATATTTTCTGTTGGTGCAGAATAGAGCTGCCAGGTTGCTGACGGGGACTGGACGTTGTTCTCATATAACCCCATTTCTCCGTCAGCTCCACTGGCTCCCGATTGAAGTTCGGGCCCAATTCAAGGTGTTGGTTATGACCAATAAAGCCCTAAATGGCTTGGGACCTGGATATCTAAAGGAACGCTTACCTGCCTGCCCCTTGAGATCAGCAACAGATGCCCTTCTCTGGGAACCCTCTGTGAATGATATTAGGGGGGTGAGTACCCGGAGGAGGGCTTTCTCTGCGGTGGCGCCCCATCTATGGAATGCGCTCCCCAGAGAGGTCTGCCTGGCGCCGTCATTATTTGTTTTTCAGCACCAGGCTAAGACCTTTTTATTTAAAACTTATTTTAATTGTTAAATTATTTGTATTTATAGGATTTTAAATTTTTAGCCGAGATGCACCGGAGGTTTTTAAATAATTTTTTATTGTTTTATTGTTATTTATTTATGTATTTTGTTTCTGTCGTGAGCCACCTTGAGGCTTCGTTGCGATGGGAGCGGCATAAAAATGTTTTAAATAAAATAAATAAATAAATAATTTCAGGGATATTTGTTCAGTAGAGACTAGCTGATGCTAATGCATTGTGAGGAGAAAAAAGCCTCTTATATATTAAAGTTTTAGAAAATGCACCCAAATTTCCTTCTGTTTTGTTTTGTTCTTTTGTTCCCAAAAGCTGATAATTCTTCAGACGGATTTTTTTGTTGGAATTGGCCCTGTGCCCAGCTTACATCAAAAGACATGTAAACAATGGAAGAGCTATTTCTTGTTCCACTACTTGATTTTGTATAATGTTTTTCCTGTGTGCATTCTTGAACTCTGCCTCCATCATGGCTTTTCATGTGTGGTAGTCTTGATCAGAGCGAAGAGAACAAACAGGGGACAAGCTGTGGAGGAATGAATAAACACCAGAAAATGTGGAAGTGTTATAATCAAAGAACCTTATCTGGCAAGCTTTGTATGTGCCGAATCCTGTTGAGAAAAGGTTCCGTTGCTCACCTTTTAGGGTAGGGGAGGGAGATCAGAAATTTAGGAGCAAAGCAAGTATGTAAATAGAAAAAAGAAAAGAGCTCCTCTTTATACATTTTTTTAAAAAAATGAATACTGCATTTATTATCTATTTGCTGTAGGACATCTGTCCTTTTTCCTTAATGCACATAATTCTGGCTTTTACTGAATGGTATTTTCAGAAGCAGAACCTAAATTCAGACTTTTGCATCACAGCAAAAAGCAAGAGCAAGCTATTCCCAAGAGGCAGGAAACAAAATTTTGAGGAAGCAACATGGCAAGAGCAGGAATGTGAAAGGAAGACATAGTGAAGAACAGCTCAGGAGGAGTGTGGGATGACATGGCAGAGAGCAGCTTCAGTGGCCACACTCCCATCAGCAATATCCATCATAGCCAATGTTGCAGGATCATGGGACATGTGGCCTGGAAACACCTGGAGGGGTCCAAGTTGCCCACTGATATTTGAAAAGTGTGATCGGACTCCACATGAAAGAAGATACATGCCTCATCGGCATCTGAGTGCTGTTTCTTGTGTTTTCACACGCTCTAAACTGAGCCAGGATAGCGCTTCCTTCTCAGCTGTCAGTACCAGCAGTGATTCCAACAGACTTACATGAGAGGGAGCACAGGGCTATTCTGCCAACCGTGCTAAAAAGAACAAACATCTCCTCCTCCTCCTCCCTTTTTAGAGTGCAAGCCTGCATCCCAGAACTGCTTTGTTAAATTGATCTACATGTAAGTCACTTTGAAGAGTGGCATAAAGTATCTCCAGTGAATAATTCAGTAAAGACAGACGAGGAAGGCAAAATCGACTGGAGAGTCATCCTTTGAGGCAACCATATTGGCACAACAGTGCCTGGGCCTTATTCCCTTGCCCCTCACTGTGCCCACCCCTTGGCTGTAGCCAAAGCATCCCATTCCTTGCTCCGGGTGGACCACAGCTGGGGTCTGCGGCCACCGCACTGGCCTGAGAACATCTCCACGAACGTAGCAGCTGTGGGTGGTGGAAAAGCCTGGTGCTGTGACGTTCAGATGAATGCAGATGCATGGGATTCGTCTGTAGGTACTCATACTTCCAGGAGGGCGGGATCTGTAAGCACATTCAGATCATGCCGAATGCCTGGAATGTGGGCTGGAAGAGAAACGATTCCTGGCTGCTCCCAGCCAAGGTCAGTAGCCTGTGGAAAGCGAGGGGGGGTGATACTGCGGAGACACTGAGCACTTCTTTTAAAATCCCGAACAGGTGCTGGAATGGGCACAGGAGAAAAGGAAGCTGAGTGTCCTACATATTCATGGTGTGTACACAAATCCCAGTGGAATAGTGCTGCATCCAGCCGGCTACCAGAACGTGCTACGCAACACCGAAGTAATGGTGAGACTTGCGGGCGTGGTTAATGCTTCCCGTCTATGCATGCACTGAGCCCCGGTGCTTGAGGCCTCTGGGATCGGTCTGCTAAAGGTCAGGGATTGCTGGATTAGAAACAGGTGCCACGATCACACAAAGGTTAAGCTGGCATGAATAGATGCTGTGCATTTGTCACCCCTGTGGATGTCGCATTGCAGTTACACCGAGTCCGCATCCTCACCATTCAGATGTCCATTGTTCTTCTCGCACATTAGCCCTTGTGTATCTACAAATAGAGTTGGATTGGGACATCGAATTGACACCAGCTGAAGTTACTCATTCGGTCTGTTCATTCAGCCACCCCTTCCTTCTTGGAAGCTAACAAAAGACTGAAATATTAGCGATAGCTAAGTTGCAGCAGTGCCATGGATAGCCTTAAAATGACAGGTGGGGTTGCAGCTGAAGGTCACCTTCACCGTGGCTATGAAGGTTTGTCGGAAAGGAATTCATACCTGTATGGTTCAGCCTGTGTGCTTAGCGGTTAGAGTGCTAGAGTGGCACTCGGGAGATCTGCGCTCTCGTCCCCACCTGGCTTTGAAGCTCACGGGGTGGTTTGGGGCTTGTCAGGCACTCTCGGCCTGACCAGCTTTCTGTTGGGAGAATAAAATGGAGAGAACCACCTCGTAAGAGGCTTTGAGTTCCTTGCCGTGCAAGAAGAAGAAAGGTGGGCTGTAAGTGTAATGCAGTCATAATAAAACGAAGTGTGTGCAGATGGGTGTCCCGAGCTCTCCTGCCTCACGTGGCTTGGTTCCAGGGAGCCAGGACTGAAGAGGGGTGCAAGACGGTGTGTCTTTGCCCAGTGCTCATAAGGAGCAGCCTAAGACCGGGACAGGCCGTGGCTTGAGCTGGGCCAGCACTGTGGATGCCAGTTGGAAGCACCGCTCCTTGGTTCCCAGCAGGGTTCCTTTCTAGCCCTCTGTGGACACAGTACGTTGTGACTGAGCCTGGGGGTTTCTGCAGACAAAGCCTGTGCTGCGCTTCGGGGGAGCAGAACCCCCCGGCTCCCTATGCAGCTGCTGCTCAGGTAGACGGACAATCTGGTGCTTTCTTTTCCTTCTCCCCAACCCCAGGCCTGCCGGGTCAGCCCAGCCCATAAGTCTCACTTAGCTCCACTCAGTATGGTAGAAGAGAGCCTGCTCTTTTCTCGGAGATTGCAAAACGGGAAGAGGAGAATTAAGACATACGTTTCCTTTTTCGAAGGTTGTGCAAATCAGTCACTGAATCAACCATAGTTGCTCTGGCAAACGGGAATGCGAATTTCAGCAAAACCCAGGCTCACCCAATTCCATCTCAAAGCTCATCCTGACTTGAGTCTGCATCGAGTCTTCATCACAGGGCAAACTTTGTGTGAAAATCAGCATCTTTGCATGCATCAGTTCTGCACATCTTTGAAATGAATGCACTCCAGTCCCACTGATTTTTCAAATGTGCACATGCTGTCAAATGCATTTTTGCTTTGACCTGCAGATTAACATTGTAAACTTGAAAACATGCAGTCTATGACAACAGACTGTAACTGAGTCCGTGTTTGGTCTGGAAGGTGTCACTTGGGTGAATCCTGATTTTAAAAAAATGAACGGAAACTAATTTCTCACAGATTCCTACACACAAGCCTTTTCCCCATAGTGTACTGCCCCTCCCAATATGCATGCAATAGTGAGCTTCGGGAATGTTGTTGACCCATGTTGGGCTGCCAGTACAAACAGACTCGCACTTGTTGTTGTGAAAAGCCAGCTTGCTGCTTCTGTCCAATTCTTTTTTTTAAATAAGTTTTATTTGAAATTATAATCCTAAAAGAAAACAAAAGAAAACTGCAAACAACATCCATCATCAAAAACATCAAGCCTGCTGGGTCAGTCCCACACCCTTCTTTTTCCATTTATGATAACTTGAAAACATATTTAAATCTAAGCCAAGCCCCATTTCTCTAGCCAATAATAGAAAGAGTCCCGAGTTTGATAGAAGTCAGTATCTTCTTTCTCCTTCAGTGATAAAGTCAATCTATCCATTTCTGCACAGTCCAGAATCTTTTTTAGAATCAGTTCATCGGTGGGTAGTTCCTCACTTTTCCAGTCTTGAGCGAATGCAATCCTTGCCGCAGTGATTATATGTAAAATCAAATACATTTCTTGTTTACTAATGTCCTCCAGTATAATGCCTAATAAAAAAACGTCAGGTTTAAAAGCTAAGGATTTTTGTAACATTTCCTCGAGCGATTTATGTATTTTAATCCAACATTTTTCACATTATCGCAAGTCCACCACATATGATAAAAATCTGTTGTAAGCCGCCCCGAGGCTTCGGCGAATGGGGCGGCATAAAAATGTTTTAATAAATAAATAATAGTACACTTGACTGTAAGATAGATTCCCAAATACTTAACCTTCTTGACAATCTGCAAATCTACTTGTTCCCGCAGCATTTTTCTCTGGTCTCGTGTAAAATTTTTAACTAACAGTTTCGTCTTTTCTCTTGCCTCTGTCCAATTCTTGAAGCCCCACAGTTCTTAAGACAACAGATTTGGTACCCTTTTCTTTTTCTTTTTATAAAGCGGGAGATCCAAAAGTTGTATGAAGCCAAATCATTCTTGTTCCTGGGCTGCGGCAGGACTGTGGATGATACAACCTTCCAGGCTCTCTTCCTAGAAGCTGTGAAGCACAAATCCGACCTGGAGCATTTTATGCTCGTGCGCCGGGGGGATGTGGACGAGTTTAAGAAGCTCCGGGAAAACATGCTGGACAAAGGGATTAAAGTCATCTCCTATGGGAACGAATATGCAGATTTACCTGAATATTTTGAGAGGCTGGCAAATGAGATCTCCAACCGGGGCAGAGCAGGTAAGGGGGATGATAACCTTGTTAGTGGGGCAAGGAGGACTGCCAAGAGCCCCCAAAGAAATTAGAGGGTTCTTCACTTCCCTGTGGGCATAACATACACTATGACAGCTGTCTTGAATTTTAATCTGTTACAGGATTTACTTGTAACAGGAAAATCTGTTTCAAAATATTATGAGAAATGAAAACATTTCCTCTTTGGGGGATTTTGAATTTTGCTTATTATACTTCTGCGTATCACAAACTTCTGCTGATCTGAGTCCTCTTCCTAAAAGCTGCAAAGCTCAAATCCAATCTGGAATCATTGGTCAAGTGGATATCTGCTTAGATGCACTGAGATCACCGCCCCATGTTTCCAGATCTTATGTTCTAGGCTGTTCTATATAAATGGCCTTCATTTTTGAGGCCTCATGGAAATTGGAAGTACCGGAAGATTGGAGGGCAGCTTCAGTGACCTCAGTCTTCAAAATGGGTAACAGAGGAGACAAGGAGAACTGCAGGCTAGTTAGCCTTATATTCATTCTGGGAAAGACGATGGAAAAGCTCGTAAGGAAAGCTCTAGATAGGGGAGGGGGTTGCCAGCCACGCAGCATGGCTTCTGTAAAAATAGGACCTGCCAGACAAACCTTGTGGAATTCTATGACAAGGTTTTGAGGTGGCTAAACAGAGGGGACACAGTGGGTGTGGGTTACCCAGATTTGAGCAGGGCCTTTGACAAGGTGTTGCATGGTATCTGGGTTGAGAAATTGATGAGCTTTGTTTGAAGTTTGCACAGGCAAAAATTACTCCTTGCCATTTTCTGTAGTCAGTCCTGCTTTAGCATCACTCCAATCACTGGGTTTTTTTCTGTTGCTGCCAGGTCTACCTTGGGAGGGGCAACTAAATGGCACAACTGCTGCACACTCTGAAATCAAAGCTACGGAACTGACTTAATATTCGAACCCCCTTGGAAGACGAGCATTGCTAACCAGCAGCTACCACTCGAGACTGAAATTGTAATCTCTCGCATGTGAGAACAAAGTAAAAGGCATCCAGGCGACCATGGAGGATCCCTTAGAAAACATGGCAAACATCTCCCGATCTCAGAACTGCAGTGAGCAGTGTCAAGGTGGTTGTTGCTCAGCTAGGGAAATAGCAGAGCCCGGAAAAGAAAACGTAGCGCCGATTTCAGTAGCGTTACTTCTGGAGTGGCAGGGGCGAATCTGACAATTTATCCTAAGGCCTTTTTTTGCTTTTTAAAGGGAATATCACAATCAAGTCCGCACAGGGAAGAACTCTTTAAAATGTGAAAGTGGGGAGGCTTGGAAGCTAACTTTTATCATTCAGAAAAGCAGAGAAAATCCCTGCCGTGTGTGTATAGCTAGCAACTAAGGCCGCATCCAGATATTATTCCAGATTAGAAAATGCTGTCCTTCCGGGTTTAGGGACAGAGCGCTGGTGATTTTTGTGCTTCCTGTCCTTTCTCCTTGGTGTATCCTTCCCTTCAGGGAGAGGTGCCCAATCTGTTTCTGCATCAGGAGCCCAGAGGCGAGGGGCCACTTCTCCAGAGGCAGCGACTGAGTCTGCAGAATGAATATTCAGGCATCAGTTGCGCCATGACTCTCCATTACCCATCACTCCCTTGCAAGGGGGACTCTCTTGAAGCTACTGTAGAACGCTGCTCCACAAGCTTCTTAATGAAGTGGTAGAAGCCATTCTGACTTTCGAAGAGGTGGTTAATACAAGGGACGGTTCACCTTCTGGTGAATGAGCTTGACTGTGTGCCTTGTCCAGCTTCCCAAGAGCTATTTTGTCAGCCAATCCCCATTTTCATCAGCTGTTCTGTTACCAACCCTCTGCAGCTGTCTGTGGGTTCTGTTAGGCCAGTTTTCAAAGTATCAGCCTAAAAGTCATCTGTATGTGGGGTGCAGCGGCCAACAGCAGAAGACGCTCCCTTAGAGGAACTGCACCACAGAGATCCTTGAGGTGAATACTTCTGCTGACAACTGTAACCAAGATGCTGGCAGCTCCTAGGAACTCCACTGCAACTCTCAAATTTGCTTGTGGAAGAAAAAGAATTGAAACCTTACCTTCTTGGAAGTGCCCTGCCAAGTCTTCCTTTGCTGCTGCCCTGACATGTGAAACTTTAAAAATATGACTTGACACAAACATTCTTGGACCTTTTGGATCTGAGCATGAAGACTTGTTCTCAATAGTGTCTTTTTTTTCTATTAATCTTGTGTCTGCAAGGAGATGCATCCTCTCCCAACTGGGAGGAAGAACTTGCTACTAGTGCTTAGATATGCTGTAAGGGTTTTGACACAAGCATTTTCAACTACTTGAAACTCTAGTTTTCTAAGTCCTTTCTTTATACACCATGTTTTATATGTCCTAAACTGTAATAAAAATGTTGCTCACTTGTCACTGGTTTTGGACAAATACACGGAGGGATTCAGGGCTACTGCCAACTAAGATGGTATTATACCTCCAGATTCTGTGCTGGTTGATGCTCTAAATACCAAGTTGCTGGAAAGGAACCATGGAAAAGCGCTATCCCTTTCATGTCCTATTTGTGGGAAACAAGATTCTAGATTAGGTCAAGTTTTGGTCTAATTCAGCAACGTTCTTCAGAGTAGGAACAAACCAAAGCAAGCCTTGGATTCATATCCTTCCCTTCCTTTTTCCTCCTTCCTCTAGGTGGGAAGCTTTCACATCCAGTCGTGCTGTTGTCCAGTCCAAGAACTATGGTTAAGCTCAACTATAACCAAGTCAACTTTGGTTGGCCTGTTTGAAACTAATTATATTTAATACCAGCCATGATTTGCTGGTACAGATGACCTGACCAAACCATGGTGAAACAAAGGCTTCCAAACTGTTCGTCATGCCTGAGCATGAAGAGGTGAAGGAACCTTAATGGTTTAGAACCATGTGCAAATCATGTGCCAGTCATAAGCACACCTTGTTCACCAAGTTTGCGCAGAGCTCTTCTGCCATTGAGCACTGGAGGGCTGTGTTTCAGAAAAGCTTGCCTGCCATTTTGGATCTTCCAGTGGAAGCAGCTAAGAAACTTCTGGAACACAGTCTAAAGCCCTGGTTCTTACTACCAAAGGAAAAGTATGTGGTTTTTCAAAGAAATTTTATTATATAAATTACTTTTAGCAGACAGCATTCAACGTATTGCACTAGAGCACATCTGCGATACCGAGCTACAAGACGTCTTCATAGAATTTTGTATTATTCAACATAGCACTTTATACCAGGATCAAGAGGCACTCTGGAGGGAGGGGGGAAGGGGGCAGAAAAGCAGCAAGCAACCACCAGCCTTGCCCGACCAGAATGTTCCTTTCATAGACTGGTTTGGAAAAGCAAAAGCCAGTGTAGCAAGAGCGCATGCAAAGACCCATACTGAACCATTTTATTCTGACCACTGATGATTAGACAGCAAAATATAGGTGAAGCAGAATTATTTGGCCAGTTTACACAATCGAGCAGTCCACCCTGGCTTGTCAACTCAAGCCAGAGTTGGTGGCCATTTTGAATGTTTAAGCTACAACCATAGCTTTTTGTGTCCTCTGAACCAGCAATGGTGGATTGTTAGCATGATTAACAAACCATCCGCAAACAGCCCATGCGTTCTGGGTGGTTTGTTGACTGCCCTCATTGGGTTCAGATGGCACAACAAGCCACAGTTGCAGCTTGAATATTTGAAAGCTTTCTGGCCTGTGCCACAACCCACTGTAGCTTAAATAAGCCACAGTGAGCTGTGATTGTTCAAACCTGGTTATGGAATTGGACTCTGTAAGATCAGGGAGGAGTCATGTGGTGCAGAAGATACCCAACTCTTGATCTGATATGGTCATCTAGCAGCATTAAAGTGAATCCACACAAGCAGCTCTTCTTCTAGCTACATGTTTGTTTTACCTGGTTTGGATTAGACCCTGTTTTGGGGGGTGAGTTGGGGGGAGGGGCAAAGGTTCCTTATGAGCACAAACTTCAGCTTTGCACACTCAACTTGAGTGCGTAGTGTGCAAAATTACAGTACGTGCTCCCCAAAAATGATTAAGTCAAGCTCAACGCAAGAGGGGAATTGCAGTGACAAGCATGGTAGTCATGACCCTTGGCTGGCATTCATTCCCACAAAAACAAACACAACAAAAAGATGAAACAAGCAGCAGCTCTCTGGTCAGCTGGGGAGACATCATCAGGAAAACACAAGTGTGAGATCAGAATTGGCCCTGAAGGCTCCTTAGAAGCACTACGAGACCTGGAAAAATAAACGGACAGTTCTGCTCCACTGCCAGGAGAAAGGAGGACCCACTGCCTGTCTCTCCAAGTAAGAAGACTGACCCTCGTAATGGTTAATGCTTTGGTCTGAAAATAAACCAAAGCAAACTGTGATGATGAAGCTTGACCCAGTAGAACTTTCACTAAGCTGCATCAATTTCCACTCCAGGTTAGCTAACTTGCTGTGAAGAATCAACCCAATAGCCAGCAAAAGGACTCTCGTGCATTCTACCTCACCGCAACGTCATCTGGAGTGGCTGTGCAGGCCCAGGACACAGAGCGAGCTTTACATACATCAGAGCTCACAGGTGCTGTGTTAGCAGCAGAGCAACCGCTAACCACTACATCCTTCTAACACTCACGAGCCAATACGAAGCTCTAGGTCCATCCTTCGTCCCAGGCGGGCAGAACAAAGGAAGATAGGAAAAAGGGCTCAACTGGGCAGGTGAAGATGGCCTTGAAAGTAATCCAGCCAATGGACTTTTCAGCTAGAGAAAGATTCTCTCTTCTTCACTCCCAGCAAATACTTTAGAGCCACTGAGCATGACATGCGTAGTTCATTTCAAATGAGAGTAACATCATGGACAAAAGGCGCCCTTTGCTAAAATGAGAGAAGGAAAGTGTGCGTTAAAAGAAAACAAAAGGAAGACTGAAAGACAGAAAAGTCATCTCTTCTTTCAGCTTCCCTCTGTTCTTTGTGCACTATCCCAACAAAATAAAAATAAAAAGGACAAAGACAATCACACTGGCAAGCACATTCTGAGACATCCGCAGGAATTTGGTGCAATAACTGGTGGTTAAGCCTTCATGAGAGCAGCAACCACAGCCTTGGCATTAAGGCTACGCAGGTCAGAGTAGGTCTGTCCAGTACCCACAAACACAATTGGTTTACTAGTGATGTACGTCATGGAGATCGCAGCACCAACCTGGGGAGAAAAAAGGCAACCGTTAGTGGGTTTCAGCAGACAACATCGGGATAAGTTTACCAGATCCGTTTGCATGGTGAAGTTGCACCAAGCTGTCACTCCAGCTAAAGCACCTATGGTGGGCTTCCTCGATCTGGTGCTTATGTGGTCCAATACATCAGGAAGACTCACTCCAGGTTGGGGGCCTTATAGCCTTGAGACACATTGGCCTGTTTGGCATGGAATGCCAATCCTAGGTCTCACTTGTCGCTTTGCCCAATGTTTAACCATAACACATCTGCCATGCAAAATGCAGGCTTTGCCCCGCTCCAATTCCTGGGCTGCTTCCTTTTCCCTTTGTCTACAACCTCCCTGTATCCCAAATAGCTTTGCAATGCTGTACCACTGGCATGTAGTCTTTTTTTAAAGGCCACCCCTGCCTCTGTAGCCTGGTGAAACAATCCAAACCACCTTGAGTCCACAACCCAACAAATCACTGAGTCTCCTTCTGGTTAGTTCAAGATTAATAACCTATACTTAACCTGTAGTTACAGGTTCACACATAGCAACCCAAGTTTGAACAACCCATACTCTGGGTGGTCATTTATTTATTATGCTTGAAACCAGGTAACTCCAATGGATTGTTAAAGGTATTTCAGCCACAACTTTCTCCGGCTTCACCAGAAGCCACTTCCACAGATTATTCTTAGGATACCCAGAGCCACACAAAACCCACTTGCTACTTTAAGAGGAAAGGAAGCTCCAGGTGGAGCACGTCCCTGGCCGCTAAAGTAAACCTGAACTGCGGGCTTGCTTCACCTTGTCGTCTATGGCGTCAAACTTGGTTAGCACTATCCCATCGATGAGACGTGGGGTCTGAGACATAGAATGATCAGCGAGAGCCTTGTTAAACTTGACCTGGGGATGGAAGGAGACAAGGCAGAATTTTCACAAAATGCTCACCTGTGGACTACAAATATTTTTCCATGTACACACACACCAGGCGTGGGGGTGTTCCGAGAGCTGTTCCACACATTTATGTTGCATAAAACGGGGGCAGCACTTCCTGGTGCACGTACCTCAATACAGAGCTGCTAAACCTCAGTCTGGACTGGAGGCAGGGGACATCCAGCCCCCTGGGGTTCTATTGGTGGGCATGACCTCTTCCTCATTTCTTCAGGTGGCTTTTTGATACCTTCTTCCTACCACCCATCATTTGGGCAGTTTTCTCACTTTTCAACCCCCCTGCCCTGCATTCTGAAGGACTGAATTGCCTCTTCTTCAGCTTAGTTGTTATCAGGAAGAGATTTAAGATAGGCTGGTACTGTTGGGCCCACCACTTTTGGCCCACCCACCACTGGCTCAAGCCCACAAGAGTCCCCCTGCACTAGAATTCAGTCTCAAGGGTAAAAAGGCTTGTGCACCTTCCACTGTGGCACATGTCCTGAGTGTAAACACAGCATTGCATGGAACAGCTCTTGCCTTCCGCCTCTTAAACGTGTAGTTCAAACCACTGTGAGTCAGGAACTCACCAGCTGATCCACAGCCTCGTTTCCCACCAAGGCCTCCCCCACAAACAGGACGAGATCCGGGGCGTTGACTGCAATGAGTTTAGCCAGAGCTGTCATCAAAGGAGCATTGTCTTGCATACGGCCCGCCGTGTCCACCAAGACCACATCAAATCCCTGGTTACGTGCTGGCGAGAGAAGAGGAGTTGTACTTACTCGAAAGGAACAAATAAGGCAACGGCTGCAGAAGGGTGGGCGATCCAAATTCACTGCTATGAATGGGAGCGTCCTGGTATTTACAACTGCTTTCTCCTTATGAGTTAACAGAGCAGAGCCAAATAGCCAAATTTGTGAGAGTACATAAGGCTGGCTGTCAAAACTGCTGTGGGAAACCTATGCTTTCCTGCCCTGCGGCCAGATTCCTCATGGAACAGCGCTCAGAGGACTCTGCTCTGAAGTAGATACAAAAAACAAAAACAATCCCTCACTTCCAATCCTATTATGAGAAAAAATTCTCAGCTGAAGTTCTACAATACCCCACTACCCTGTAATTTATTGCATTTGTTGCCTTACTGCTAGAGTTCCTGCTTGCCTCCCCATCACTTCTGCAGTATCTATCAGATATTGCCCACAAGTTTGAGCCTATCTTAGCCATAAGAGCTAGAAAGCTTTAAAAATAGTTTGTCAGGATGCTGAATACTAGTTATGATGCTGCATTCTTCAACTAATTATGCTTCCAGTCCACATGGTCAGGAAGTAAATGAGTCCTTTTTCCAACCCCTAAGGCTGCACTGAATCTCACTCCTCCCAGGTTATGATCTGAATGACAATTAAGGCACAGCTAGAAACCAGGTTCCTTCCCAAGTATAGGGAGAGAAGATACGGAGACAGGTTGGCAGAACAGCCTTTCCATTAGGCCAGCTCCATTTTGGCAAAGATTTGCTTCGAGTAGCATTTGGCATATCCTCAGAAATAACATTCCAGCAGACCTGGAGCACCCCAGAAAATTGGAATGGTTTTGGAAAGAAGGGAGGCTTGTGCTGCAAAGAGCTTGTGGCTTGGATGGAAGGAGTGGGGATCAGAAGGTGGGGAGCTTTACCGTACAAAATGGCCTCCATGGCAATGCCAGCCGCATCCTTCCCATACCCCTTCTCATAAAGCTGCACCATGGTGCGGCCACCATGGTCCTCTGGCGGGTGCAGAGCATTCAAGCGCCGAGTGTGAGTTCGCAGCTGCTCCACAGCTCCAGCACGGAACGTATCACAGGCAGCAATGAGAACACTGAACTTGTTTTCAATCAGCCAGAAAGAAATCTGTGGGGGCAGGAGAACGTTATCCCTTCCCTGGTGCACCGCGCAGCTTCCAAACAACAATAAAAGGGCTCCTGACACATGTGCTTCCTGCCACATCTGTGCATGCCAGGCTTCCCCAGTCGAGTGCACGCAAGATGCGCCAGGACTATGACTCCCGTAATCTCAGCCAGCCATGCTGGTACGGGAGTCTCAGAGTTACACTGCCAGCACATTTGGAGGGTGAATGGCTGGGGGAAACTGACATTTCCACTGGGTCGTATTTACTGAGCTCTTCTGCAATGCAAACCCTCAGCATGAGTGTCACGTGAAGAAACCCAGGCTCCCGAGAACCTTAGCTTCTTCTCTTTGAAGACTGAAGGCCTTCTTAAATAAGTTATTGCGAGAAAGATGAGCTTGAAACTTGGACAGAGCTTTGCAAAATCTGAGAAGGAAAAATGTGTGCACACGCCTATGCACACAGGTGAAGGCTGGTTCATTCATCCATATGCAAATCATTGAAATCTGACACACAGAGAATGTATGAACTCTGCATTGAAATAAGTTAGCTGCGCGCTGGCATCAATGACAGCAAGTTCCATCTGTGACACCTCAAGTCACAGTCTCCTGTACTAGGTGGTGATTGTGATGAATATGAACACCCAAACCAGCTCTTAATCTTTAAAAATATATTAGCATGCAAGACTAAAGACATTTTTCCAGTGACTGCTACAATATATGCAAATGCCAGAATACTTGAAAAAGAAGAGACTCTAAGGAATCTACCAAGACCACGTGAAGCAAACACCACTGCTTTTTAATCTGAATGGGGCCACTAACTGGCCACCCATATAGAAGTTTTGTGTGACACTTAAGGACTCAGTTACACCTCAGGTCATCCTCCCCTCATTATTCATATACATATTCATTAAATTTATATTCCACCCTTCTGCTGGTGCTTAGGGTAGCTAACAGTAAAGTACAGATTAGAAACATAATCTTGATTAAAAACACAGCAAAAACAATTCAAGCAGAACAAAACATCTTGTCACTTAAAAACCCACACTTCAGCAACAAAGTAGGACATGCGAAACGTCTCTCCTAAGGAACTTAATATTTAAAGTTGTATAGGGCTTCACAGGTTGAAGAGAAATGTTAGCTTTCTGTGGAAAAAGCACGGGCCACAGCATTTTGCTTTCCATCAAGACACCTCCTGAGTAAGAACTGGGCCTTCCATTATGTCTGCAGGATGTGACCTGATGTCTTTCCCCTTGCTTTGCATGCTGGCGACTGTACACTGGCATCTTGATCACAAAAGGTTTAGGTACTTCCAAACCCTCTTCCCATAATCACACACACACAGGTGCCCTTGGGTACCTTGGCCAAGTTGGTTGACTTCCCAACTCCATTGACACCACAAAAGGTGATCACGTAAGGTCGACGGTGACGCTGGGCATCCATCACATCACGCAAGACATCCACGCGGCGCTGGGGCTGTAGGATCTGCACCAGAGACTCCTGAAGGGCCTGCTTCACTGTTGAAGTCACCGCTGGGAAATTGGAGGCAAACCATGTGTCGCAGACTGAAAGATCCCAATCAATCTACCCCTTTCCATATCCTTCCTTAAAACTTAGGAATATCCCCAAAGGAGCTATAGTAACAGGCCCCATACAGCTTGCTTTGCAGAAAAGCTGTGTCACTTTGGGACAGCCTTTCCCAGCATAGTGCCCTCTAGGTGTGTTGGACTGCAAGTTCTGTCATCCCCAGGCAGCATGGCCATTGGCTCACGGACACCAAACCGGGGAATGCTTCCTGTCTGGTGAACATAAATTCTACCATTCCCCCTCTGGGAATCACCAACCCCTCTAATCTATCCCTATCAGCAGCTGTATCCAGTGTTAGTCTAACCCCACTCATTTCAATGGGTCTGTTTTAAGTAGGACTAACACTGGAAATAACCTTCAAGGCCTCAACAGCCTGCCATGGGTAATTTAAAAAAAAAAGTGGTAAAGTTGCAGTATATGCAGCTACCATTTTGAATTATAGTATTGGGATAAAATGAAATCACAGCATGGTAACATTTAGAGAACCTGTACCTCTCTTGGGCCTAGGCATGTACAACCCCCCTGCCTCCATCTCCATCCAGACATACAGTATTTGCATCACGTGGACCGATTTGTACAAGCAACATTTTGGACATCAACCCCTTTTCCAGAGGTAGAAGAACTGTGAGGAACAAACACGGAAGTGTACAGATGTACTTGGGTACACCTGCATCCTATTTTATGGGTTATATGGAATACCATATATCCACAATGTCACACACATTCTTTCCTGATGGCAGATTGTGTAAGGAGGCCTTTAAAGTTCAGGGAAAGCAACAATCTAAAGTAGGCTGCAGAGACACAAGGATTCAGTCCAGAATTCATGAGTGTTTGGGCATATATTCAAGGAAAAGGAAGTACACTTCAATGGCTGTCACTGAAAAATAAAGGACGCTTACTAGTAAAGGTGCCCATCACTTTGCCTTCCAGCTTCTTTGCAACAGATTCACACAGCTGAACAGCAATCTCAGCAGCCACGTTTTTAGCTTTAGGAAGAGGAAAGCCAGAGGGCAAGTTAAGTGGTGATGCCGCTAGGCACAGTGTTTGGCTGAAGAAAGCAGGATGATTTGTTTGCAAGCTCCAAAATGAGTTAAGTTTGTGGTCTCCCCTTCAACGAACAGAAGTTGTACTTTAACTCATGACTCTTGGGTGGGGGAGGCTGACAGTAAGTCACTCAAACACCCCGAAACCAGCTCAAAAAAAAAATTGGACCCGGCTTTCTTAGATCCAACCCAAACTTCTGCATCCCCCACCTCCTGTGGAAATCCGCTCATCACAGGATACTGAAATTCAGGTAGTCATTATGCAAAACGCCTGGACCATCTAGGTAGGCTGCTTAGAGCTCTGGAGAGTAAAGATGTGGCATTAATATTTGAAAAAAAGGCGACATGACAGGCAGCTGTAGAAAGAATTATTGACCCCACAAGAGAAGAAAAGGCTCTTTGGCCATATATTTTTCCTTGTAAATGGTCAGAAGCATTAAAGCACCATGAAGTAATACATAAAGCATCCCAAACGTCCATCAGAGCCCAATCTTAACAGCCAAGAAGAATCCACTTTAATAGAATGATACTGGAGATCTGAAGCATTTAAATCCCTTGCAACGTGTAGGTCAAAACATTTGCAAGGTCTACTAGATGCCAGCCCCCGCTGTAAAACTTGCTGCTGGCCTCCCTTCCCTCCCTCCACTTAGCCTTCAAGTTTACAAGGCCAGTTTTCTTGACTTTGTTCCATACTGTTTATGCACACCTCACAGAAGGAGCTGTGGGAGTAAGGGGCAGAGTCCATCCATCACCACCCGGCAGTCCCAAGGTAGCCTAGACCCAGAGGAACTCAAACTTACTGATCAAGTGATCTTTCATCTTCTCCAGCACAGGGTCCATATCCTCTCTGGTTAAGCTTTTAGAGCCCACAAGGCCTTTCAGCATACCAAACATGCCTCCAAGGCCACCTTTCTTGGCACTGACAACGGGAAGGCAGTGTTAGATCACAGGAAGAAATCTGGCAATTCACTCAAACCCACACCCTGGTCTCTCCAGTGAGAGAACATCAGCATTTTTCACGACTAATGGGTCTCTATTAGTTAAAGTACCGTAGAGTGAATAAGAGCACAGAATCAATGACTGCATGCAACCTCCACATCAGGGGTAAGCACGCAAAAAGGAAAAAAAGGCTATTTTAGCAGGCCATAGCATGAAAACTGCAATTTCTCCCCAATTCCGTAGCATAGCAAGGGAAGCATGTGCGGGGGCAGTGGATGTGCCCATGTGATGCCTACCCCTGCCTGAGATGAACATATGGCAGTGGCCCAAAAGGACTACTCTGCTGTCGTACATTTAATATTTCCTTGCTTATCGCTTATAGCAGCTTTCCCAGCCTGGTGTCCTCCAATTGTAGCGTTGGGCTACAATTTTACCTGCTGACTAAGATGATGGAAGCTGCAGACCAACACTTCTAGAAGGCACTGTAGGGAGGAAAGCTGCTTTCAAGTAATGCATAAAGCAAACCCAGATCATCGCATAAGAACATGGTAAAGAATCCGGGAACGAGCTGGTCAAGCTTTGCAACAATGCATGTGAGCATGCAAACGAAGCATGTGCTGAGCATACGCATGTTTTGTTTTTAAAACAGGAACATAGCTGGATATAGTGGGCATACAAATGAAATATTTGGTAGGATCAGGGAAAGGTCACCCTATCACTTCTAGTTTGATGAGCCAGAAATTTGAGCATACAAAGGGCCACACCATATCCTGCATCTCTCCATCTCCTGCTGTGGCTAAGTCTTGCTCCGATACCAATGTTTGGGTTTGCTATGGAAGAGATGCTGGGAACTGGCTGCAAGTTACTTTACAACTGGGAGGTTTCGATGGGTTCCAGCCGCACCAGAAGCTTTACCTTCCACTTGAGGGATTCTGAACCACCTTTTCTTCCTCTTCTGTTTCCTCTTCACTCTCATATTCGAGGTCACGGAGGCGGCCAGGCTCAGGGTCACGATCCCCAATGATCTGAATTGTGGGGAGGGGGAAGAAGGCTGAGGATCAACCTAAGTCTCAAACAGCTTACAGCCCAGGCTGTGTTCGCACCAGCAAAGAAAACAGCAGCAGTTACCTCTGCAAGGCAGGGAGAGACAAGCTCTTTTAGCCAAGGGTCTAAATAGCCCTTGAGTCGAGTGCCTCCTTCTCATGCTGCTTGTCCCCCAACTGGGATGTATCACGAGAAGGATCTTGCCTGCGACCTTCACTGGGCAGCCCTTGCCAAGAGGTGCACAGAATACCTAGCTTTCTGATCAGAGGTAATGCAGGAATTCCTCTCCCATTAGGTGTAAGGGCTTTGGGACTGGCTCCGTAAGGCAGTTCTACATTCAAAGCTCCCTGAGCGGCAGCTTTGGCAATCCTTGCTGCAACAACGGACAGGAATGCGACTTAGATCTACAGAACCACCAGAAGGTCATGTCCTTGGTGATCTTACCATATCTACATAGTACTCCTCCACGGGACAAGTGTCTGTGTTTCCATTGGTAGTAGAGTTACTATAATCAAGTACTTTGGCATTAGAGTTTCCCAGATCCCACACTCTGGGCTTCTTCCCCTTGTCCTTTTGAGCATCCTGCTTTGGGGACTTGCTGAGAAAAGCAAAAGAGATGTCTCCATTAGACCGAGGAAACAGCAGGATTACAGCTGTAAATCATTTGCAGCAGTGAACTCTGCCAGGCATTCAGCTTTACTTTCCCTGTGTGCCAAAGAAGTATGATTCTCTAGCACTCGAGATTCATCTAAGCGCAAAGTTAATTATTACATTGGATCTATATCCCACCCCTTTCCTCTTGCAAGGATTCCAAGGTGGCTCACATGGCCTTCTTCCTCTCCACGTTTAGCCTCACAGCAGCAATCCTGTGTAGTAGTTTAGGCTGAGTGCGTGATTGCTTCAAAGAGCGATTGCTTCGATCCTCAACAGCCAGATTCTCACTGAAGTAGACCTATGTCTGGGTTACATCACTGAAGAGTGCAGATAGAGATGTGTGATGGAATTCTTTTAAGAAAAATCCATACCTTATATACCACACGTGTGTGCGCTGCAAATGGAGTTGTGGCCTAGCCTTCTCCCTAATATGACATTTTTCAAAGTGTGGAAGCTGATTGATAGATTTTGGGTGGGAACCATTCCTTATGAGGGGTAGAGGCTGGAGGGATGTAACCTAGACATATTTTTACCACTTTTGTGATTCATGTTTCAAGGCGCATGCATCTCTGAAGTATTTGCAGATATTGCTGCAAAAGGGCTGCTTTTACATGTTGTAAACTTAGTGGGTAGTTCATGAGAGGGGAAAATAGCCACATCTCTGAACCGTGCAATCATGCCGCTTGAACTGGAAGGCAATTGCATCCCTCTGAAGGAAAGAAGCAAACATTTTTTCTCTCTTGCACACACAACCCATGGCTAAACGGCAGGATTGCTAGCTTCAAGAGACACCGTCCTAATGACAGCACATTCAAGACCCTTAAAAGATCTCCCAGTCACCCCAGGAACACTGCAGAAATGAAGGAAGTCTCATTGCTGTAAGGAGGTTATGGGAGCTCAGCATAATGTATCTTTAAGATAAAGTTAGGATGCTCATATAAAAGTATTATTCTCATGGGATACAGGAAGCGATAAAGGGTTCCTAGCAGATGTGCTTCTGCTGATGTGGCCACCCAGCTCAATCTCTTTAGAGGGAGAGGCAAAAAAGATCCAACACATACAGGCTGAACTTACTTGGACTTCTCTCCCCCCCTCATACGTTTCCTGAAAAATTCCTCCCGGTTTTTCTGTAGGATTTCATCCTTGGTTAGTTCTTCCCTGTCCCCAGCTGCAACAGGAGGCTCTTCCTTAACAATAGAGACTGCTTTAGGGACTGGGACTGCTTCATCTGCTGCGGCTGAACAAAAGTGTTGCAATGAGATACAATGCTGCAAGACAGGAATAAGCAATCTGCAGCTCCTGTTCTAGTCCCATGTGGCCCTCAGCATAATTTCACTAGCTTTCAGAAAGTGAGCAGCTTAAAACTTTAACAATCCCACCTCCCTCCCACAGCAGCTCTTTCATTCTCATTTAAAAAAGGTGGGTTAAGGATAGAGAGATTTCAACCCATACAGCTGGCATGCAGGCCCCGTCAGGTGACCCAGCCTTACCTTCTTTTTTGGAACCTTTGCTTTTCTTATTTTTAGTTTTCTCTTTTGGTTTCTCCCCTCGGGTTTCTATCAAAGTCTTCACACTTTTTTTGGATTTTTCTGACTGTTCAAATGTCTTCATGGCAGGAGGAGGCTTGGCCTTGCTGTTCTCCTCTGCCTCCCTGGTTGCAGATAAGAAACAGATACTGCGAGTCAACCCCGGATGTTTGGTATGTTGAACGTACCTCCCTGAGGGCACACGTTAAACATTTCCCCACTGAGAATGGCCAGTCAGTTTCTATAGCTGTGACTGCAGTGCCGGTGGCATGCACACGCCCAGCAGTCATCAGCAGGACAGCACAAGGTGCAGCAAATCATGCTAAGGTATAGCTGCTAACGCTGATGATGGCTTGGGTAGTTGTAACGACTTTTTCCCAAACCCAGAGGTAACAGATGCAGCTTGGTAAGTAGGAGAAAGGGAATTATTTTCTGAAACATCCTTTGTTTGCAATACGACTCCATCCAAAAGAGGGAGGGTGGGGGAAATTAAGCTGCTTTGAAGATGGGAAAAGCCAAGCACAGCAAAGCTGAGGAAACAAATCCTAGCACATATCCGTGCGACCCATCCCCACTGACCACACTTAAGCAATCACTGTTGAGCCGAGGTCCCGCAACATGCAGCTCCAAAATATTTTTCTGGCATTTGGGGCAAGACAAGGCCACCTGACTACTAAGGGAAATTATTCCATTACCATAAGAGACGTAAAAATTCTTCTTTAAAATCAAAAGAGCCATTGAGAATTCCAAGACTTCCCTTCTGCTGGAACTCATTTCGGTATTTATCTCTGAACTCCTTATGGACATCATCTATCAACTTATCCACATAGGTTAAAGTCAAAATTTTTTGAAATCCAACCTGCAAAGAGAACAGGCATCATCATTATGACTTATTAAGTGCCTGATCCTGCCTAATCTTGAAAACTAAGCAGAGTTAGGCCTGGTTGAAATCTGGACGGGTGACTTTAAATGCTGTGAACCACCCAGATTGGTTTGGCTATGGGTAGCATAGTGATGTGATGATAATCCACAATGTGAACAAGCTGCATACTAGTGCAAACAGCCTGCTCTTTCCACACATTGCACAAGTGGGTAAACCAAGCAAGAAGGGCAGCCCTGCAATAGTTCTGAACTTGGCGTTATTGTTAAATGCAGTCAAACAAACCAGGATTTGTTAAAAAAAAACAAAAACAGCCCTTAGTTTAAAACGGTTTTCTAATCCTGACTTATTTCAGAGCACTTAACCATAATCCTGGATTCAGACATCAACTGTGGCCAGCCGTTTCTAGTTTGTTCACAACGAACACAAGGTAGGCAAACAAGTTGCATACACTAACCGCAATGTGGTTTTGTATGCCAGAACTCTTGGCTTATTGTTACAAGTGAGCAGGTACTGTTAGCTAAAAAAGATGTTATCTTTCTACTGAAGTCTAGTTGCATTTTCTAAACAGATGAACCCTCCCAAACATAAACGAGCATATCTGTGACACTGTCACCATGACAAAGTGCAATCTAAAGTGAGTAAGAAGTTCCGTTCTGTTCCGAGTGGAATGGATCACAAAAATCTAAGTGACAGCCTTAACAATGAGAGAAAGTTCCCCGTTTCAAGACACTAATTTGCTACAGAGCATTTTGTGCCCTCTTGAAGTACTTCTTTATCTCATACAAAACAGCTTACTTACCACAAAGACAAGCTCAAATTGATTGTCCAGCTTGTATTTTAGTGTAAGGGCTTCATGGGTGAAAGAGTTATTACCACCTCGCTCCTGAAAAGAGGGGGGATAGATAAGTTGGAAGCACTGTGGGACACAAAATTTCTACTGCACATAACATCCACTTTATTTTTTGGGATGAGAAATACAGTAAGACTCACTTGGTTAATGCTGTTGCTTTTCAGGGGGCTTGGAAAAAATACGTCAGTCAGTGTTCAATTGTCTGGTTTCTGAGTAACCATGTGGCAGTTTTTCCCACCACCACTCAACTTACTTACCACTATCTATTGTTTCAGGACAAACAGTTCAGGCCACAGTTAACTATTGTACTGCAATTCATCCAACACAGTATGGTTTCAGACTTGGCAGCCTACAAGGGTCAGGGCTTATCTATGCACAGATCCTGTAACCCTACTGTTGCTGGCAGAACCAAGTAAATAAGCTCACTTCATCTGTGAACAAGCTTGGTTGTTTTTTTTAAGGGGACCTCAAAGGATGTTAGCATTCTTCTACAGAAACCAGACCAGAATCAAGCAATGTTCAGTGGCCTCCAGGGGCAACTCTGAGAAAGATTCCTCTCAGAGATCCTGGAGAGATATGGTCAAAGCACATAGTGATAGGCTACGCAAACCATTAGTTGGCCTTAATCTAAAGAAGTTATATTTTCATCTAATCACCTCTCATTGTCACCCTTCATGAAAAAAGCAGAAACAGCAGATCTGGAGGCGGCCGAGTACTATAAAGGGAACATCTTCTTCCATATGAGCCTGCCCTCCTCTGAGAGCCCTTCTGGAGAGAAGTGAGGAGGACAGTAACAAGGAGGGCCTTCTCTGTGATAGCACCCCAATTATGGAACTCACTCCCCAGAGAGGTGTGCCTGGCACTGACACTATTTGTTTAGGTGCCAGGCCAAAACCTATTTCCCCAGTTTTGTAATCAATAATGTATTTGAATGAGCTGAAACAAATGTGGGCACTGAGTTTTTAACTATTTTATAGATGTATATAGTTGTGATTTTAACTGGGATTCTATTGTAAAGAATGAATTCTGTGCTCTACTTTGTTTTATTGTAAGACCATCCCAAGACCACATAGTAGTGGACGGTATACAAAAGTTTTAAATAAATATGGCTTTAATGTATATTTATATTTTTCTGGCTGTTTCAAATACACACAAATACAAATATAAAACTACCCAAGGAAACACAAAGTGGCAATACTTCTACAGAATCCATGGCAAAAAAAAATTGCCTCTCTGTTGAGGACACACACGCAGAGAGAGAAATTTAAAGAAAACAGGGTGATTCAATAGTAAATTTGATTAGTCATTGACCTAATACTTCAGCCCATGTCTTTTATCTACCTAAAGTGCACGGGGTGGTTTTAGCCAAATTATTATCCTTTAGTTTCATTTTTTTATATTAAAAGAAAAAAGCTGATGTGGAATCCAGTAGGGAAATTCAGTTTAAGCAGGATCTATTCTCCAATTTCAGTTAGTACATAGACTATGAGCCTATAAAATATAAAACTGCTTTTTAAGAACAGAGATTAATACGGTCGTCTTGCAATTTTCTGAAATGAGAAACTGACACTGAAACGCAGGAGAGCTGCTAAAATAAGAAACAGCCATTTCCTGTTCAGCTGCCAATTCAACAGCAAGTCACTTCTACATATATTGGATGAGAAAGAGGAGCAACTTGCATCTAGGTAAATGCTAAATTTCCTGAAGGCATTGGGAATGACATATGCAATAACTGCCTCTTGACTCTGGAATCCTTGTCAATTCAACAGCCAGTTCAAAGCAAGAGGAGCTTACTTTAAGCTTTTCAATACATACATCCAGCTTCCAGGGAGCTGCTGTGTCCCCATATTGATTTGGTTTGGTTTAAAGGTGACACAAAACTCTTGGCTCTATCTTACCATTTCATGACACCAGATCCCTGGTATACATGTTTTGCACTTATTTTGGAGACTCACTTCTAAATAAGCATGTGTAGGAAAAAAAAACTTGTAGACTGCAACTCCATACTCACTTGAAAATAAGCCCTGAAATAACACAGGCTTAAACAGCAATAATAAGCTGGATCTACATAAAATACTGCAACACTGAATGTTCCCATTCAGAATACTAGCCAGCATCTTTCCCAGCATACTCAATTTCATTTCTTACCCAAGTTCCTCTCCCCACTTCTCTGAAACAGCAAGTCAGAGGTTTATCTCCACCAAGGATGCGCAGTCCTTATTAGACTGTTTATAGCTTCCTCCCAACCCTATCTTAAGACCTTTTTCCCTTTAAAGATTTTTTTCTGGTATCACTTTGAATCTTGGTGCTCCCACCGAGCCTGCTGATACCTCCTTCTAACGGGAAGATGGTATTATTTTGGCTATGTAAGGAACCAGACGATGAGTTTGCTATCACCAGAGAATCTATTTCTACAGCACATTCACATGTTCGAAACCACTTAATATTACTTTTAGTTGTAAATAACAGATCTATAAACTAAGCTTATTACTATATCGAATATTACTGCTGATTAAAGACTGTGGGTTTACAGCTACTTTATGGCCTTTTGTTTCTAAGATGAATTTGCATTTTAAAAAAGAAACCAGGCAGCATATGTGGCACAGTTGTTATAGTGCTGCGCTGGGGCTTGATAGCCCAAGTTCTAGTCCCCATTCTATAAAGATCACTTGGTGATATTCGCCCAGTCACTGACACCCAGCCTTACCTACTTCACAGGGAGAGGAAGAGGAGGATTATATAAGCCTCCCTGGGCTCTCTGCAGAAAAATATATATTCCTTACAGGAATAAATACCTAATTTTCTAAATAAAAATAAATTAAATAAAAAGCATATAAAGCCCATTTCAAAACTTAAACTTTGTTTAAGGGAAGACACCTGATCAATATTTTAAAGGCGAAAATAATTAAAGAAGGGAGGGATGGGGAGTGCACAAGGGAAAGGATGAAGGAGGGCGTGGGAGATCTCACCTGGAGCAGGACCGATCGGATCAGCGCGTTCACCGGAGCTGTGCAGGCCGCCGCAGGGCCACGCACGCCTTGGAAGCACCACAGGACCAGGCCCCCCTTGCTGAAGATGGTGAAGAAGTCGAGCATGGCGGAAGCGGGGGACTCGGGGCCGGGCCCTGGGGGAAAGGGGGAGACCGGGAGTAACGGGGTCGAACACGCCGGGAAACCAGCCCGACTTTCTAACCCACGTCAGATTATTCTCTAACTCTATACCTCACTTCCTGAAGCAGTGGGCAAGAGGGCGGGCCGAAGGAGGACAAGAGATCTGCCATTGGGCCTTGCCTCCGGAAAACGTCCTGGGCACCATGGAGCCTGGAAAGGGTAGAGCGGCCAGGAGAGGGAGGTGGATTCGGGCAACGTGGGCTGGCGCTCGCGAGGGGCCCGAGCTGGAGCGCGGTAGCGGATTGGTCATTTACGCGGGGAGGAGGCGGTCGCGTCGAAAGTTGGGCGGTGCTGCGAGCCGGGCAGGGCCTATCGGGCAGCGGGGGGCGGCGCGGCGCTGGACGTGAGCCAAGCGGCAGCAGCGTGGCCTCCGCGGTCGTCTTCGCGCGTGCGGGCGGGCGGCTGGCCTTCCCCGCGGCGAGCGACGCGGCGGCTGTCCGAGTGCAGCATGATCCGCGCGCCGGGGCCGCTGGAGCGGCTTCGTCGCTTGGCGGCGGCGGCGTCGCCGCACTGTGCGGGCTGGCGGGGGCCTCGCCGGCCCTTTGTCACGGGGTCCCCACGGCGTCGCGAACCATTCGGAGGTGAGGCGGCGTGTTGCGAGGGGAAGCTCGCCTCCAGCCTCGCTCCAGCCAGGCCTGGGCGGCCGGGTTTGTCCCCTGTCGCTTGGTTGTTGTGAAGAGTGTGCGCGTGGAGGGTTGGAAGGAGGGTCAGAAGTAAAGGGACGTGTCGGAGTAGTGCTCCATTGCATTTATATCCCGCCTTCCTTCCCTTTTGGAAGGAGACTAAGGCCGCTTGCATTTTTGTTAGGTGCCGCCAAGGCGTCTCCTACCCGAGAATGGACGCCCTCCACCGATGCCCTGTCGGGACAGCTCCGGGCAGGTGTTCCCTTACGGATTATCCCACTCCATCTCATACGGTCTTTCCTTTCGTCGTCTGCCTTCGGCTTTCCCTGGTGTGAATGTCTTTCTCTAGTGGTGTCCGAAGCAGAACAGCCTCCGTTTTGTCGTGGTTACTTAACTCTTCCTTTTCATAGAATCGTAGTTTCATAGAATGGTAAAACCGGCAGAGGCCAAGAAGGCCATCGGGTCCAACCCCCTGCTAATTGCAGGACACCAAGGCACACCGTCCCACCCGGATCAATGCTCTTGCTTTACGGTTTCTCGTTTGCCTTGGTTCATACTTTTCTTCCCTTTCCCTTCACATGACCTTCTGAGATAGGCTAAGCTGAGATTTGGTGACTGACCCAGCATCACCCACTGAGTTTCATGACCAAGTGGGGACTTGGCCGGATCTCTTCAGTCTTGTGCTGCAACCACTATTACTCATTGCTGTGAAATTAAATGGGAAAATAGGTGGTTTCTTCTGGAGCAGCTGCTTGATTAAAGGGGCTCTAATTATAGTAAGCATTTTGAAATATGCATGTATGTCTGCACATGTAAATTAGCATATGTAACGTATGTCTGTTCATGCAAATTCTCTATCACAGCATTTTTTCCACTTTGCAGTTCTGGGGGTGGAAAAGAGGGAATCAGCTACTTGGATTCATGTAAGGTGTTTTGTAACTTTTAAAAAAACATGTAAATCTCTGTCAGGAGTGCTGTTTTCTCATGTCCTGTTGTGGGCTTTCTAGAGACATTTTGTTTGCTACTAAGGAAGCAGAATGCTGGACTAGATAGATCCAGCAAAAAGCTCTAACATGTTTCTTTTCATTGCCTTAAAAATCCACAGACTGATGAACAGGGGATGCTTCCTACATCAGTTAATGTTACGTAAGTTAACTAGACATGGCTATCCTCATGTTCAAAGTTCTCCTTGCAGTGCTGCAATTAGGAATGTCATGGTATGCCAGAAGTGTATGAAAGTACTGCAGTTAATCAATAACTATTTTGTTTCTTCAGTTATTATGTTGCTAACTAGAGTTGTGTTTTGTACTGGAAGCAAAACAATTGCATTAAGGTTGCATTAAGGTTGCCTGTTATCCAGGAAAGGCTGTATTCTGCAGCCTGTAACTGTCAAGGAACAACTTGTATTGTTTCTCACTTTGCATGACTTGTTCTGAATTTTGGGGGGAAGGATAAGAAGTTCCTTGGGGTACTGACACCTGATTCTCTTAAGTCATAGAAAATTATCTTTAACAATTTGTCTCTTTTTGAGACTTTGTAAGGCATTGTTAACAGCTTTAAGTATAAGGACTAGAAACCCTTTTAAAAAGTCAAGTTTCATAAAAGAATTCTGCACTACATTCTATGGTATTTCCACACAGTTCTGTATGCTGTATGGAGAAATGAAGAAAGTTTGAGTCCGTGAGAATTTTTACAGTGTCTGTCACATTTTCTTGGGAGTATACCGAATCCTTTCTAACAGACAGGAATTTCCTGCACAGGGATGGGTGTGCAGGGATTCTTCAAACAACATGGAATGGGTTCCCTGGAAGCAAGAAATTCAAAATATGTGGACCCATTTTGTATGGAACGTGGGGGGTTGTTTCCATATAGAATATGCTGAGAACTATTAGTATGATGCGCTTAGGTGATTATGTGCCTCATCTTTCAGAATTTGAGAAGAAGATGGTCAAGTTTTCCAAGAAGCTGAAAGAAGCCCTTCCTGGGAATGACTGGAACTTTATGGGGATGGCAAGAGAACTCCCTCCTGAGCATGCTGATGTGGTCATCATTGGGGGTGGGATAATGGGCTGGTCCATTGCCTACTGGCTGAAGAAGAAAGAACCACGGAGCAACACCCTTCGAGTGGCTGTGGTGGAGAGAGACCTCCAAGTGAGTTGTCTAAAATGTTGTTAGAGAACGTTTCAAAGCATCAGTTTCTGACTTGTTTGATGCAGCCTCAGTTCCATCCAAAAGGGCAAACTGCATTAAAGGGTGTTGTTGAAGCTTTGGCTACTATAGCCTAGTGATTAGAAGGTTAAGCTAATCCCGCAGGGATCCCCATTTGCCCATGAAGTTCCCCAGGTGAGTCAAGATCAGATGTGCCTCAAACTGTCCCATGTCACAGGGCTGTGATGGGTGTAAAATGCGGGGAGGGTGTTGGAGAAGGAAGCAATGCACTTGGCTCTGAGCACTTTGGAGGAATGGTGGGGAAAGGATGCAGCAAATATTTTTCCTGCTCCAGGACCTTTTTCACTGAAAACAAACTGATGAAGTTTAGAGATAAGCTGTGCAACAAACTGAATGTACGGTAGAGGTGGGATCTGAGCTGAATCACTTATTTCCCCCATCCCACCACATAAAGTATAACAAAATAACTCTTTCACAGAAAGTAAACTGATGAGCCACAGCAAAATACACCCTGCCCCTTCCTCAAGCATACACCCACCACACAGGCACAAGTCAATTATTTTTTCCTTCTAGTGAGCAGCTGAGCATGCTTCAAAATGAAGCACTAGCCTATAGCTCCCTACTGTTTATAGTCCTTAAGAATGCCTATGGAGCCCTACGCATTGTTGGAAGTAAAGATGGGGCAGCACTGGAGGCTGATGCTCCACTTCACAACATACCAGCCTCCCATTTTTATTTTAACTGTCAAATCTTTTTTTTTTAAAATCTAGAGGGGCATGGAGTCCAGTGGGCATCAAAGACCCCAGTTGTTGAATGTAGAAATGGTGGATAGCCGATTAAATTGCATAACACAGATACGCTCTGCTTTTGTTGCTGGACCCTCCTGAGACTTTTATGTATAGGGTGGGGTACAAATGCTTAACAAATAAATGACACTTGCTAGTATAGCAATTTATGGAGATTCTTAACCTTTTCCTACCAGTGGATCCCTTCCATAGAGTTTTTTTTCCTCTTTTTGAGGGGACTGCTACTTCATATTATTGAAATATCTTGGGAGAAACGAGTTGACTGTGTAGCTAAGTAACTCTTCTTTTTTCCCCCTTTGCTTTATTGCAGTACTCTAAAGCCTCTACAGTTCTTTCTGTCGGGGGGATACGGCAGCAATATTCAATGCAAGAAAATATCCAGATGAGCCGGTTCTCAGCAGATTTCTTGCGCTCAATCAATGTATGTCACGCTGAGGGTTTGTCAAGGATGTATGAACTGAAGGACTTCAGTTCTAAGGCACCCCCAACCACACCCTCAGATCAGACTTCATCGTAATGGACGAAGTCAGGGCAGTGTGCCACCTCTTGAATGTCTCAGATGATAAAAAATGCCTGAGCAAGTGAAAAAATGATAGATTCAACAGTCCTTGAACTACCAGGACCTTTGCCTCTGCCGTATATGTACTACCTTATATTTGGAAGCAGTTTGCTCTGGTGTTCCTGTCTTAATCATTCAGTGGTCCTAGCATTTACATGCAGGTACTGGCTTTGTTGATAGGCATTTCAGTAGCATACCTATCTCTAAGGAAGGAGTGCTAATTCTTCCTTTGTAGGATTTACAAATGTGTGTGTGGGTCACAACCCCAAGCCACATGGTTTCAAGGTCCTAATTAACTTGGCTCTGATGATGATTTATAATGCCTGTCTCTTTGGTTTGTGTTTGCTTAGCTGATGCCCACTGATTATGTTCTAGCTACTTTTTTTATAAAGCAGGAGGGAAGGACCGAAACAGGGCAGGTTGTAAAAAAAAAGTGTTCTCACAAGTGCTGGAGAAAGAAAGTATTGTGCCTGATGGTTCTAGAGCCAAGCACTTAGTTAGCTAATTATGGTTTTACTTTGGTTTACATGCTGTTCAGTAGTTTGGGGACCAGGAGTTTTCTGGATTCTAAACAGACTATCTTTTGGATTCAGGATTATCTTTTTGTTGTCAACCAACCACCCATAGATATTCAGTATCAGCCCTCAGGCTATCTCTTCCTGGCTTCAGAAGAAGGAGCTGCTGTGTTAGAGGAGAATGTACAGCTTCAAAGGTATGGGCCCCGTAGTGTGGAGGAGACCGAGGGGAGAAGGGGCAGTATGACTGAGGTCATTGGCAAACAAGCTGCAGCGATTAGCTTGCCTGCATTACTGAGACCCCTTCCTGGGTTTTAAGATCCATTGTATTCCTGTTAGGTGCCTTCCTTGTGCAGGTTGTTTCATCTCACCCCTAGTGACTAAATGTTGTGTGTTGTTTAGATAGGTACAGCCTGACCTTGGTTTTTTAAAATGGAGCTACAGCATTTGCAATCTTTCCCTGCCAGCATTTTTCGTTAAACACCTCTAATCTTCTCTACCTAGGTGAAAAGATGTATACTTATATCTCTAATCACTAGAGTAAGAAACTGATCACTTTTGAATAGAAATACTACTGCTGTCTCATAGGGGGTGGAGGGAACTTCACACACACACACACACACACACACACACGCACACGCACAAACACACACACAAACACACACCTATCCCTGACACTAAATTGACTTGGTTCACACATCATAGTAAGGCACTATGGTGGGTGGAGGTGTTGCAGCTTGTCATATTGTGTGAATCTGGATGTGAGGAGTTCTTTGAGGGTCATCTGAGATTAACACTGGAGTTTATAGAAAACAAGAAGCTGTGCTGTACCCCTGCCACAGCTTGCATACTATGAATGATGGTCACTTTGTGTCTTGGAGCCCTGTGCATGACTTAATCCATGGTGCTTTACTGTGAGATGTGAACTCTCTCAGGGAAACAGACAATCCCAAATTGCGTTCTATAAGTGAGCAGGGCTTTTTTGTGTTTTAAAACAAATCGTAAGATAGTCTAATATGATCAGCCACTCTTGGTTTCCCCACCTTTCCCGTTTAGTGAAATGAAATGCTGCAAGTAGGACTGATAGAATTATCTTGGGGTATCTGGAGGAGATGCTTCTCTGCTGATTATACTAATTCTCAGATGAAACTTTCAGAATGCCTTTGTTTTTAGAAATGGATCCTTCTTTAAAGTACTCTTTAAACATATAATTTGCTCACTCAAGCATAATGTATAATTTCGGTCTACCTTAACTGGGGCTTCGTTTTAGTTGGCTAGTATTTAGTCGATTAACCAGTATAGCTTCTTTTTCCAAGAATATTCTTTCATGCCTAGAACATTCTGATGAGAATGTCCTTTCCCCCCACCAGGACGGAAGGAGCAAAGGTCTGCCTACTGTCACCAGCACAAATGAAAACCAAATTTCCATGGTTGAACACAGATGGCGTAGCTTTGGCCTCCTACGGTACTAGATTGTTAAATCTCCATCTATCCTGAAACATAACAGCAACATGCTGTCTTGAGTAAACAGTTGTAGACAAAAGGTGTTGTTCCTTTATTTTTCCTATGCTAAACTTACAGGAATTTTAGAGTAGGGGAACTTCACCTTGCTTCTGTCTCCTGCTCCCAGCCTGCTCTAAGTTAGCCAGTTTAATCCTTCAAACTGCTTTCCTCCCACTGAGAGGGGACTAGAACCTGGATCTTCTAAGTCCCCAATCCAACTCACTAAGCACCACACCAGCACAGTCTATTTAAATGCCAAGAAATGGAAATCTAAGCTTGAATTGTGTTCATGTAATCTATATTGTCTTTCAGGCTTGGAAAATGAAGGATGGTTTGATCCTTGGACACTTCTCAATGCCTTCCGGAGGAAAGCAATGTCTATGGGTGTCTCCCAGAGCTGTGGTGAAGTGACATGTGAGTTTTCCCCCTCTTGGTACTATAGTACACATCTTCATTACAGCTGAAATTTGTGCAGCATCCCAGTCTCTTTCTTTAAATAGGAATTATGTGGGAGAGCAGGGATCTGTAGGCTCAGCCACAACCAAATTTTGGGACATAGAGTCTTGTTTTCCTCCATTCAATGTTCCTGAGAAAACTAGATGCTTTACCTCAGGGCTGGTGGTAGACTGAAAGCCAGTGTATAACCTTTTTAGCTCACACATCCATTCAAAGATTCAGAGAGCCAATTTTGGCTATGAGAACAATATATAGGAACTTGTATGTATGTATGTATGTATAAATAAATGCTAAGCCAGGGATGGGCAGAAAGTAGATAATCAGATGTTTTGAACTTTAAACTCTCCACATTTCTGACAATGGCCCATGCTGGCAGTGTCTTCTGGGAGCTGAAGTCCAAACTATCTGAGGATCTACCTTCTGCCCCACAAGCTCCTCTGTCCATCTCCTACTCTTTGCATATCATTATGGCATACATGTTGCTGTTAGAAAATAATTTCTTCTAACAGAAGAAAGGGGAGAGGTTTGTGCTCTGATTCCATGAATCCAGGGAGCATCTGTGACTTGTATAATTTTGTAAATTCATGCATATCAAGCTGCCCATTCTTTTACATTCTGCCGAGGCCCTTCTCCATGAAACTTTGATGGAGAAGTACAAAAATCAACTGCAAGGGCTTTCTCACCAGTGACACCACAGGTATAGGACATACACTCCAAAGAGGCTTATCCGGCATTAATATTGCTTATACTTTAGGCATCATGCAAAATCATTTTTATTTCTCCTGGCGGTCTACTAGATTTTACTGATTTATTTGAAACAGTTTTAACACTGTTTTTGGTGGCGCAGTGGTTTAAACTGCTGTGTTGCTGGGCTGGTTGACCAAAAGGTCACCGGTTCGAATCTGCACAACGGGGTGAGTTCCCGTTGCTCTGTCTCAGCTCCTGCCAACCTTGCAGTTCGAAAGCATGCAAATGCAAGTAGATAAAAAGGTACCACTTCAGTGGGCAGGTAACAGCGTTTCATGCACTTTGGTGTTTAGTCATGCCTGCCACATGACCATGGAGACTGTCTGCGGACAAACGCTGGCTCCCTCGGCCAGGAAACAGAGATGAGCACCGCCCCCTAGAGTCAGGCATGACTGGACGTAATGTCAAGGGGAAAGCTTTGCCTTTATCACCCTAAAATTTGATTTGATAACGAATTTTAAAATGTTCTAAATGAGTATTTAATCCTAATGCTTCCAAATGTTTCTTTCCATCTCTTCTTCCAGCTTTTAATTTATTTACGAAAACAATAGTTTCAGATGAAGGAGAACTGCTTAATTGTTCCCGTATCAGGTGTGTTAATGTAAGTCATCCATTTAGGTTACTTTAATGGAAGCTTTCATGATATTGAATAGCACGTTCCAAGGTGAAGCTGACTGATAGTCTTCACTTGGGGACTTCTCAAAGCTCATGAAATGCTTGCAAAGTCCTGTGTAGGTGGGTTAGAGCATAAAAAGGATGGCCATTTAAATAAATAGGGCAAGCTAGAGGAGGATTGTTTTGCTTGCCTTAATGGCAGCATTAGATTTTTAGCTGCAAACATCAAATGTTTAAGGGCCAGCAGAATCCTGGCCTTAATTCTGGCTTTAATAGAGACAAAATTGCTTCAAGGCAGAAGATGTATGTATATTCTGGCAGCCTCTTGAAGTGTACTTTGCCAGGTTAAGGTGTGATCTGGAAAGGAGTGTAGAGATGAGCAAAAGAAGCCCGGCAGGAAATTGTAGTCCCACCCTTTGTTAGGGACAAGCAGAAGCATATTGTAATGTTATCTGCTACTTCTGTGGTTCAGTCCAGATTAATTGGACCCTCATGTGTTCTCCATTGCTTTTTTTCTTCTTGCTTTTGCTTTTCATGTTATCATCTGATTGGCCTTCATCAGCATGCTAGTGGGCTCCTTGCCTGATGAAAAAGTGACCAGCTCTTCCCTCTAGGTTCAGCTGCCTGACAGTATTGAATACTGCCCAATAACATGTGCCATAGTAGTAAACGCAGCCGGAGCTTGGTCCAGCAGAGTGGCAGAGATGGCTGACATTGGGACTGGGCCACCGGACTCGCTATCAGGGATCAAGTTACCAGTGGAACCCCGGAAAAGGTGTGGTTAATACAGTACTTGCACAGCACTGCAGACCTTTGCTTCCAGAACAGGTAGCCATAAATTGTAATAGATTGGGAATCGGGAGTACACATACAATTCACTTTGGAATTAAAGGCTGGAGTTTTCATTGCATTCTATTAAGCATAATAACTCTAAGCTCCTTATTTTTCTAATTGGCCAGGCACTTTCTGCCACACTTCCTTAAACTTTGCTAATAGAATACAAATGACTGGAATTGGTTGCTTGCCTACAACTCATTCCCAGAACATTTACCTTTTTGCCGCCTCTGACTTCTGCCAGGTTTTGCCCTCAAAACCCACCTTTTTGTGAAACTGTATAAAGGGGAAAAGCCATAGCTCAATAACGATAGAAGGGGTCTTATATGCCAAATACTCAGATGAAGGCTGTGGTATTTCCCATGGAAATGCTGTCAGCTTGTAGTGTTGAGAGGGGTCTTCCGCCTGAGACCCTGGAGTGCTGCTGTTAACTGGGCTAAAAAGCTGGACAAAAAGCTTAGAGTCTAAAGTAGTTTTGTATATAAGCACTGAAGTTAAAAACAAGTTTTTATCTTGGGTCTTGAGTGACAAGACCCAAGATAATGTGTTATGAACAGACTCTTTTATCATGGCTTAATTCTGTTCTTGCTTCCTTCCTTCCTGGGTTGTAGTTGAATCTAGTGCTTGGGTATTAATCAGGGTGGATAAAAACCAATAATGTTTTTAAAACTGGATTTTTAATTAATTTGGATTTTAGATTTAAATTGGATTTTTTTTAAAAGAAAAAGCCTTTTGAGGAAAACTATCTAAAGATAGTTGTCTTTTTAAGATACATTATAGTCCAAAGGTTATTAATCATGAAATAAGATTTGGCTCTTAATTATGTAGCATGAGGCTGTATATTCATGCAATGTTTAAATATTTGGGTAAATGAATTCCATTAACCCATTCACAATGTCATGCCCTTCCAGAGGCTGCTGTAAGATTATTGGACAATTTTTCTGTCTAGAAGGTATTATTACAGATGCTTCAATTTGCAGTTCTCAGAACTGTGAATTTGTGTCTGTAGAGATCACATGCCTCTTCACAACAAAAATGTTATAAAATAAACATACAGAGTTGAGAAAAAGACCTTAACCCCATTATTCCTTTCCAAATCTTTGCACATAAAATCAACCCCTTACCTCTTAAGTGCGAAGTCGCAAAAATCCAATGAATAGAGGATGATTGTTGGGAGTGGAATAGATCTGCACAGGAAGCGAAGTGAGAGGAGGGAGGTTCAAGTTGCAAAAGTGAAAGTGAACACTTTTCAGCAGATTACTCCTTTTTATGTATAGCCTGAGGTTTATCATGCTATTCTTTCTGTGGAAGAAAAAACCTATAATGGCAGCAGGCCATAAATGAGACCCAGTTTGAGAGTATTTTAATGAAGTTCCTCTACCTACGGGTAAGGCAGGCATGCGTGCAAATTATGTAGAAAACCATGATTTAAATCTATATGACTAATAATTGACCAGTGATTCAAATCAAATCCACCCTCGTAGTAATGACTCTTGGTCTTTTCACCCCAGGTATGTCTATGTTTGGCATAGTCCTGATGGGCCAGGGTTGGAGTGCCCTATGCTAATTGATACTACAGGAGCTTACTTCCGGCGGGAAGGTGTGGCCGGCAACTACCTTGGAGGCTTAAGTCCTACAGAAGTAAGTTTGCCATAGTTTCTTTGGGAACTGACCCACAGGAACCCACAGTGCACACACCAACCCCCTGGACAAATGTTGGGGCAGGGGGAAGCACCAACAGACTTTTGCAGTAATTACATCTTGTACCCCAGCAGTATGATGCCTACCTGTCCCAGTAGCATCAAGCTCCTCTTCAAAGGTCAAAGGAAGTGCTGAACTGGGGAAGGAAGCTGACAAGCATCCATTCAAGACTCAGTACAGAAATCGATAGGTGGGATTTTAACACATACAAGGGGACAGTGATCTGTACTTCTGAAGAAAGTAAAGAGTGGCTACATGAATGTGCATTCTTGCTAGATGCTCTGCAGATAGCTGCCTGGGAAAAGCCATTATGCTGAGTTTGCTAAACCACCCCAAACAAGCCAGGTCTCTCAGGATGAGTTGTGTGTGGATAACAAACCACACCGAAACCTCCAGGCTCAGTTTGGATGGCATAATAGGCCATGCTGACATAGACAAGGCTCATAACCGGCTTTGGCTTATGATGTTGTGCAATCCACATCACTGACTGTTTATTCTTGAGCAGCCTGAAACAGCATTTTCAGTATTTCCACCGAAAGACTGAGCTTCGTGCTGCAATTTAGGCTTGGCTATTGTCTCCCAGTTTCTCTCCAACTTTTTGGGAAGACCTGCCTTTTAGCATTGCTTTTCTATGCCAGGTTCCAGGTGCAAACAAGTCTTTCAGTTGCTGCCATTTTCAGGTAGGAAACTTTTACTTTCTGGCACCCCCAGGAGTGCCTTATTTGTTCAGGCTCTAAGTGTGCCTGCATATTTTTCTCAGGAGGAAGAGCCAGATATCCAGGATCTGGAAGTAGATCATGAATTCTTTCAGGAGAAGGTCTGGCCCAAGCTAGCCCACCGAGTGCCACACTTTGAGTCCCTGAAGGTAAACGAATGATTGGTTCTTACGTGTTCTTTTAGGAAATAATATAGGCATAACACTGCCCAGTCATGCTTAAGTTATCAGGAACAGGGAGCTTCACCTGCTGCTTTGCATGGCTGTTCTGTCTTCCATTTTGAGCTATCTGTGGTTCATATTACATCTGCACCATTAGTCTCCGAGCCTCTTACAACCTTTGACTCTAGTTTGTATTGTGTGTTTTGAACTTGGTGATCTTAGCTGCATAAATGTGGGTGAATTTTCAAACTGAGTAAGAACAAACCAGTTTTCCTCTGTGCTTCCACTCTCCGCAAATGCTTCCACTTACTCCTTGTTTGGGTGAGTTAAAATAAGAGCAACTGTGCCTGATGCAGTGGCGCAAGAGTAGTCTGGTGAGCAAGATGATTTGGTTTCTTTACCTCTTGGATTATATGCTACAACTATAGGACATCTACCACATACATACATTAAAGCTATTTCTCAAGAAGGTGAATGCTGCAGTTTTTGTGGGGCGCATCAAATTTTACGCTCTTGACCTCAAGCCTTCCTCTGCTAAAGCCTCCTCAGTCCTGGTTTTCCCCTCCAAAGTGCAGAATGATGTCCCTTATCCTTCCTGTCCAAACTTGTTGAGCAGATGTAGTTAGGATTTCTGTCTGTCCTAAACAGAAAACTGTATTTATATCCTATGGATAAAATTGTTCTAAGTGTTGGTAGATTTAAGAAAGGAGCTCGCTCTTTGCTTTTTTTTTTTGGCCCTTTTAAGTTCATCTGCGAGGTCCTTTGTCAGCCTTTCCTCACTGGCTATGATTAATTAGGGACTTTGCTTGCCTCTGACAGGTGAAGAGTTCTTGGGCTGGTTACTATGACTACAACACATTTGATCAGAGCCCTGTGATTGGCATGCACCCACTAGTGGATAACCTCTACTTCGCAACGGGCTTCAGTGGCCATGGCTTACAGCAGGCGCCAGCTGTGGGCGAAGCTGTAGCAGAGTTAATCCTGAATGGCAGATTCAAGTCCATCGACCTTGAGAAGTTCTCCTTTAGTAGGTTTATCAAAGGGACCAAGGCTTTAGAGAAAAACATCATCTAATCACATCAGAGCGCTTGAGAATCCATCCTGATGGTGAGTCCTCAGTTCTCGGTTCTCTCCGCCCAGGTTAAAAACCGTATGCCCATGCAGCACTTTGCAATGGGTACTTTGCTCTACAAAGTAGTCGCATGCTGTAGTATTCCAAAGTGATCATAAACATAGGGTTTGAGGGCTTAAGGACGGAGCCGCAGCATTTTGTGTCACCATACCTATTCTGCTGCATAAAGAATACTTCCTTGACTCTGAAGCCTTGAAATCCAATGCCAGTGACTGGAATGGGTATTTGTCAGTGACTGGTAAAAGCAGCGCTTCAGTGCAGATTAAACGTTTATATCAGTTTCTATAAAGACATGAGAGAGCAACCAGAATTACTTAATGAAGTCCCATAAAATGAGTATGTATTTGAGTATAAATATTATGATAGAGTATATGAAATTATATACCTTGGCAACAATGTAAGCAACACCTTTACTTCAAAATGCTTAGATGGTATAATGAAAATCACAAGTCAAAATTAATATTTGTGTTTGCAATTACTTGGTGTTTCAGGCTGCTTTTTACATGAAAGGATGCAGGGCTAAGGTTAGTTTCTGCTTGTTCTGTAGAAATTGGTCCAAAATTGCTTAACTGGTTTATTTTCGCATAGGACACTGTTGTAAAACACTCAGAGCATTAGGCACATGAGATTCAGTCAGCAGACCTTATCCTTTGACACATTTACTTTCTGAGATCTTTTTATGTAAGCTAGGGATTTTATTGACATTGCATATTTTCACTTCCTTGGCATGAAGGTGCCAAATGAACAGGATCTGTATACTTAGATTTTATATAGTAATCTGCCTTTTTACTCCATAGGGGAAGATGGCCTTCACTGTCATGTGGCTACTGATTTTATCATGGATTATCATCAGATCATTCTGGATTTAATGTGATATGAAGATGTGGAATTTGGATTCATGGTGCAGGGAAAACCATTTCTAATGATTGGTCAAAGTTTGTCATAATTGAAACTTCCTTGCAACTGCTCACCAAATGGAAATGTTCTTAAAAGCAGAGAACTCATATTTCAGTGCAAAAAGAATAATAGCATTTTTCTTACTGCTGCTGTTGTTATTTGACATACTATAATGGACACATGGCCTTCTACTATTAATGTGTAATTTGAAAAATATCAAAACGAGATGTCTCATTGAACTGGTAATTAATGAACTTGGACATAAATTTATCTTAAAGCCAAAGAAGGGAACTGTCTTGTGTTACCAGGAATCAGTTTGAATGATTTCAATTTGCAGTGCAATATCCCTCAATATTATAAAGCAAATTTAAGTCAATAAAAGCCATGCTGGATCAGATTTGACCAAACTACCCACCTTCAGGATCGCTCATGCAGGAGGAGTATCAGTTTTACCTGCCCAAGCTCCTCAGCAAGTGGTACACACAGGCCATAGTTCTTTCAAGAGTTGAAGACACTTTGAATGGGACTCTGCATGTTTCTCCTACTATTTTGAGCAGTATTTCTAACAGCGGAACAAATGGACGTGAAGTATATGTATATACTGTAGGAAACAAGCCCTTCTTCAAACAACTTCAACCATTTAAAAAAAAAAAAAAACGATTATTTACCTTCATCCTGAGTGAAAATTGCAAATTGGTTGGGAAGAAAGACTTGATCACAAAAATTAGAGGGGTGTTTGTATGGCTTAAATGTTAAGAAAAGCACTGTTGGGGAAATAAGGGACATGTGGATTTTTCAGAAATATTCTGCAGTAGGATATTTGCAGTAGGAAAATGTATCTTGAACAAATTCTCAGGTAATAAGACCCAGTTTCTCTTCCCTGCTGGTTATACAGATTGGGACAGAATACAAGATTCCCTCTCTTGGTTTTCTGATCCACTCTGTGTCTTCCAATGCATGGGTCTTTCCTAAAGCAGGAAAAACATAACCAAATCCTGGCATTTTAATAATTTAAGAGGCAGGTGTTGGACAGCCTATTTAAATGTGCTTGTTCAGATACATAGTAAAACGTATTGCCTGTGAAAAACCAACATTTCAGTGAATCTGGATTGTGTGGCTTAGCTCACTGTTTGAAAGTTCCAGTCGCTTACAGACAGGAAGAAACAGGTACAGGGGATCTATTTAGGTTGGGAATGAGACTCTGTCTCTGTGTTTTGAAATAGTGCTGCGCTATGAATTCTTCCAGCTGAGCTTTAAGCCACTGTGTTCCGCATACTGTCCCACAAGCAAATGAGCTCTGTGGCTTTTGCTACAAACTTCACTGCTAGAATATTCCTGGTATCTATCCTAGGAAACCTTGCTCAAGAGTTCTTGTTACTTCCTCAGATATATAGGGATTAGGCCTGACAGCCATATAGCCTGTTTCTACAGGAATTTGCTGGTTTATTTTTGATCTCAGTAACCAAATATGGAATGTCAGAATTTTTCAGCAAGCGATTAGTGGAACAAGAAGGCATAAAAGCTTGAAATTCTGGATGGCTGGGCCATCTGAGAATTGAGGTTTCTGGGAAGAATGTTTTATCTGATCCAAGTAAGTACCAGCCTCTATAATGCTCTTTGGGAAGAAGTTGAGTTTGAGTGGTGAGACTCGAAGAAAAAGAAATGTATTTCTGTCCACAGAGATGAGGCTCTGTAAGGTCAAGGGCATGGGCAGCACGAAGCTAGTCCAATCACCCATCCAAACCAAATCCAAGCCATACTCCAGAACAAGTCAAGCTCAGAACTGGGAGCGAACAGGGGAGCAAACAAAGTGTAGACCAAGGAAGAGGAGCATGGTCACAATGAGCCAGAGGTCAGGAGGAAAACTGCACAAAGGAGTGGGTACCGTGGGCAGGGTCCAGGAACAGGAGCGGGCATGTTCCAAGAGGAAGAAGGGCTTCCGACACTGGAGACTGATGCTGTGCAAGCAGCAGATTTCAGAGGGAAGGGCCAGTTCTTAAATAGCCTTTTCCCCAGGACTCCTAGGTGTGGTGCGCATGAAGACCTTGGCAGCTGCAGTAGAGCCTTAAGCCTGCAACTACCCACCCTGTTCTCCTGATGCTTGGCCAGCAGGAGGAGCACTTGCGTTGCCCTGATCCTGACAAGCTCTTGGCAGTCCAGCACACACCAAGTGCCTCCTTCAGAACAAAAGGGGTGTCTGTCTGGACCACGTCATGTCCCACTTTCAGCTTCTTTTCTTCTTCGCTTTCTTTGTCCACTCTTTAGCTTTTGAGGAAGCCATCTGTCGCTTTTGGTTGACTACTGAAAAGGGAACAAGATTGAAAGGAACTTCCATTATATTTTAGAGTTTCTAAATGTACACACTGACCTATACTTATCCACAGAACTACTGCCGCCTGAGGGTAAGCCTGGTGTTCCTTGCATTATAAAGTAACTGAAGCTAATGTGTAGTTCAGAAATGCTGTGAGTTCATGGGTGGAGAAAAAGGGTAGAATCAAGTACTTGTGAACCAGCCCCTAGAACTAGAATAAGTGGACAGGCCTGACAGTGCATTAACACTGTAATAGACTGTTCCCCTTCTGATCTGAATGAACAAGAATCCATAATTTCCAGCCTGAGCTGCATTACATCAGTGTGTCATGGAAGAACTGTGAAAACATAGCTAACTGAAGCACCGTGAGCCCCAAACAGCAAACTATAGCAGAGGCTGCAGATATGTCTCTACAATTCAGAGACATATTCTGGCCTTTCTGCACTCCCAGCTGTTGTCTTTTGGGGGGCAGGTAAGTTGGGTTATATTTCCAGATTGGATGTGATCTACTTATACCCCCTCCTTTAATTTTAATTGTGGGTATGGAGAAAGAACTCTGTCACCTCTATCTGTGATACACTAACATGGAATGGGTTATGTTGCGTTAATTTGATAATGCTCTAAAGCAATATTCTGTATTTTCATTCCTTGTCAATACAGTCAATCAATTTTTGTTTTGGACATGAACTGAAGAGCATCCCAAGTTGTAAGGATATTCTGAAAGGTGCTACTTACCTTCCTTACTCGTTTCATCCTGTGGTTGGGCATCTACATTTTGCGACCGTCGCGCATATGCTGCTTTCATCCGTTCAAGATTTCTCTTGCGTACCACTTCATGAACAACAATGGGCTTCGGGTAGTCTTTACCAATGATGCAGCCTGCACGTTCCTGTATACTCCGTGGTGCTTTCCAAGGCTCGTAAATGTAGTCACTTGGAAACTTTTGGAGGAAGGGAAGGTACTTTCTGTGCAGTTGCAAAGATAAAGGAAAAAATCGAGCAGGACAGAACTGCTGCCATCTCATTCCTATGTACAGATAAATCGGTGCACTTTGGAAAACCTAAGGTTGCACAGGAGTGCACTGAGACTTGCCTAGCATTGTAAAATGTACCTGAATGGTATTGGTGTGAAAGAACACAGGTGTGACTCTTAGAGCTGTCATTAACCTACAATTTCACAGGACATGACAAATGTTGATCATCCCACCAGCCCAGGCCTGGACTGTTCCTGCTCATTAGCCCATTGTGCCTTGTATACAGGCAAAGCTCTAAAAACTTCCTCCCTGTTGCCATTTTCATGTAGCGCTCCAGAAATCACATTCTTGCTTAGCCATGATCACAGCTAGCCACTCAAAGCCCAATGGCCTTCAGCCTATATACTTACTTTATATAGTCTCCATTTTTGTCAGTTTTCTTGCCAAAGGCAACTGGTGAGTAGACACGAAAGAACTGGTGGAAAAAGGCACTTGCAGAAAGCCACTGCCAGTTTCCAGCATTTAAGGACCAATCAGCATCTAGCAGAAACTCTTCAAAGACCTGAAATGAAGCAGAATGGAAAACTAATGGCTTTCAGGAGAGATGGGATGGCCCAAATCAGTAAACTTCCCTTTGCCTCAGACTCTACAAAAGCTTTCCCAAACCTGGATCCCTCCAGATAATTTTGACTACAGCTTCCATCATCCCTGACCACTGTCATGTAAGCCAGGGCTGATCGTGATTGGTCCATCTCTAGATTTTGGAGACTACAGTCATAATGAAATAATCCCAGTCTCAGGATCTAGTCTCTTCCTAGGAAAAAAAATCTCACACTCCAAACTCCTTCCAGATGAAGAAAAATAGGAAGAAGGTAAGCCAGTTCTCCGTCAGCTCCACTGGCTCCCGATTGAAGTCCGGGCCCAATTCAAGGTGTTGGTTATGACCTATAAAGCCCTCAACGGCTTGGGTCCTGGGTATCTAAAGGAACGCTTGCGTCCATACATGCCCTCCCGCCCCTTGAGATCAGCAACAGATGCCCTTCTCCGGGAACCCTCCATGAAGGATATTAGGAGGGTGAGTACCCGAAGGAGGGCCTTCTCTGCGGTGGCGCCCCACCTATGGAATGCGCTCCCCAGAGAGGTCCGCCTGGCGCCGTCGTTATTTGTTTTTCAGAGCCAGGCTAAGACCTTTTTACTTAAAATTTATTTTAAGTGTTAATTTATTGGTCATTTGTAGGATTTTAAAATTATTTTTAAGCCGAGATGCACCGGGTTTTAATATTTTTATTATATAATTTGGTTCTTGCTGTAAGCCGCCCCGAGGCTTTGTTGCGATGGGGGCGGCATAAAAATGTTTTAAATAAATAAGAGCACAAAAGTAGAGTTCAGCTTCACCCACAAGGTTGCCATGCATGCTGCATGGCATGATGAAATGTGTAAGGCAATTAGGACACGTGGCATGCAGGGTTATTAATGGCTTAGGGTCGGGCGAGGAGAGAACTCCCCCAATTCACCCCAGTTTTGCAGTGGAATCTATGGCACAGGAAGCCACTACCACTTGCTCACATTAGGCGTACAAAGCCTCAGGCTGAAGAGGCCGGACCAAGCGCACCTGGTATTCCAGTCTACCTCTCCAGAGTACACCATTCTGCCATGCCCCTCCTCTTCCAACCTGCTGATTGCTTGATGGATTCCCAGTTTGTACCATTTCCCCCCATGCTGAAGGGGTGAAATGCCTTTCTCATGGCTTAGCTGCTGATAAGAACTTTTATATTAAAATATGGCGGGAATGCTGTGTTTTTCATACCACCCCTTTTACCCTATGTGCCGCCCACCACTAACACAGACTCCAAGCACTTTTCTGAAATAGAACCCAGCTTGATCTCTCTCTCTCAGTCTCCCTCCCTCCCTCCCTCCCTCCCTCCTTCTTTCTTTCTGGATTTGTATCCTGCCTTTTTCCTACAAAGTGCACAAGGTAGTTTACATCTCCTCCTCCATCTTATCCCCACAACAACAACCCTGTGAGGTAGGTTGGGCTGAGAGTCTGTGACTGGCCCAAAGTCACGCAGTTGGCTCCATGGCTGAGCGGATCACTTGAGTCCCAGTCCCATGCTCTTAACCACTACGCCACACTGGCTCTAAGGCTTCCAAAAGCTTAGAGAGATTAAATTCTGCTTCCTTTACTGACTTGCCAATTCAGTCTCGCACAAAGCCTCCACCCTGCAACCCACTTTCACCTTTTGCCCTTCCTCCCAAGATATCCAGAGATCTCCTCGTGTCAGGAAACAAGCCACAGCATGCCGTGCTAAATGATGAATCCAGCCCTCTGTCCGTAGCTGCATCATGATGGCGTCTATAAAGGGATAACCTGTCTGGCCCTAGTAACAAGAAACAGGGATGTTTTAAAATTTACAATTTCCCAGTTGTTCAGGTAAAATTAAATGCAGATTATATGAACGGATATGTCGAAATGCAAAGGCCTTGGCTTAAATATGTGTTCATAGATACATTATTTACAAAGCCTAGAGCCCTGCATTCCCTAAGTTACTACCCAGAAAGTGGCAGGTGATAACAGCACAAGCAAGCTGCATTTTATTCCTGTAATCATCATGGTGTTATGATTTCAGTGAGTTTAAAATACAAAATCATTGTTTTCCAGGGCTTCCAAAGACTGGAGGGAAGCATGCCTCATACTAAGCATGCCTTCAAGTAAGCCAACAACCCACAGGACACCTGAGAGACAACTGCACTCACTGTGGGTTGGTCTAACAGATACACAACAAAACAACACATGTGAAGGAAACAAAAATGCAAGCAAATTTGAGCCCTAAGTGTTTGTGAGATTACACAGTGTGCCAAAGTGGTTCACAGGGTGCTCGGGAGGGGGCCACGGCGGCAAGCCCGGGGGCCCTCGGGCAAACCAGCGGAATGGAAGCTGCACGAGCAGCCAGACAAACCCGGGGAAATAAAGAGGCGGAGGCGGAGGGCTTGCAAAGGCTTGTTTTGCGCGGCCGGGGAAGAGCCAGGCTCGCGTGGAGCGCTTGCGCGGCGGCGGCTGCAGGGCATCCGGGAAGGAGCGGCGGCTCGAGGGTCTGCAGGCGCGTCCGGCGAGGCGTCCGTCTTCGTCCCGGCGACGGACCGAGGCGGCGAGAGAGGCTGCAGCGGCGCGCAGGAATCCAGACTCCGCTGAGATGCGCTGGATGCTGACTGGTTCATCAGCCGGGGCCGGGGCGGAGCCGCTGCTTCGGCGCAGCCAATCGGAGGGAAGCGCACCTGGCAGCGCCGCTCCAGCCTCGCTCGCCGCGAGGGAAGCCTCACCTGAGTGCCACGTTAGCGTAGCGCCCGACAAGACGCTTCTTCATAAGGTCAGCTCCTTAGGTAGATCTTCTCTAGCCATGCCAGGCAAGCGTCCCCTGCATGGGGAGCCGTTTTCTTAGGCTAAAGTCATGCCTGGAAGGCCACCCCTTCACAGGAAGGCCGCGTTCGGTGAGAAATTCTCTCGATTCCTGGCCGGAGCCCCCTTCAAGGGGTGAGAGTGTCTGTAGCTCCTCGAGGTGAGCTTCCTCCTCATGGGGAAGCCTGGACTAAGAGCCAGCTTGGCATTGTGGTGACCATGTTTTCAGCTCCTAGAGGTGAGCTTTCGCAACGGAGTGCCAGATTAGCCTTCTGCTGGCAAGCTGCTTCTTCATGAGGTTCGCTCTGTAGATTGTCTCTGGCCATGCCGGGCAAGTGTCACCTTCATACAGCTTATACTCTTTTCAGCACCAGGCCAAAACCTGCTTAATTAACCAGTATTTTAAAAAGTTGTATTAATCTAACAGTCGTGTTGTCTTGCTTTTACTGCTGGGATTGTTTGTGTATGCAATTTATTGATTGTTTTATGTATTTACTGTGATCCATCCCGAGATGACTTGCATGGGGGACAGGAATACAATAGTTTTAAACAAACAAACAAACAAACAATCGTGCCAGGCTTGCGCCCCCTTCATGGTGAGTGTTTGCCTTAGGCTGAAGTCATGCCCGGCAGGCCGCCTCTTCATGAGATGGCCCAGTTCAGTGAGACTTCTCTTGATTCCTGGCCAGAGCCCCCTTCAAGGGGTGACTGTGTCTTTAGCTCCTAGAGGCGAGTTTCCTCTTCATGGAGAAGCGTCAGCTGAGTGCCAGGTTGGACTTGTGCTGGTCAAGCCGCCTCTTCATGTGGTTGGCTCTGCAGATAGGTGTTCTCTGACCTCGCCCAGCAAGCATCCCCTTCATGGGGAGCCGTTGTCTTAGGCTGCAATTGTGCCCTGCAGGCCACGTCTTCACGCGGTGGCCGAGTTGCGCAACAAACTCTTTGAGATTCCTGGCCAGAGCCCCTTTCAAGGGGTGACAGTGTCTGTAGCTCCTAGAGGCGAGCTTCCTCTTCATGGGGAAGCCTCAGCTGAGTGCCACATTACCGCAGTGCCTGGCAAGCCACTTCTTCATGAAGTTGGCTCCTTCGGTGTCTCTTTCCCAGCCATGCCAGGCAAGCGTCCCCTTCAGGTGGAGCTTGTGGCTTGGTGTGCCTGGCATGATTTCCGGGGTGAGTTTTGACATAGCTTGCATCCCTTCCTGTCAAGCCACATATTCGGGTGGGATGCCTCCTCTTAGTACTTGAGGTGATTACCCTTGGCAAGCCAGCTCTTCACGGGCGATACTTGGGGCCTCGGGAAGAACGAGTGCACAAAGCGTGGGGAGCAAACAGAAAGGAAACTCACCCCACAAACAGGAGCAGCCCCTTTCCAATATGGGTCAGGCTAGTTCTTCCCCCCTCTGCACTGAGCATTGTCCTTGCTGGCGATGGTGCCTGTACGAAGATGGGTCTTTCGGAGGCAGCTCCTTTTGCAGCAGACCCCAGGGACACACACTTGAGCCTCTCCCTGGACAGGCAGGGTGGCGTGCGATTCAGCTGTTGGACTGGAGACCTGGCACATGTTGTCCTAGTCCCCCGTGTAGCCACGAAGCTGAGTGGGTGATCTGGGCCTGCAGGGTTGCTGCTGTGAGTAAAGCCCGTTGGGAAGGCTCACTGAAGGAGAAAAAGCAGCTTCCTCGGGAGTGTGGAGAGGAGTTGCCTCCTGGCAGTCTTACTGTTGCTTGGTATTCTTATCAAGACAGGCAAGCATCCCCTTAATGGGGATGGCTCTGGGTTGCAGAGGTGCCAGGGAAGCATCCCCTCCATGAGGACAACTCAGTTCAGTTGTATTTGGCTTCATGCGTGGCAAGTGACCTGGTCATGAGGATGGATCAGCCTAGTTCGCAGTGAGATGTTTGGCAGGTGCTGGACACTTCCCCACATTTGGTAAGGGGCAACCTCCTTTGAAAAGAGTCTCAGCCTCACCCACCCTACGGGGTTCTGCTGTGAGGATGGAAAATGCTTGGCTGGCTGCCTTGGCTTTCTCAGGAGAGGAAAAGCGCCCACTTTAACTGCAGTGGAATAATAATGACAAAAACACTGCAACTAATACTGCTCTCCTCTGAGCCCACTCATGGGCCAAGCGTCTCAGCTGCAAGGAGAGAGGCGTGACTGGTAATGCCCCAGTCTGTGGCGATTGGCCCCTTGATGCCCCAGCCCTGCAGTTGCTCCGTGAGGATTCTCTTTCCAAGTGCTGGACAAGAAATGCTTCTCCACTCTGATAGCCGTGTCAGGCAGTGAGGGACAGGGCTGACACTTCCTTGTTGCAACAGGAACTGTTGACTCCAAGCCCTCACGACCTTTGTGCTACGCATCCTGCAGAGACAGGTCTCCATGAACGCGCTCGCCCTGTTAAACTCGAAGTGGAAAAGGGGGTCCGACTTCCCTGCGTGGCATAGTACCTGCTCCCTGGCAGGCCGCAGAGGGCGTTTGTCCGGTGATAGGATTACTTTTCAGCTCAGGGCATTGCGGTGCACACCACTGGCCGCTCTGACACTCCTGTGTTGCCCGTCGTGCAAGCAGGAAAGAAAAAGGCGGAATGTTTTGAAACCTGACTCTGAGCTTGGTGTCCTGTGCCCATCTGGTTTGGTCACCTGCCCTCGTGAATGAGGCCCTTGATCAGAAATGGCTCTACTGAGCCAAGAGAGTACATCTGGACCCATCCACAGGGACGGGTCTGTGTCCCCCGCTGCATTCTGTCCTGCCAACCGGTGCCCGCAAGTCCCTGGCATGCACGGCCAGAGCGGCGACAGCAAGAACTTTCTGTGCGCAGCACGTAGTCATTCAATCTATATGCCGCCCCACTAGTAACAGGCTCTCTGGGCTGGGCAGCCTGCCTCATGCTGAAGTGCAAACACGAGAGAACCGAGCAGTTCCAATATTTTGCTGCGCTATTATTTGGTGCTCCTGCTATGTTCTTTTTTCATTATGGTTTTTCTGGTTTTCATTGCTTAAACTTGTATGTATTTTAGGTTGTTTTATGCTGTTGGTTTTTACCATGTCAACTGTCTAGACAGCCATGTGTCTATGAGACAGTGTACAAAAGTGTTTAATAAATAATAAACGAACTGTGAGAAATATCTTTGCAGTTGCTCTTCTCCGGAAAGTGTCAATTACTCCAGTGCAACATTTTTCTTGCAGAAGGGCTTGTCTCTGTTACTTCCCAATCTTTGGTTACTTAAAAGCAGTATTTATCTAGTCTTCTCGAAGCATGCCCTACAAAACCAGGCCCAGAAGCCCACAAAAGTACATTCTGTGTGATACTTCTCAGTGTCCTCTATTTCAGAAAGGGGAGATATTCTCACTTACCAGAGCATTGACTGCTACAGTTCCTACAGTTCTTTACCAGTTTTAAGTCCCACGGCAGAAACTCATGTAAATTTAATGGCTGGAAAGTGAAGGGTGGATTTGAGAACCTGTGATCCAGGTGTGCCAGTTTCCCTTTCATCTCTTCCCCAGCCATTACATTTGACAGGATAACACAGTAACTGCACTGCAAGAGCCTGTGGGGAGCCAATCTCCCACTTTCTAGAGAAGCTAGAGGCTTAGAGAAGTGTTGAAAAGTTAAAGGGCATTGATAAGTGTCCAATTCTTAAAGGTCAAGGGAATCACAGTGCCAAGCAGGGGGGATACTCTCCCCTCGTTCTTTCATGCACCTACGTTTGTTGTTCCCTCTGTTACCAGAACTTTTGACAATTAGGCAAAAGTTGCTCCTTTAGCCTATATGCAGTCTTTTTTTGACTTCTCTTTGACAGTTGAAACTGAAAGGAAATTCAGAGCAGACTACACAGAGCAGACAGTCACTGTCAAACATGATTCAATACTCGTGAACCCAATTTCTGAGGCACCAACACTAGGAAAAAAGGCAGCGTACCTCACTCCATGCTTTAAGATACTCCTTGTTCTCATCCCAGTCCACTTGCACACAAATAGGGTTGCCTTCCATCTTGCTGAAGTTGGGGATCCCAGCTCCTGCTGTATAGAAAAATTCCCGCCACAGAAGTTGCCCATGCAAAGAGACCGGTGGGTTCGAGTGTTTCCTCTAGAGAAGCACAGTTAAGGAAGAAAACTTATGGTAGGAATTATGTCAGAAAGTACATTTACTAAAGTCTACTGATCATTTATTCTGTTAAATAAAACTACCCAAGGCGCTTGTCTCTGTCACAACCCACAAATATTCCAGGTAGCCTTTTACAATCTACTTCTGAGCTTTCTGAATGGCCAGCCGATAGCCTTGCAGGCTTGGCCATGTGAAGAAGTCACAGCAACTCTGATGACGTGTTATGCTGCAGAAAGAGTTGGCACCCTTGGCCTGGAGAAGACGTCTGTGGCTGACAGATTTCCAAAGATACACTTTGTTGGTCCAGAGCAGCACCACGTTCTGGGTGAGAACACACAGACAACATTCGGTGCTTCTGTGCCAGTTGTAGACTAGAAAAGCATTTTTCTTACCCCCTGGTAGATTTCCGTGAGCTTCCACCAAAATGTCCGTACAGACAGGCACCCAAACTTGACGTAAGGGCTGAGCACAGTTGTACTGGGAGTTAAAGAATTGGGCGATGTGGCAGGCTTCTCGAAGTTACATACCCACAACTGTAAAGGCAAAAATGAGAAAGAATTACAATATCTAAGCGCCGTCTCCTCCTATGTGAGCATGTACAGTCTGAATCTGTAAGGCCCCTTTGCTAAATCCCCCAGCTTCTGAGGCTAGGCAGTTGACTGTCAAAGGCAGGACCTTGTCTGTGATGGATCCCAAACTGTAGAATTCTTCCTTAAATATGGGTACCTGCTGCTTTTTAATACTATACTTTAGGAATCGGGCATTTCTTTTGTGCCTATAATTGCTTGAGCTTTTTACTACTTGACATCTTATTTACCACTTGGTCTTACTGTTTTATTTTCAGATTTTTTGTTTCATTTTATTTTAAAATATATTTGGTTCCATTATATTAAACTTGTGCAGAGTAGTAGCCATGTAAAGTGGTTGCAGCAAAAATAACAGTTTTATAAAACCTGAAGACTACCATATCTATTATTGCATGAGCTCTCACAGATGTATCATTACAACAGAAAACTTTGTTAGTCTATAAGGCATTGCAAGACTTTATATTTTACTGTTATATATTTTATATATATATATTACTATTCTAGATTTAAGCCATTGATATGAAATCTCAGAGATAATTATAAATTAATAAAATATAGGAGGCACAGTTCTTCTCAAGATGGCTTATCATCTAGATCAGACTGTAATGACATCAGTGGGAAGAAAAACGTCCAGGATTGACAATGAATATAAGCTGGTCAGAAGAAGGCTCAACTAGTAATGTTGGACCAATCTAAACAGCAGATCTAAATAGTATGAACAGCAGATACAACATCTTTCAGGCAAGAGGAGTAGATATTTCAGTCACTGTACCGTTCTTTTCATGTGCAAGTCAAGTCTAGCAAGTGCTTCTGATTCGCCTCCTCGGTAAAGATGTGGTCCAGCCTTCTCTAGGTCCTGCCCCAATTCCTCAAAGGAAGGGATGCCGTATTCCATATCATGGTCATCTTTGACAGGTGTGTTGCAGTCTAGGTCAGAGAGTTGGTCGGTCAGCTCAAGTGGTTACACGGAATGCTTTTTTCTAGTTCTTTGGGTTCCCTTAATCTGATGTGTCTCTCTGCTCTCTCAAATATGAGAAAGAACTTTTATTATCCAATTATTTAAAATAGAGCTGAGTAGGAAAGGCTTACATTCGTGCTCGCTCACCCCTTCTCCCTTTTCTATCATTTTTTGGCAAGCCCAAAAATTGCTGCTCACTTTCATTGGCCTTCCCTGGTCTACAGTGACTCCATTAGATAGGAAAATCTCTTTGGCTTTGTAGTTCTGAGATAGTTTATTCACCATGTGATCCCTTTTTGGTGATCTCACCTGTATGAATATCCAGAACAAAACTAGAAGCAACCAGGGGAGGTAACCATAATGTGCTAACAAAAAGTGGATTATGTTGGCATGAAACAAGATTGGCAGAAACAGAACATTTCTGCAATTGAGAGCTGGGATTATGGGGGAAATGTGTACCCCAACAAAATATTTACTTTTCAATTCCAGGGGCAAATAGAATACTCAGCACCGTTTTAATTAGAAACTAATCAAAGAATTCCACAAAATTAGGTGATTAAAATAGGTCATGGAAATTGCTGATCAATAAAAATAGGACTCTGACTTAAAACAGCATTAATTTTACTATGCAGCTCTAGTAATTTCTCCCAAAGGAACTTGGAATCATCACAGTTCAGGAAAAGCATCCAAGCCAAATGGATCTGTCAAAAAGGCAAATAAAAGGTAGGCAATTCTAGTGTGAGATAGCAAGATAGATAAATGCAAAATCCATTAGCCCTTCCCATCATATTCGGATAACTGGCTCCAGTTACAGTAATTACCTTGAGTTTAACAATAAAGAAATGAAGAAAGATGTGAAAGGTAGATAACTGATACTAGAAGGTGAAATGAGAGGAGGAGATTATGCATTAGTTAATATTTAAGTAATGCATAATCAAATGTTGATCAGATAAAAATTGTAAAGGTTGTCCTAGAAGAGTTACAAGATATTAGGATAGGATTTATAATGATGGCAAGAGATTTCAATATGGCAATAGGTGAAAGGAAGGGAGAGATTAAATCATACTAAAAGGAAACAAGGTGTAGTAGTACATTATTAAATAGAATGATAAATTATACTGATTTAAAAGATGTATGGAGAGAATTGAAGGAAACTGGAAGAAAATTTACTATTTATTTGTTTATTTATTTAAAACTTTTATATGCCGTCCCTTATGCATGGCATCTTGGGATGGCTCACAATCAGTGACAGCTCATAGACCTTATTCTAGGATATCTGTATTTGTATCAAAGAATCTTTTTTCTAGACTGTATGTCTCAGATAAAGGTTTGATAAAAATTAGGGATCATGCAGTAATAAATATGGACTTTAAAATTACATGTGATTATGAAGAGGCTAAAAAATGGAGGATGTATTTAAATATTTTACAACATAAACATATATAAAAAAGTAAAAACTTAATAGGTATAGTTAAAGATGAAAAGGGTAGAAAACTTAAAAAAAAAGTTGGGAATATTTTATAGATTTTATTTGACGCTATATGCAGCCGGGACGTTGAGCTTAAAGCAAAAGGGAGCAGGACCAAAACGGACAGCATATTTTAACATAAAGCTCTTATTCCCCGTCACTAAGCCTTAACAGAAAGCCAGAAAACGATCAGCAGTTGACAGGAGGCAAGTGGGTCCAATGAACGGGGTGTAGCCCTAAAGGGGGCGTCAGTGGGCCAAATTTGGTCCCAGCATCTGAGGTTTTACACCCCTGGCTTGTACCAAATCCTCATTGTAGCAGAGAAGGCTGAAACAGAAATAAGTGTTGCTGGAATGGCCAAGCAGCATGAGATTTGCACATATATCTTGTTTATTCCACAGAATGATTAGGTGCAGAATAGATGTCTTTTTAAAGCCAGTTTGATTTTCAGCTGCAATTAAAAAAAAAAAAAAACCCGTTCTGCAAACTCCTCCTGCTCTTCCGGCCTGCTCTACGGCTGCCTACAGGCTCAGGCTTGTTTACTAATAAATCTGGGTGATCCTTGCTCATAACAAGAACGATCACACTCTACTTTTTATGGAACATCTTTTGCATCAGAGAGAGTTAATGATGCAGCAAATGTTAAACTATATATGAAACAATTTGTTGTTGCACAAGCAAAAGTAAACTGAATCAAAAGTAAGTGTTTTGTTATACTTTCCAACTATACTCATTTGTATAAACATGTTATGAAACTATCAGGGGCCAGGTTTAAAACATATAAACAAGTAGTGATTGTTTACACAAAGTTTAGTTGTGTAACTCACTGCCATGGAATTTTATGAAAGAGATTTGCTTAATGATTTTAGAAGGGATCCAAAAATTACTGATCTATTGAAAACTGGAAGAAAACAATGCTACATTCCCAGAGACCAGAAGATATTTTTCAGAGTGCCTGCGGGCATCAAGATTCAAGAAAGATGCAGAAAAGTTAGAAAGAGTCCAGAAGAGGGCAACAAAAATGATGCTGAGTTTAGAAACACTGCCCTAGAACTAGGTATGTTCAGCCTGGGGAAGACTGAGGGGGGACATGGTATCACTCTGTAAGTACCTCAAAGGCTGTCACAAAGAGGAAGGTTAAGATCTCTTCTTGCTGATGCCAGAATGTAGGACACGGAATAATCAGTTCAAGTTGCGACAACCCAAATTCAGGTTACGTATCTAGAAAAGTTTCCTCACTGTCGGAGTGACAGTGGAACCAGTTGTCTAGAGAGCTTGTGGACTCTCCCACATTTAAAAAGATAACTGGACAGTCATCTGAGTGACTGTGAATTGGTGTCCTGAAACAGGAGGGAGTTGGACCCAATGGCCTTCATGGCCCCTTCCAACTGTACAATATGATTCCATTTTCCTTCCCCATTTATATGAACATGGTTAACAAGAAGCCAAATTTCAACAAACCATACTATGGTTTAGTACTGGTGTAAACCAAGGCATTCTGTGTCTGCCCCATTTCCTTGCACCGTTTGCAGAATTGTAACTGCACAGGCAGAATAGTGAGCTAAATAATTCTAATTTTTATTGGTTGACTTTTTCTGTAACCTTCTTTGCAATGGAACCTGACAGCTTGTTAAACTTTCAAATAGTTGAAATGCAGAAGGAAAGATCTCATAGCTATTTGTTCCAGAACTGTGGTTTTTGAACATCACATGGAAATGCCATCAAAATCATCGCAGTGTCCAAGTGATTCATAGTACATTTCAATTCTTGAAAATATCAGCTGACAAAATCCAGAAAATCCCATACTAACCCTTGAAGTTTTCCAAAGTGGGAGCGGGAACTGGTTTTTTGGGAGGCCCCAAAGTACTCAAAACTCTCTGAAATTGTGTGTAAGTCAGAGGTGGTCTACCGTTGCTTTCAATAATTATTCTGCAAAATATAAAGATAGACAAGTAGTTACCAGGAACGTCTTGTACCTGATGGAACTGCATGCGCTTCCAAGGATCTAGGTTCATTGAACCTACCTTTCAGTGTCATACAAAGTGTGAGACACCTTCTGAATAACTTGGACACCATGCTCAGCTGCCAGCCTCACCACTTCAGCATCTCGCTGCCTCGCATAGGGTTCTGTGTCTACTTCAAACGTAAGGTGTGTGACCTTCCATTCCTTAAAGAGTCTGGGGAACACCTCTGCAGGGCAGCCACGAACTATGAACAGTCTGAGGAGACATCACTAACTTTGAGCATGGAGAGACAAGTACCAAAGACTACATTCTTTGAATGAAGGCTACATCCATAGAGGACTAGTCTAGAGGACTAGGATCTGGGAGTTTAATTCTAAGTTCCTGCCTATGCAATATCTTCATGTTCACATGCCTTATCTCTTGGGTCAACTTTGACATGGAAAACCATTTTGCTCTGGGAAAAATGCAAAGTCCGTCAGCCCTTCCCATCACTGGCTCCAGTTACAGTACTTACCTTAAGCTTAGTTTCTTCAAGCTCTCATCCAGATCACTTAGAGACTCAACCAGAAACCTCCAGCGGTTGACACTGACCCTCATATTCTTTGGGAACCAAGGATCAAGGATAAAGATTGGATAGACCTCCGCACAGTCCTTCATCGCTGCCAACAGGGCAGGGTTATCATGGAGGCGAAGTGCCTTGCGGAACCAGTGGACTGAAATGCGCGTCATCCTAAGCACCAGCCCCGTGTCCTTCCCGTTTGTATCAGAACTATTATCCAAGAATTTAGGATCTAGGTAAAGGGAAGAGTAAAGTCATTTATAGGAAAATCTCCAGGTAATGTGCAATCGATCTGCAGTGCTTTCTGACTCCCAACACAAAAGAGCCAAACGACATCGCAAGGAAGCAAAAGGGGTTCTGTGCTGTGGCCAAGTTTGTGCTCATCATCATCGATTTCATTCCTGTACTTTCTCATAACCAAAGTTCTCCTGGCGGGTCCCTTTCTCACCGCCTCAGTGTTCCTAATCTGTAAAAAAACGAGTCACCGACTGCGTCCGTGACCATGTCTTTGTTCTGCGGGCCAGTTTCCGAGTGCATTTAACCTGCACCCTCCTGTCCCACCGTTTGCATCTGGCTGCTGAGAGAGAGGGTCAAAGCAAAACAGATCCCGTGCGCTAGAAGTCCGCGCACTCTGTTTCCACGCAGCCATCCCGGGCGCCAGCCTCCCGGGCGCCGAAGCGGCCGCAGCCCTATGGCCACTTACCTGGGTGCGGGCCCGATGAAACCCCCAGAGCGGTGACTTCTGCAGGGGCACGTGCGGGTTGAGTCACCGGTTCCTCGACCTTTCTGGCCAGAGAGGCCTTTCCCAGCACATCGCAGCGCCTCTGCGCACGCAGGTCTTCCCCTTTACTTGTGTAACGCGACGAGCGGGGTTGCACAACACTGCCAGGCGCTCTGGGCGTGATTTCCTGCGCCTTTCTGCGCCTCTCGCTGTGCGCGGCCCAGCAGCGATTCAGCTGGCATTGGCGGAAAGAAGCGGAAGTCTGCCCAGCAGCCGATGGGGGCTTGACGCGCGCCGCCTGGCCGTATACTGGTGGGACACGCTGCGCCCCCGAGGCGGCCCGGTCTGCCCTCCACCCCCGCCGCCAGTGGGGTCTTGTGACCGACTACGGCTGCTGCAATGGATGGCGGCCGTGGCGCCTGACCTTGCGCGCAGATCTGCTAGGGAGTAAGCCTCGTGCAGCGCAAGGGTCCCTTACTCTCAAATCAAGCCCGGGGTCTCACTTGGGGAAAAAGTAAAAAAAAAAAAAAAAAGGGAAGGATTGGCCGCGAGAAGTTGCTGCTGCTATTACTATTAATAACAATTACCTTCTAAAAGCAGCCTGGACTGGAATTTTCTTTCTTTAACACATCTTCGCTGCAAGAGCGTACCCAGGCTGGTCGTTGAAGTGTTCACGCGGGAGGAAGTACCCCTGAGCGCACTGGGCTTCCTCTCCAGGAACCGTGCGGCGGATCGCAGCCACAGGGCGATGCTTCTTGCGGAGTAATGGCTGCGCTCGCTTCCGTGGGCGCCAGTCCCAGTCCTCGGGATGGGGTTAGCTGTCCGGAGCAAGCCCGGATCCAGGAGTAGGGCGCAGCTGCCCTAAACCCTACGCGCGCCGGCAGAAAGCGGAGCGGAGGGAGGGAGGAGGGCTCCTTGCGTGGCAGGCGCGCAACACGTTTGGCGTTCATACCACGCAGCAGAACGGGGAAGTAGCCGCCGCGGGGCTTGAGGCGGGCAGGACCTCGTTGCTACAGCCGAGAAGGGATCCGGCTTTTGCAGCCGTCGCGACGCGTAAAGGTTGGTTCATCCAGCGGAGGCCGCGCGCCTTCCCTTGCGGGGCTGTGGGGGGCGAGAGCAACTCTGTCCCACGGGCCCCAGACGCCGGATTTACTTTCTGGTTCACTTTTTCTACGCATCTGGATCGTATTCGCATTTACGCCACCGGGTTTTTCGTTTATGTGCACAGCCAGAGAGAAGTGGGAAGGGGGGGAGGGCGTGGGGAACTTGCCCGCTAAACTTTTTGGAAGCACGATCCCCGTGCTTTTCCGGCGCTTTCCTTTGCAGCAGCTTCAATTTCATTCCCCAAGGAGTCTTTCTTGCATTTTCTTTTAAAATTCGACTTGCCCCATTTGTGGGCTGTGCCATCGAATGCATTGCCTGTTTCCTTCCGCAAAAAATAAAACAAACCAGGAAAGGAGAGATGGTTCTAAATGCAAAATTAACTCAGGGGCTCTGCTGCAAATCGTTTAGTGGCTTAAGTGGTAAAATGGATGTTCGACTTTTGTTTCAGAGCAGATAACATGGGAGAATTTTTTGTTTGTTTTACAAATATACTCTTGTTACTAGTTTACACTGATCAGATTAGAGATGGTATTTTATTGTGCAGCGAGATCCTAAGGCTGCTATCCTAAGCATATCCAGACGGAGAAAAAACCCTATAACACCCTGCATTATCCAGCCAGGGAAATGCTTGGAGGTGGGGGTGGATCAATCTAAGCCAGCCCAGGAATGCGCCCTAACCAGTTCGCATTAAAATTCAGTATAAAAGCACCAAAGCGTTAAGGGTGCCAGAGGTCCAACAGAATCAGGGAGGCGAAAACCTCTTGCCCCTCTTCCTCTGAGAAACTGTAGGCAGGGCTTGGCTTTTACAGATTTTCTGGTCCTTCTTGCAGCACTATTCTCAGATTCTCTGATTTGAAAATGTAAAGCAGAAAGTGAGGTTTTACGAATCTATAGGCTCCACAGGTTTTTGCTAAAATTGCCTGACGACAGTGGATACCTGTTGCAGGCTCCTTAGACTTGTGGAGGAATCAGTTTCAGCCATAAGTAAGGAAGGGGCTTGTTTGCTTTTGAACTACTGCTTGGGGAGTGGGGACTCATGCAACCTCATAACTGCAAATTTTGGTTTGATTAACCCAGAATTTTCCAGACAGTACACCAATTCTGTTTTTGACAGTCTGAGTGTGATGTGCAACGCTGGCCCAATATAAGTTATTTGGGAGATAACCCAGTGGGTAGCTCAACAAAAATGCACGGATTAGCAGCAAGATATTGGTCCAGGTTCTTACATGGATTGCTCACAATCACCAATCGTAGGCAATTTTCTGGAACCAGAAGTGACTGATGGGCAGGGCAGGACAGGTCCGTTTGCCGTGTGACGTGTGACTGAGGTCATGATGTTCTATTCTGAGTGCAGCATCTCTCCAATGTTCTGAAATCCACAGTTGGACAATACTTTTATTAGGATTGACCATCTATCACGAATTAATTTGCAAGCTTTTCAGTTCTCTAGAACTCTTTGTCGGCCTGAGAAGGAGGTCTGGGGAGCTCTACTGCTTGCACCATCTCCTGTGCCATTTTGATTTATCCTAACGGAGATGTTGCTGAACTCTGGATTGGGAGGTTTTCTTTTTCACTGGATTTGGGCATTTTCTTTTTCCTTCAAGGACCTACATTGCTATGCTTGCTTTTTATTTGGCTTAACTGCCTCTAGTTTTCCTTGGCTGTGCCTACTTTCACTTTTGCCGCTTCCCGTAAGTGTGATGATCACACTTCATTTTTTTCTCGTTAGTGTCACAAGTAGATTACAGCAAAAGTCGTCCCCAGTTAGATTCCAGTAGAAAGGAGAAACAGAGCGACTTTCTCAAACCTCTTATAATCTGCAAAGGAAGACACATGTGGATGATTCCTAGTTGAAACTTGCTCCTGATATGTCAGGTGAGTAAGCAAATCGCACTGTGTGTGTGTTTAGACTAGAACTTTTCCTACATTTTATTTTGCCTTCGTGTTCTCCATCGTGGTTCCAGCCTTTGCACATTCCACAAGCTTCTGTGCTTCTATTTTCTGTAATTGCAGGCCTGATTGTAATTTTTTGTTCTTAACTGGGGAACTTGCTTCAGATTGCCATCTGTGCTTGGACAGTGATTGTAAGTTGGCTTTCCATCAGTGGCTGGGTGGCGCAGACGCATCAAGACGGTGCAGCAGCAACACTTCAGGTCTGTGCTGTTCTTGCAGAAGGTCTCCTAGAGACCAGCTAGCGGTCAGTCCTACTTTGACCAAGCCTCTGCTGTTTTGGCTTATTGTACCTAGCCTGGGAGAGCCAGACCCTGACTGACTGGAGATGCCAGTCAGTTCCCTCTGTGTGTGGGTATGTTTTCTTTTGCTGTTTGGATTCGTTTAGTTTTCCTTTGTTTGACCTCAGGTATACTAAAAGTTGAGTTGTTTAATCTCACTGTGTGTGTATTAAAGTGAAATGTTTTTATGCATGCAATTATATAAATCTAATAACGATTTGTAATGCCACTGTTTGGACATGTTATATTTTACTGTGTTAACTTTCTTGATACTGTGTAAGCTCTGTTGAGCATATGAAGATATCGGTGACGAGTTTCACGAAAAGGAACGGGCAGACAAAATGGTGCAACCTGCCCAAAACAAGGGTATCAAACCTCAGGACTACGGACCAAATGCAGCCCACCTTTGTCTCCGACCTGACCTTCCCAGTTCTACAAATAGTTATGCCTCTTTCTGCCCCAGACTATTTATTTATTTTTATTTATTTAAAACGTTTGTATGCTGTCCTCCATGCAAGGCATCTCGGAACCGCTCACAGTCAAAACGTTAAAACAGTCAATAAAATTACATACATTAAAACAATCCAGTGGTAAAAGCAATAAAACGCGACTGTTACAATTAATTCTAGTTTTTAAAATACTGCTTAAATAAAAGGGTTTTGACCTGGTGCTGAAAAGAGTATAAGCTCGGCGCCAGGCAAACCTCTCTGGGGAGTGCATTCCATAATCTGGCTGCCACTGCAGAGAAGGCCCTACTCCGAGTAGATGCCCTTTTTACCTCCTTCAGGGAGGGTTCTCGGAGCAGGGCCTCCCATTTGGTAGTTTCTTGGCTTCTCTGTGGATTCCTTCCCTCCATTGTACCGGATTGAAATGGCTGTCCTAAGGCTGAGTTACTGGTGGTAGAAGCTTTAAGCTGAATTATGCCATTATTTTGGCTGCAGCCCATCCATCATTGAAATGCTGTGCCAAAACTGAATTCAGCCTCTGGGCTGGAAACGTTTGGGCACTCCTCATCTTAGGGCATGATTCAAAGGTAGCATTTCTGTCCCTTGGCTCAGTTCCTTCCTTAAGAATAGCAGGACAGTGGAGAGATCCAGGGGATCCCAGCCTCTTCCTTTGGCTGTGCATTAGAATACCCACTTTTCTCCTCTCTGGCATTGTCTGAGGCTGCAAGCTTCCGTGGTTCTTTCAGTGGCAGCTACAAGTGGGAAAGGAAGGGGAAGGGTTGGGATGGGGAAATAGGGATGCCTGCAGCTTCAGGAGGGGAATTGCAACATGTTGCCTGACCCCGAGGAGGCTCTCCCAGGAACTGTAGGATGCCCTTGCTGATAGTCTCTCCTCAGCTGACTTCACCTGATTCTGTGCTGTTAAATCTGCAGGCTGGTTCAAGGCATTACTGCAAAAGCCTCGGAAAAGCACCAACTCGTCCAGCAAGCATGTGAATGATGCCGCTAAGCATTCACCATCCCCACCTGCTACAGTGAGAAGCTCTCCCACTGCAACTAGGAGCTTGGCAAACAGCCCCACCGCCTCCCTGAGCCTTTCCAATGAGAGCGCCCGCCTGAGCAAGCAGTACGACGTGTGCATCTGCCATAATGAGGGCGACTTTGAATTTGTGGAGGAGCTCGTCTCCTACCTCGAGAGCCAGCCTGAGCGCTTCCGCTGCTTCCTGCAGCCACGGGATGCTCTGGCCGGGGGTGCCATTGTGACGGAGCTGTGCGATGCCGTGCAGAACAGCCACTGTTGGGTGCTGCTAATCACGCCCCACTTCCTTGCGGATCCCTGGTGCCGTTACCAGATGCATTACGCCTTGACCGAGGCACCCATGGCCAACGGGCGCACAATCCCTGTGCTGAAGGACATGGACCGCGGGGACTATCCAAGGGAGCTCCGGTGCATCTATTATATCAATGTTGTGCACCAGGTGACCAGCTTCAAACAGATCAAAGAGACCGTGATGCGCTGTAAGTAATCCGTCAGGGAGAGATGCTTAGCGCCTTCTGCAGCAGGTACCTCTATCCTGATGTCCTCCAGAGCAGGGCCAGCCCTATCATTGGGCAACATGAGTTGTTCAACTAAAGCTGGGGAGTGAAGGGTCACATGATTTGCATCCGTTCAGAGTTGCACAGGTAGTGCTGTGGGATGCAATCCCATGGCCAGTGTTGAAGCTCAGTCCAGCTATTGGTTAACTTGGCTTCTGCATGTTGCCAAGTCAACCAATAGCTGCCATCAAGAGATGCCATCTTGTCCTGGCCTCTGGCAGCAAAACATCTTTCTTGAGCCAGGTCTGCTCTAGGTAAGATGGACTCCAACTCTCAGCATCCCCAGCTATCTGGGGGATACTGGGTTTTGAAGGCCAGTGCATTGAGAAGGGACTAGGTTGGGGGAAGTGATTTCATGAAGTTACTTCTCTGGTTGTGACTAAGGTTTCTGGAGCTCTTGATCCTAATGAGTATAGGAAAAACCAGAAGCTGGTCTTCTCTAATCAGATGTTCCATCATCTTCAGTTAAAAGTGTTTAAAAAGAAAAACAATTCTTTGCATAACCTCTCCCTCTCTCCTCTCCCCTTTTGAACTGCCATGTACATGGGGTCACTTGTAAAGCACTTTTGTAACTTTACAAAACAGAAGAATGTAGCTTCTAGAAAAGAAAAGATGGATGGGAAGTATTTGGTCATCTTTTGCATCTTTTCAGGGTTTTCCTCTTTCAGACTTGGACCACTGGTGTGCTTGTTTGGTGCTGTGCTTTTATGTGTCCATTCACTTCAGGTAGGAACACAGCAAAATGCTGTCAACTAACACAGGTCCTGGGTCCATCTGGTCTAGTTTGGTTGACACTGACTGGCAGCAGCCGTCCAGGATTTAAGCTGGATTCTCTTCTAGCCCTGTGGGGAGATGATGGGGATCCAGCCCAGAACCTGTGTGTCTGAGACATGTGCTTTACTGCTGCAAGCCCTCTCTGACGGCAGCAGACTCCGGTCAACTGTGTCAGGAGACATTTTGGATGTTCAAAACCGATGTGATGAGGATGGCGTGTTAAATGGACTGACAGTATTTCCAGCTTTATTTATTTATTAAATTTGTATGCCATCCAATTACTAAATGTCTCTGGACAGCTAACAGCATAAATAAATTGACAACCCACTCTGGCTGCAATTAATATAATACAATAATGAAATTCGCTATTAAAATATTGATTAAATAAAAAGGTCTTAAACTGGCGCCGAAAAACGTATAATGACAGCACCAGGCAGACCTCTTTGGGGAGCGCATTCCATAGACGGGGCGCCACCGCAGAGAAGGCCCTCCTCCGGGTACTCTGTCTCCTAACATCTTTCACAGAGGGTTCCCAGAGGAGGGCTTCTGTTGTCGATCTCAGGGGGTAGGAGGGCAAATAGGGAAAAAAGCGTTCCTTTAGGTATCCTGGTCCCAAGCCTTTTAGGGCTTTATAGGTAATAACCAGCACCTTGAATTGAGCCTGGACTTTGATGGGAAGCCAATGGAGCTGATGGAGGACTGGGGTTATATGAGAATAATGCTCAGTCCCCGTCAGCATCCTGGCAGCTCTATTTTGCACCATCTGAAGTATCCGGACTGTCTTCAAGGGCAGCCCCACTAGGGCGCATTACAGAAATCCAACCGGGAAGTAACCAATGTGTGTGTTACTGTTGTTAGGTGCTCTTCCTCTAGGTGGGGACGCAGCTGATGGATCAGCCGAAGCTGAAGGAAAGCGCTGCTCACCACCGCTGTCCCTTGAGCAACCACTCTAAAGCAACCATGCGTGGTAGTGGGGGCATATCACCTTCTGACTGTGGGGAGAGGGTATTTAGAGACTCTCCCCCCATACCATTCTCTAAAATGCTCATGCAAACATACTGGTCCTATGCTGGAAAAATGGCCACGGTACCTTCTATGTAGGACTGTTGTTGGTGTTGTTGATCTGATAGGGCAAATTCATCCATGGCTGGCTGCTCTCAAACATCTGACATTTACTGTATGTGGCTCTTCTGTTGGGCAAGTCTGGCCACCCCAATATACTCTACTATGGTATACTATAATAATTATATAATATAATACATATTATATTAATATATATCGTATCATTTCATGGCAGCCAATCTGATTACGAGCAATCCCAAACTGAAGAATTTACTGAACAAGTAAAACTTGGAAGGAATCTTTCTGAAAAGCTTTGTAGTTGCTTAACTAGTGCGTACAGTCGCTTTCATAGTTAACTGGCATGTACTTGGGGCCTTGGAACTGAAAGAATTTCAGCTATGTAAACTGGGTGGAGATACCAAACATAGGGGAGGTGAATATCCACTACTTTTATAAAATTACAATTCCTGGGATACTTAGGAGGACTGGTAATAATGATCAAAAAGGGGCAGGGAAAAAGACCTGTTTCAGCTTGGTTTAAATTTATGGTGTAAAGTGTGGGTTAGATGGGGGCTTCTGAAATTTGAAGTTGGGTGTCCGGAATGTTGAAAGTTTGCAAAAGCCCAGGAGAAAATGTAGCAAAACTGCCTACATAATTACTCTGCTAAGCATATCGATTACTATCAAATTATATGCTGGCTTTGTTCACAATGAATTCCAATTCAGGATCCGTTTGTGTGTGTCTATATCTACTTTTTTAAAGGCACCAATGGCAATCAACCAAAAAATGGCCAGTACAAGCTTAAAGTATGATTAGCTGCACCCTTTGCAGCTAATCATACTTTACCCACTGGGTAAAGACTAGAGGGTGGGGGAAGAGAATAGCTTTGTACCAAAAGGCCAAAGGGCCTAGAGCTTTGGTTACGGGTGCTATGGAAATGTAAGGTAATAATAACAATGAGCAAATGTTTCTGGGGAGGGTGTTTCATCACTGAGAACCTACCATGCAGCTCCATTCACCTCCCAGCTGCAACCCGCTTAAGCTAAGATCTACAGGGGTGTGGAACTTAGGACCTTGGGGGCCACATCTGGCCCGCCTAGGCTCCCAGTCTGCCCCTGCAGGTTCCCCTTTTAGCCATACCCCCTTCCACTGGCCTCACTCGTTTTCCCTTGCAAAATCAGCCACTGGATGGCTGATTGTTGTGCGGTCTTTTCCCTTTCTAATTGCTGGAAATTATCCTCTTAAAGCTTAGTGACCAGCAGCAAAAGCTTTATGCTAATATGTGGCGGCATTTGGAGGTGTCGCCTCTTTTGCCTTTGGCCCTGCAGCCCTTGTACGCTTCTCCAAGATAGAAAGTGGTCCTCAGGCAGAAAGAAATTGGATGGCCTTGCTGTAAATGAAGGACTTTAGGCGTTTCCATACTTCATTCAGTGCCGTGCTTCATGCCATGGTTTGGAACTGCAGGAATTTGTAAAACAGGAAGTGGACTTTAGGATATCTGCAAACTAATTAGTCTTACGATGCAATGATTTCTTGTGATACAAAATGCTAGGATCTGGTAATGCCTCCGCAACATATCTTTTTTCTCTACCTTTAACAAAAAAGTATCAGTTGACTGGAGGGGCTAAAGGGGATATACCAGGAGTTAATGTGGAGATAAAATTATGGTTCTTAGTTCATTTACCTATAATAGTCTAATTTTCTGCTGATTATCGCAAATCCATTCAGATAAGACGTGCCCAATTTTATAACATTGTTTCTGTGAAGAAGAGGCATGTGATCTTTGCAGACACAAATTCACAGTTTTGAGAACTGCAAAGCCAAGCATCTGTAATGATACCTTCTAGACAGAAAATTAGTCCAATAACCTTACAGCAGCCTCTGGAAGGGCATGACATTGTGAATGGGTTAATGAAATTCATTTACGAAAAAAAATTAAACATTGCATGAATAGGTGATTGACTGACTGAGAGAATGGTGTTGAAAGGAATGCTTTGGGTTACTCAACCATGGTTCCTTGCTGAGGGACTTCCGGCGAGGGATGGGGTGCACCTCACTGGGATGGGGAAAAAGACCTTCAGGAATGCTCTAGCGAGCTACATCAGGAGAGCTTTAAACTGATCGGGGTTGTGGGGAGGGCAGGATCCCCAGAATACAGTCAAAATCAATCAGGTGAAAGAACAAGACCAGGGACTTGGGCAGAGTGACACAGGGACACCAGGATCAGGCATGCGTACTGCACTGAGGGTTCCTGCTGTGCCAGGGTGAACGGGAGGAAGGAGGCAGCTGCGGGAGCTGGGGAATGAGGTTCACAGGAAAGATCTGAGATCTATGCATACCAAGGCTAGGAGCAGGGATACAAACAGGAAGAGCTTGAGGCTCTCCTGGGAGGAGGTGGGTATGACCTGGTGGGGATCACAGAAACATGGTGAGACAAAAAGCAGGACTGGAATGTCAGCACAGAGGGGTATGCTCTATTTCGGAAGGATACGAAGGGAAAGGGAGGACGGGTCGTAGCACTATATGTTAAGGAAAGGGATAGGGTGCAAAGAGGTAGGGGGCAGGGTAGAAGGTGGCCAGGTAGGGGAGATCTGGGTAAGATGGATGAGTCTAGACAGGGGCAAGGACCTTATAGTGGGGGTATGTTATTGCCCACTGGGTCAACTTGAGACCCTGGACCATGATTTGGTAAAACCAGATTGGAAGGATATCCTGGTGAGGGACATGGTTATAATGGGAGATTTCAACTTCCCTGATATTCGTTGGTCAGATTGCTTCCTAGAAGCGATGGAGGGAGGGTTTTTCACCCAGAGGGTCTGGGAAGCAGCAGGTGGGGGAGGGGCATCCTAGACTTGGTTTTGACCAGTAGGGAGGATCTGGTGGATCACGTGCATACGAGGGGAGCTCTGGATGTGAGTGACCGCTCCATCCTATGCTCCGATATCAGGGGAGTGGGGATGAGTGGTAGGTCAAGTACTAGGAGATGGGACTTCACCAGGGCCAGCGTTGGTCAGTTGCAGACTAGGCTGGGAGAGGTCTCCTTGGAGAGGGTGCTGGAAGGCAAGGGAGCTCATGAGGGTACTCCAGGAATTGATAGTGATGCTCTCACATGTGTTGGCCTTCATTTTTGAGGCTTTGTGGAAATCAGGAGAATTACCAGAGGATTGGAGAGTAGTGCCAGTGGTCCCAATCTTTAAAAAAGGGTAGCAGAAGAAACAAGGGTGATTGCAAGCCAGTTGGCCTAATGTCCATTTTGGGAAAGATGATGGGAAAGTTCTAGAAACCCAAGATAGGGAACTGGGTTGCCGGGCATGCAACATGACTTCGGTAAAAATAGGTCCTGCCAGATGAAGTTTGTGGAATTCTATGACAAGTTTTCGAGGTGGCTAGACAGAGGGGCCATGGCGGATGTGGTTCACCTGGATATCAGCAGGACAAGGTATTTTATTTTAAAAATTCCAATTTAAATTTTAAAAATCCAATTTTTGTATTTTTTTAAAATTTGCAGTATTTCAGCTGTACCATAGCACCACCTTGTGGATGATTAGTAGAATATATAGAAAGGCAGAAAAATACCAAACCCCAGGAAAAAGCATGTCAAGGATACATGCTAAGGCAGCTCCCTGTGAATAGACCTTGTTAACAGCAATTTCTTGCCCCCAAACTGTGGGGAACCATCGCTATTGACCAAGTGGTAGCTTCTGGGATTTTCTGAACTGCTGAAGGTAAAAGGCAAAGCTGTCTCAAAGCTGCTAATGACTTCTGTGTGTCTATCTCAGATCTACAGGAACTCAGTGAACGTACAAGCAGAAGAGATTAACTGGAGTCTGGCTGAAGAATTATGGTCAAAGGAAGGTCAGATCAGTGGGTTGCCTTGATGCTTCTGGGCTTGCTGAAGAAGTCTTCATGGTGTTCTTCCTCCCTCGAAGCTGCCTGGCCTCGCCATTCCATGCTATCTTGCATTAAGGATCCGCCTTCTAGGAAACACATCCTGACCAGAGATGTTTCTGTGGTGCTTTATGTGTTTGTGTTCCTATGTGTAATAGTAGAATTTGTGATGATTTTGGTGGTCAGCACGATCACAGGAACACTAAAAGTGACATGTGATGTCCACAACAAAATCTTGCAGCCTACAGAGCCTGTGCTTATGTTCCAGCTGGCAACGCCCCTGCGTTTGATTTCGTTCTCTTCACACACAGCTTTCTATTTTCTCCACAAAACCCCCAAAGCCTTCTGCGGCCAGGAAGCATATTTAGTCTCCAGCTGGCTGTTTTTAGGTTCCTCCCCTCATTTTTTCATTAGTTTTTCCCTTTTTTGGTACTTCTGGCTTCCTTGGGGTTTCCCCAGCCTTGCTAATACATCTTTTTCATACATGTGGTTATGTATGGACCCACTTTAGGTCTGAACATAAAACATGGAAGGTACAATACTTTTTAAAAAATGACTCAAAAAGTGCAACACTGTGTATCGTGGAATTCAGAGGCCCTTGTAGAGTTATGTGCCCAATGAAAGCTGGGGTGAAGACCAGATAGATTCTGTATGTGCAGCTTTATGAAGCACACACATACCAGATTCATGTCCTAAGTTTACAGTATTGAGAAAAGGGCATGGTTACTAAAGTTTTCTTGAGTTGTCCTCTGTATGCAGATCAATTTTTAAAAAGTTATTTAAAGTCCTTTCATCTATATCCCTATGCAATGTCTTCCACTTGCAAAATCTGTCCAGTTTTCCTATTTGGGGTTTGTTCTCTGCTGGTATCCTCCATGCCTGAAAAGAGGGGAAAACCAAACTTGTCCTCTGTCATCATCTGTGTTAATGTTACTCAAACAAGTATTGTTGCACGTTAGAGACAGAAATACCTGTTTCTTTGCCTATCATCTTTGGAAATGGTGTGTCGATGGAAAAAAATAAAAGGATTTTCTCCAAGAGTGTTTGTCCTAAATCTGTAATGGCAGTCCAAATTATGCAGGCCTCACTGTTCAACTCTTTCTGGTATTGCATGTTCCCATTTCCCACTTGGCTTCTAATTATATTTCTGTCCGAGATTGAATAGATTTTTAAAAATGGCAGCCTCTCTATTGTACATGCCAATTTGGATATCGCTATGCTTTCTTCTCCAATCTCTCCCTTGAAACGCACAACTTGGAAGTCACTTTGTCGGTATTGTCAATATCCACATGTGCACACACACCATGAACAAAGGTCATAGGCAGTGTGATTTCAGGCAGGCTGGAGTGCTGTCATATTTGTTTGTGTGTTTTCTGTGTATTGACTGTAATGCGAGCCACATTCACTATGGCATACGTCTGCATGAGTGAATGTAGGAGTGTGGGAGACGGAAATGAGCGCAGGGGACATCAGTGCCGAGTCCAGTTGGACTGTCACCTCCCCCAGAAGACAAATCCAGTGTGATGATAATAAAAACAGTTCCGATGACTATATGCTAAAGCAACAAATACAGGAGTCCTGCCTTTTTTTAAAGCCAACTTAGAATCTGTTTCTAAACGGAGCCGACAAGTCCATGGAGAACCCGCTGCTTGGACGCTCTACACGTTTCTTAGATCTACTTTCGAGACAGCTTTGTGTGTTGCGCGTGCGCATATTGCCGCCCAACTCTCCCGGGTTAATGGCAGCCTCCCCGGCACTAGAGGGAGCCAAGACGACGTGCCATACACTAGTAAAGGCGCGAAGCTTGAGCGGCCACGGCGCATGCGCTCGAATCCCTCCCTTGACAGAGAGATGGCGGAGTCCTTTACCGCCAAGAGGAAGCGTGAGGATGGTGGCGAGAACGGGGCAACCGCGACCCAAGAAGAAAATGCCGCCGCCGCCGCCGCCGCCAGCTTCCCCTTGGCTGGCATCACCATTCGCAAAGTGCTTAGGGAGTCTGCGCGGGACAAGTCGATCTTCCTCCACGGGCAGGTACTAACGCCAGCTGGGGAATGATTGGGAGCCAGCGAGAGCCAATCAGAGCCCAGGCCGGAGCCCGCCGTTACGCATCTTTTGCCCCGCCCCTTTTGGAAGACACCATTCTTCATCTCCGGAGTTAAAATTGGGGTGGGAAAGAGAATGGGATGATGGAAGGGAAGAGGCAGCAGAACGGCTTGGTTCTGCCTGCCGCAAAGCCAGAGTGCTTCTTGACACCCTGACAAAAAGAAATAGCATTTACGGTCTAGCATCTACCCCTTGTTTAAGATGGTTCCCTCCTCTCGTTGGAATCCGTGGAAGTTTTGTTTTCGGGGAAATTGGGCCGGTGAGGGTAGTGGTTAGAGCGGGGTGGATGGCCCCGATTGGTGCTTCTGCACCTGTGTATCCTACAGCTGCTCTGACAGTTCCTTGGTCTGCATGATGCTCTTTGTTTAGATATGCTCTCCGTCAGGCGCTGGGGCTTCCGGAACCAGATGCGTTTAATCTGAGATCAGAGGCACTGGAACTGTACAGAGCTGAGTTCCATTCGACATGCACTTGCAGTGCGTGACTTCCGGAGGGAGTGGGTTGTACTAGAGCTTATTTAGCCATGCTATCGAAAGGTGCAAGTTTGCTTTTGTTTACTGCACTTTTGTGCCATAATAAAAACAATTTGGCAGCTTCACAGTGTCGAGTATCTTGTATAGATCGAATGGTAACAATGTCAATTAAATCCCGCTTCATTCCAGACTGTAACAAAATGTGGCGAGATCAAAGGGTGTGAATACTTTGGCAAATCACTGTAAACAGAAGTATAACATACAGTTTGAAGCATGAGTTATGTGGATGACAATTCTATTAGAATGCATTCTTTATTAACTATATTTATATCCCACCTTTTTTCCTTTCAAAGAATTCAAAGCTACTTAGATAATTCTTCTCAATCTCATCCTTGCAATATCAATGCTATGAGGTAGGTTGGACTGAAAGATTATGACTGCTCCAAACTCACCCAGTGAACTCCACTGCTGACTGGGAATGAGAACCCAGATCTTCTGAGTTCCAGTCCCATGTTCCTATCCACTACACCACACTGTTTCCATAGGCGAAATCCCCATAGAGTGCTTTGGGGTCTCCAATGGCTGACTCATGATTGGATCACTATCCATTTTCTGCAAGGATAGTGATCAGCCACTGACAGAAAATTAACACAATTTGATATTAACTTGCAAAAACATGCAGTGGCTCCCATTTCCCCATTTCTGATGTTCAAACTTTGTATCTTCAGGTGACCCTTTTCATGTCAGTCGGCTGAGCTATCTCTGCACATCACAGACCGTTTTGGAATAGTTGCAGTAGTACAAGGCTCTGGTTAGCCCCCTTCTGTATTTTACTGTTTGAACTATGCATATGCTCCGTGAAGACTCTCTTGAGCTGTACAACAAGGGATAACATCCGTGCAGCTGGATTCTTTCCCTTGGGAATCTGCATGCATTTCCAAGGAACTCCAGGCTTCCCAAGAGCTGAATAAGAAATCTCTGTAGAGCAGGAAGAATAGGAATGTAGAAGCTTTGCTGCTGCTGCTGCTGCTGTTGTTCCCTTTATAAGCCATCCCCTTGGTCCATAGGGCTCTCTGGGCAGCGTACAATATAATACAGTTATGCCAGGTCATACAAGTTTTTGGTTTAGCATAGTACTACCTACTCTGTCTGACACTAATGTTCCTGGGTTTTATGCAGAGAATGACTATGCCCTTCCCTCAGTACCTGATCTGTTGAAGTGGAGTTGCCAGGAATGGAAGCTTCTGCATGCAAATTGTGTTATTTAACTGCTGAGATAGGGTCCTTCCCCACCATGAGGTGGTTCTCAGGCAAAGCACAGAGGCAAACATAAAGTAGCATCCGAATGTAGCAAGGCCCCAAGAATGCTTACTGTGTCTTTTCAAACTAGAATCACACAGAATTATTTAACACACAATTGTAACATTTATAGAGAAGTGGTCATCTTTGCCTTTTATAAATAATTTTAAAACCAGTGGGGAAAAAATCCCAATCTTGTATTTGCCCAAGCACTTAGAAATACTAGGCTTGTGGCACTTACGGACTCAAAAGAAATTAATTTGGCTGTAAGCAGGACAGTGCTTACAAGCCTGATGAAAGCACCCCAGCCTTGTCACTTTTTAAATCACGTTGGGTGCCATCGTGTGCACGTTTAGACCAAACAGTGTCCTGCAGCTCCCAGCATCTCTCAGCTGAGCCATGCTATCGCTCTCCCAAGGCCCTGCACACATGGCTGCAAAACTCTAGCATAACTGAGCAGCACTTTTTAGGTAGTCACATATTAATGTTATTGCCATCATGGGTAAGATGTTATAGCTGAAGCTGGTAGAATTTTGGCTGATGTTATAATTTTACTCTGCTTTGATTATGGATACTTATCTCTGTATTAGGGAGTGGGAAGGGAATCTTCCCCTTCTTGGGTCAATGCAGAGATGCTGTTTTCTTTGTCTCTCCCCAGAACTGCACTGATAACTCAGCTCATTTGTAAGGCGCAGGGAACAGACCTCTAAGCTCTCTCCCTGCATTTGTATGTTGGAAGGATGCAGTATATTCTGGTTTATACCCCTCTATTTATGCTTTTTTAAAAGCATTATTTAATGACATTTATCATCTTTTTTACCACCTGACAGCTAAAATTCTTTGGCCAGTCTACAGAGTCCAAACCCTTTAAAATATAGTAAAACAACATTATATAAACCAACATACAAAAATGTTAAAATATAATTTGCTGTCATATTTATAGCTCACCTTTTTCCCTCTTGCAAGGAACTCACAGTAGCTTCTACGGTCCTCCTCATCTCCATTTGATCCTCACAGCAACCCTCTGAGGTGGGCTGACCCAAAGGAATGGCTGATTGGAACCTAGAACAGCGATCTCCCAAGTCCCAGCCCAACCCTCGAACTGCTGCACGATGCTGGAACACTGGAGGGTCTTTGTGGAACATTGGGCCAGCTCAGGGCCCATGTGTAGTCATCCTAAATCCTGCCCAGAGTGTAGGACATGGAATAGTCAATTCAAGCTGCAACAGCCCTGATTCAGGCTAGATATCAGGAAACGCTTCCTCACTGTCAGAGCAATACAACAGTGGAACCAGAGGTGGTGGGCTTTCCCACACTGGAGACATTCAAAAAGAAGATGGTGTAAATTGGTTTCCTACAACAGCAGGGGCTTGGACCCGATGGCCTTCATGGCCCTTTCCAACTCTACTAATCTGTGAATTGGGCATTGCCATCCGTGGTCTTGGGTGGGCTGAGATAAGTGAACAGGTCAGCTGGATGGTTCAGCCACCTTTTGCAACCTTGGATGTCCAACTGCTATCTGTTGAAGGGCTTTCAGATGCAGCTCTCATTGCAATGGAGGCAGAGTGGGGAACCAAAGCATACGAAGCTGCCTTATATTGAGTCTCAGGCCACCGATCCACCTCTCCCAGAATTGTTGCCACTGACTGGCAGCTGCTTTGCAGAATCCCAGGCAGAAGGTTCTACCTGGAGATGCTGAGGATCGATCATGCAGGCTTCTGTATGCCAGGCATTTATTCTGCTGAGCCACAGCTCTTCCCTTAATGTTGTGAAGCTGCAGAGCAGAAGAAAAAGTTCAATATACTAGCCCCAGGATGTGTTTACTAAGAAACCTGGCTTCCATATCTTTTATTATTAGAATAAATCAAATTATTGATGTGAAGTTATGTTTGGAAGTATGTGAGCAGTATCTACTGTTACATCTGGAGCCAGAGAGCAGCTCATCAATGTTTCCCATACTGGTGGAGACCTTATCACCCTGAAAAGCATCTTTCCTCTCTCTTTGTGAGTAGCAAATCCATAATAAGTGTTGTGAAGTAGTATAAAAGGAAAGAGATGCATATAGAGATGCAGGATAAGAGAAATAATACAAAGGTAATCACTTGGGTTGCTTGGGCACACCACTTCAGTTCTCAAAAGTAAGGTACAGGATACTGTGCATATTGTGAGAGCCAGTGTGGTGTAGCTGCTACAAGTGCTGAACTGGGGACCTTGGAAGATCTGGGGTCTAGTTCCCACTCAGCCACGGAGCTCAATGGGTAACTTTGGGCCCGTCACAGACCTCAGCCCAATGTACCCCGCAGTGTTGTGAGGGTAAGGCTGAAAGGAGCAGAATTAAATAAGCTGCTTGAGTTCCTTGAAAGGAAAACTGGTATGGACAGATGGACAGATAGATATTTTGGCTCCCTTGGGAGAGCAATGGAAAGAAAAGCTCCAGAGATCCTAATGTTCTGGGTGCTGGGATTGCTAAGAAACAGGGAAAAACGGATGGGAGAGGGATTTGAGGCAATTGTACACTTGGGGGGGGGATCAAGCATTTGTCTAGTTCAATTTCACCCCACAGGCTGGGGCCATCCATTCACCTACCAGCTACTCCTTGCAAATCTTCCTATGGCATTCTGGTCCCAGGCAGAACAGACGGGTCCTTCTGGAGCAAATCGCCCGAGATCGCTTATGAAAATAAGCCTGGTTTCATGCTTTGGAAGACCACCCACAAAGGCGCTGGCCAGTCAGAGCTGAACATTAATGTGGTGGCCATCGTTCCGCTCTTGTGGGAGGAGGACTCACTGTCCACTGAATCGCCATCCTCAGCAGAACCTAACTAAGAGCAACCCTGTGTCATCTTCCAGCATGGAAGTGTCCTGAAAATTGAGGTGCAGAAAGTATTCCCATTTTGGCACCCACAGAGGGGAAGTTTATTGTACTGCGTAATGGGAGGAACGCACAGCAGAGGGCACAGGTTGCCATTGTTCCACCTAACAAAAGTGCTAGACACGCATCTTGAGACTTAGATTATTTTTCTTATTAGCATATCTATTGCTTTTAGCCTGGAGATCGGTTTTTCATGTTTAGTGCTTAAAGTGGAATTGAATTGCAAACTAGCAGTTAACTGAAATGCTGTAAATAAGATGGATGGACTTGTCACTCAGGGGCCATAAAAATGGGAAATTTGCAAGTACTCTTTTAATTCACCATTTACAGCTGTACAGCGTTGGGAAGGCGGGTTTTTCCGAGCGTGGGGGATACACTTGGGTTAGTTCTTTTATTGCCCTCTGTAAATCCACCCCTGAGATAACCGAGGCACATGATGAAGTGCCAGGAAATTGCAAGGCATCTCTATAATTTCAACGTTGTGTGTAAATTCTTGATGAATGGCTTTTTGAAAGGACTTGAAGGGGATTAGACTGTAGGTTAAATTCAGGCTGTGGAGAGGCAGAGCTATGAAAGGGGTGGCAGAGCCATAAAATGGAGTTAGAAGGCATCAGGAAGAGCAGATACCGAGTTTGTGTCGGAGCAGCCAAGGTCAGATTTAATACTTTCCAGTGGGACATGCAACAAAGTGTTGCAGTATATCTCCATTCCACCAGGATGTATCTTTGTGTACTGCAGTGAGGGGAGTCTTTCACCTTGTGACATGTGCCTGTCCAACTCGGATCACTCCCCGCTCCCTTGCAGGAGGTCTGAGCTTGCCAATTCCCTCTTCTTCCTCATACTGCCGGTTTCCTCCTCCTTTCCCTCCATCCCTGACAGGTTCATATTCCGAACATCCTGAAATCTAACAAGTCTTTATTGTACTGTTTTAGGGTTGTTGCTGCTGTTTTAATTTGCAAACTTCTTCACTTCCCTGCTTCTAGTGAGTCCCTCAAGAAGAGGTTACCTTATTTCTTGGGCTGCCCCACTTTACATGCCTAGTGACAGGTATCCGGCGACCTGAGCTTTTTCTCAGTATATCAACAATGGTGGTGGACAACCGTATAATGAATAATTTCAAGGGCTAACATACAGAGAAACTGGTACGGCACAGTGGCTCAGGGTGCAATCCTGTGGCTTCCGGACATTGTCTGGAGGGCTGCGGGATTCGTCAGAGTCCCATCGCTGAGGTCCTGACCCCTCAATGCGAGGGGTCCAGATGCAGAGCCCTTGCCTTGCGCCACTCACAGCCAAAATGGAAAGAGTTGCCTGGCTGCTTCTGCAAGGTTGCGAACCAGGCTCACCAAGGAGGAAGAGGATCGTGCCAGGGGGAAGCAAAGGAGGAGGCTGAGGCTGAAGGCTTGTGTGGTATTCAAATGGCACTCCAGCCTCCGTCCTTCCTTCTCCATCGCCAGATAATGGAAAACAGCCACCTAAGTGAAATGCAGAGCACGAGGTGCCGCAGCAAAGAAATCCACTGCCGTGCCTCACTGTGCGGATTGGACACACGTAGGCCTCCCATGTTCGGAGGCTTACCTTGACTGAGGGTAGAAAGCATGGCATTGGGCCAGCCCTGCTGTCTGGCGCATGTTGGGAGTGCTAGGCTCCCCCTCCCCCAAAGCTGTGTAGGCTTGGCCCCTGCGTCGAGGGCATCGGCAACTGAGAACAGAGACTAACATGAGTGGTGTCTGAGTTAAAGTTCTGCAGATTTTAGTAATGGGCTAGCATCATCCAGCACGTTGGAGGGTGCTAGGTTGCAGAAGGCTGCCCTAGATTATATCCTGTTCTCATTTTGGTTGCTTCTGGTAATATTGGGCACAATGCTCTCTGGAGCAGAACGGATCTGATGAAAATGGCCAATTTAGGTTAGCTTTTAGAAAAGGATCATACAGTTCTGGATAAATATTTGAGAACCAGTGTGGGTTAGCAGTCAGAACAGGACTGGGGGCATCCAAGTTTAGATCCTGGCTCAGCCATGAAGCTTAAAGGGTGACATCAGGCCAGTCACTTTCTGTTGGTCAACTAAAGCTACCCTGTGGCTCATTGAGAGAATAAAAGGGGGAGAGATCCTTGGATACCACTGCAAGCTCCTTGGGAACAGAGTGGAAGCAGATAAAGAAGCTAATCCCCAAGTGCAGAGGGGGTGCTCCTGAATCCGAGTTGCCAGGGGCAGAGAGGAAATGGCCTTTCCATTCCTTCATGCCTTGCTCATGGGCTTCCAAGAGCATCGGATGAATGACAGCTGGCAACCAAATGGTGCCCACCTTGGATCTGGGCTTGATCCAGTGGCACAGCTCTGACGTTCTCATTCTTCCAGGTGAATAGCACTTCCGGGGATGGGATGGATGCTGTAGTGATCCTGGAGAAGATCCCTTTCCAGGAGGAGAACATTGCCGAGCTGCTAAAGAGACACACAAAGCTCCAGCTCCTGATGTCCAATGATATCTACAGCACTTACCACCTTCAACTTCCTCCCGAACTGAATGGTAAGTGATTGGCAAAGGAGGCTTGATTCTCATGCATTCCTCAGTCTATGCCAAGGACGCATGACCTGTGGCCCTCCAGGTGTGCTGGTCTGCAGCTCTCATGAGCCTCGCCAGTGGTGGGGGGTAAGGGGAGCCACAGGCCAAGCCTGCTGGAGGGCCACGAGTGAGCCGGCCCTGGTTTATGCAGACCAGATGCCAGCCCTGCTGTTAGTGACTCACTTGAGGAGCTGCCCAGAAAGTGCTTAGGCTCTCTTGCATTGCCCTCGGTGGACCTTCTGGCCCTGCAAGAGGACGCTCTTCCCAGAAAAAAAGAGCTGTAGGTTTCAGCGGCCCTTTAGCAAGATGCCTCTTTTTATGGAAGTAGTAGACTAGCCCCTGCACCTCTGAGCTTTCCTGGCAGTGACACTTGTGCTGCAAGCCATCTGTGTAAAATTTCCCACAGTGCCTCTGAGCATTGGACATAGTGACCAGATGGGAAGCTGAAAACTGCAGAAGGCAGACTTCTTGGTGTGAGGGACTTACCCCAATCCGTGCAGATCGGTGACCCCTCTTTTCTGCTGTAGTGAAATATGGGACTGTGTTGTTCACATTCTGTTCATCTGGACTGCTGACTGGAAGCCAAAACTGTCCTCATGCCCTAGTGGTGTTTACTGGCAAGCCATGTGCTGGTTGTTCCCTGGTTCGGATTTTGACCTTGTTAGATCGTCCTGTGCAAGTTACTGCCCAGGTTCGGGCACTGCAATAACCTATGCTCAAGGGCTGAGTATGGGTTGAGTGTAGGTTGGTGTATTATGAAGTGTGGGTTCTTACATTGTCTGAACCCAGCCTCAATAAATAATCGTGGTTTATTAATCACAAAAAACGCACTGTTCACAACCCAAGACCAAACCATGAGTTTTCTTCATGGGTTCTTAGTGGTTAGCTAGCTATAGCTTGCTATCCACAGCTGGGTTCAGATAGCACAGTAACCCACATTTCAGCAACAACCCCCGATGCAACAGCAACCCACCCTCAGCTCTTGAGTCTGAGCTATCATGTTGTGTCAGCCCAGCCACGGTACCTAACCTGCAGTGCCACCTTACATTGCTGCTCAAAGGCTCGCCTTTCCCATGCAGAGCTAGTCTGTGCGGACTGATGGCACCGGAAGTGCTTGCCTGGCACTTGGCCGAGCCCGTCGTTTCGACAAGCATCCTGCCGGCAAGCATCAGTCCTCTCACTTTCTGGTACTGCTGAGAAGATGCTCTGGTCACCACAAGGTGGCACCCTTAGCCTGGGATCCAGGGAATGCTCTTAACTTGAGCATCAACCAGTGTTTATTGCTATTTGGGGGTTTCCTCTATTATTTTACTGCCATTAGGTAAAAGTTTGGCATCAGCCTCACTATAAGAAATGCACTTGCCTTTCTAGATTTAATCCGGGACCTTTTATTAAACCGTTACTACATAAAGGTGAATTGCCTCGTAGCATCCTCTGTACAATCTTGTATACAGGGTTGCAGAAATGGGCTGTTATAGTCCAGTTTGTTCAGAAGGAAATACCACAGAGGTCGGTACTTGAAAGCACTTGCTTTTAGGATGACAGCCTTCAGTGTCTATATTGTACACCTGGAGAACTCTTAGACAGTTGCACAGAGTGTGATGGAGAAAGGTATGAAGTCAATCATGCAACTCGCTAAAGGTGTGCTTACCTTGGCTTGTGCAGCAAGTGCTTAAAAAATTAGACTGCTATGGACAGTGGGCTGCTGAAGATGAAACTCTTTTGTGTGGTTCCTAGTGTCAGCCAGGGCTCAGACAGGAAAACCATTTTCCAGTATCAGAACATCTCTTTGGAATATGGGTGCCTCTGGGCATGTGCAAAATCCCCTAATTAAGAAGAACCAATGCATCTGCAGCTGCCAGCAGAAGGCATATTTTTTTTTTCAGACTGGCAAGTGTAAGAAACAGGAAGCTGCAGGATTCACTGGCCCTTGACTTGATCCAAAGGCCCAGTTTCTCTATTCTTAACTCAGGGTTTATCATGGCACCGTTGCATTGAAAAGACTACTAAGTGCAGGTCATGGGGTGGCTTCCAGAAGCACTCCTTCTGTTCCATGTGTGGTGTGTGCATGTAAGAAGGAGAATGTGTGTGCGCCTGTGTATCACTGGCATTTAGCCCCCAACTTCCATCTTACCATAATGAATACAGCCCTCATGTATGTGGGAAACAAATTTCCTACGGCTACATGGAAGGGGTTACTTGGCTCCAGAAAAGTGCAGACCAAAAAGTGCAGTTTTTCCTACAGTGGCTTGTCTGCTCAGAAGTAAGTCCCCTTGAACTTGGTTCATATAAGCTCCTTGCAACCGAATTATTTTTCTGCTCTGTACAGCACCATTCACACTGATGAGAAAACAAGTATTCATAATATAGAAAGGCCACAGATTCTCAGGTGGGCGACTACTTAGATCATTGCTCTGTTTTACTGACTTGGAATTGAAAGGAGACAAAAGTATTTGGCCTTGCTCAAAGAAGTGATCGTCCAACCCAGAATTCAGTTTCTGTTGCAAACATTATTTCCACAGATCTTTCTACAATCCCGGCTAGGAGAGATTTGAACTCTTGGTACACAATCAGTTCCCAATCTCTTCACAATCACTTGGCTATCTTGGATGGGCAATTTAGAAATAGCCCTGGGGCATATGATCTGCTCTGTCTGTGCTGTCTTTTAGACAGGCCTTTAAAATGTTTTATTCTAGACAGCTTTTAATTGCAGTGTTAGAGGCTTCTGTATCTCTTCTTCGTGTCCGTGTTCATTCATTTGTTTCTTGACTGGCTGAAAGAGAATGAGATGCTTTGTTTTTATTGCTTTTTCTGCTCATTGTTGTGTTGCTCATTTTAATACTGCCACACGTTTTATATTGATTCTACTATATCTTGCATGCCAGCTTGGAGAAAGCAGGCAGTATTTTGAAAGGCAGCTAATACATTTCTTAAATAATTGAAGAAAAGTTGTAACTGCTGGAATGGGTAATAACCGTTGAATCTGCAGCTGTTGTATATCCTGCACATATGACGGTGAGACACAGAGTATGTGGAGTGTCTTCTTGCAGGGATTTTGCATTGATCGACAACAGGAAATGGCATTTCGTTTTCCTTTTGTTGCTTATAAAGAAAAGATTCTTATGTATACATGGAGAGAACTGTTCTGATAAGTTATTGCTTTTTAAAACTTGCAAACTGTTTTATAGTGTACTGCATAAAGCAATCACTTGCCAGGATTCTTCTGTTTCAGGCAAACTCGAGCTCTGGCACCTCTTATGCAAAGAGCTGTGGGTCAGTGCGAGGGCTTTGCATCTCTAAATCACAGGTTCAGTTCTGGCTGTCTCCAGTTAAAGCAGGCCAATGGGCAAATCTGTCTGCTTGGGACTCAAAGGGTATCCCCATGAGGTTCACTGGTAGATGGGCATCTTCCTAGAGGTGGGGTCCCCTCAACCACTTTCTAAAAGGCCAAAACAGCTTGGTTGATGTGGTTGAAGTCCACAGCAGTTCCATCAAGCACTCAGGGCAGATTTCTGTAAGTGCAAAGCTGTGTGGTTGATGCAATTCGAAGGCCGGGAGGATCAGTAGGCCAGTGGGGCAGCCGCCCATCTGGGGAATGGAGTGAATAGATTCCCCTGGTCCCTGCCTCCGTGGGCTATAGGAGAACACCCTGGCAAAGGCGTGGTCTTTACTCTCATGGGGGTGGGGGACACAATGCTTTCCTGAAGGGTTTGCCTATATCAAATTAAGGGCTATTCCCACCTGTGCAAAGCTTGATCCATTTGTTAGTAAGTCAGTGATGTGGGGCCATGAGCATAAACAACCCAGTGGAGGCATGGGAAATAGAATACCAATTAGAATACCAATTCTGTGTACTGCCTGACACCTGCAGTGCTCAACTAGGGGTGAAAAGCAAAATGGAACCAGTTCAGGTGTGTCGTTCCAATTATGCAACCCTTAGAAGGCCTGAACCAAAACGAAAACTACTCCAGCTGCAGCTGAACCAGAAAGAACAACAACAAATATGTTAGAAATGGAAAATGCGTCAGTCCTAAGCTGCCAAGCCCCCTGTTTGAAGCATAACACCCGCTTCCTTTTGACAACATTTGAGAGTTGCACATTCTAGCAGCATCGTTCCCCTCGCTTCTTCGCCAGCATCCCTCAGAGGCATGTCTGAAACACTTACTTACTTTATTGTCTAGTTAATGTTCCTTTCAAGGTTTGTCTCCTCTGAGCTTACATAAGCTAACATGTATAACTAAGCCATTAAGAGGCCATAAAGTGTCGCTTTAATTTTTAATAGCTTTAGCATGTGTTTGTGTGCAGTGCATTTCCTTTTTTCTTCCAGTCGCCTCTTGCGTGCGCTATCAGTACTGCTGCTGTTGCTAGATCAAACTTGTCCTTCGAGCACGAGAGAGCAATTTGTGCTCTCTGTGTTTGGAAAAAAGGAATAAAACTATCTTCTTCCACAAAATTAAAACTATAAAATTATACTTTCTTGGCTTGGGGAGCCAGAGCAGGATTTAAAGCCTTCCTCTGCTATGCATGGCCGAAGTGGATTCACTGAAAGCAGCTACCCACTTTCCATCTGAAGCCCCTCCCATCACTCATCTCCTCCCATTATTATTCTCTTCCTTTATAAAAACTTCTAAACAAAGAAAATAATTTTTGCAAGCTGTAATCTGTAATAAATGTTGGGGGCATTTAGCAGGAAAAGTCCTATGAAGGCATACCTAAACAAAACTCTCCAGCACAAAACTTAAGAAACATTCCAAAATCCCTATTAGTATAATACCTTTATTAGGCCAACCCTAAAATTGCAAAAAAATGTACAAGCTTTTGAGATTTTATTTATTTATTTATTTATTTATTTGGGAGACTTCTATGCCGCCCCATTCACCAAAGCCTCGGGGCGGCTCACAGACTGGCAGGGAAGATGGTACAGAAAGCAGGAGGGAAGGGCAAATGATGCGTGAATGAGGAAG